CAGCAGCTATTGTATGGTCTTGGTGATCCCGACGACATAGTGTGCCATTGACCAAGACCATAGCTGATTGCTTCTACGCCCTGTCTGAAGTCAACCTGGTCAGTGGTAGGTACCAGGAGGCCTGGCTTCGCGTTCAGCATAGGTCTTGCAAGAATTTCGTAGCTTCAGGCGTTGAAACTGTTTGCACGAGGAACCTGCCCATGGTCTTCGGGGAGTGTGGGCTCGAAGTCTTTTCTTCAAATTTTTTGTTAGAGTTGTCGCCGGAAGTACGTCAAGCTAAATACCACATTCGCACTAGTGTTGCTTTCGCTGCGCAAGCGGCGTCCGATGCCTTCTTAGCTGACTGCTCCGGCAGGCTTTGGATGGCGCAGATGAGGGCATCAAGATTTACCAAGATGTGGGTGCTGGGCTCATCATTTTCGTCAGGGACAGCGACGGTTAGAAGATTTTCAGCCGCGGTGCTGATCTCGCTATCACAGCGCGGCATGCGTTGTTGCCGAGGATACCAGCTTGGTGAGTGCACGTTCGCCAGTTGCCCAAGCTTTGTGAAGTTGCTCCTGTCCGTATGGTGGGTGCGATTTAATGTAGGAATCGGCTCGTCAGGTGAACATGAAAGCGCAAGCTCTGCTGGCAGGAAGCTTGGTATGAGCAACTGCAGGAACAGCGTTGAGTGCACCTAGATCCAGATCTAGTGTTGCTGCAAAAGCTCCTGCCTCAAACTTGAGAAGGGGGATTTCGTCTAAGACCAGGGGGCCGAAGCGGGGGGCGAAGAGGGGGTTAATTCCGGGAGACGGTGGAGTATCCACTCGGACCCTTTTTTTGAGTATAGTCCTCTGAAGGCTTGGAATCGGAGTTTTTGGAGACACTCTCAGGGTGCTGGATCGATGGGTGTGCATGGGGCGCCGGGCTGGGTCGATGGGAGTCGGGACCTGGCTCCCTGGCGTGCTAGAGTTTCTACACGGTTTAGGGTTTAGGGTTTAGGGTTTAGGGTTTAGGGAGTACTACTTGGGAGCCCTTGGAACCCCCAGAGGCCCTTGCATGTTGAGACGCTAGGGTTAAGGGCTATATCGGTTAGGGATCAATCTCCGGACCCCCCCAAAGGGAACCCCCCCCAAAGGGAACCCTCAAAGGGAACCCCCGACTGTAACAAGCACCCACTTGAGCTCTGGATCACGCGCGCATTTGCTTCAGCATGCACGGCGTCTATGATTTGCCAAGCTCACTACCATTTTGGAGCCCTAAACCCTGCACCGTGGGAGGTTCCCTGCTTGCGTATCAGGACACAAACAGACCCACTTGGTTCAGCTCCAAACCCTCGCACTATCATTGCGGTCTTGGGGGGCTGCACAGTCCTCATCCTTAGTCAGCTTTCGTCCCCCGCCCATGGGTGCCACTTGTTCCCGTTCCTCACCAGGTGAGTGGCAAGAACGACGAGGCCCTCGTGGCTGCGAAGGAGGCTGTGAGTATGGCGAAGGTGCGATTCTGCAGACTGAAAGCCTCCAGAGCAGCGCCGGTACGGCAGCAGCCTCTGTTGATGGGAGGCTATGGATGACAAGCCGCTAGAAGTTCTTGCCTGACCCCTTGAACTGCCTTGAACAGCACCACCTCAGTCAAGCCCAGAGAAACTGCATAGCGGCACAGGCAACATCGGAAACCACGCTGCCAGCGCACTGCCTAGGCCCAAGAGATCCTGGACAAAGTCCTCCAAGGCCAAGGCAGGCTGCGATGGAGGCTTTAAATGAACAAGAACAAGCAGTCATCAAAGCTGCATTGTTCCGTGAATCGTCATTGGAGAAACATGGTTTGAGGGAACAGTCCCGTCTGCGTGCAAGGCCAAGTGGGCGTCCCGCAAACCCAGGCCGTGCAGCCGAGGTATGTCGAGGAGGAGGCCCGATAACACAGCCGATAAGTAGCAAACGTTTGGGGTGCCGTGATTTCGGGGCCTCGCAGGAGGAGGCAGACGAGGAGTTGTGGGGTCCTCGGAGACTCGATGACAACCGCATGCAACGCCAGAAACGTGGACATGTGGTCCTAGCAGTCCGATCAGGCCTGCAGAGTCCCAGGTCGTGGAGGAAAAGCCGAAAGGCACGCACGCCACAGTTGTCGCTTCAGTCCAGTTTGTAGCTAGTGTCCCTGGCCGTTGCCTGGACCGATTTGCCTCCTTATGGCACATGGATGCACATGGCATTTGTGATTAGAGCGTTTGGGTAACACTCAGGCTTGGAACCTGCTATCGTCAGCGATATGCTGCACAATATGCTGCGCGAAATGATGGGCTCGGATATGGACCGTCTTTTGCCAAGGGTCTATAGTTCTCCAAAATGCAGCGTGTGGCCTTCAGTCGGGCACATGTCAAGTAATTATGCCTATGCCTGTTTCGCTGCATATACTGGGGCCGTGGCCTGCAGGAATCTGATACTCCCCTCATGGACGCTGGAGTCGTGCCACTCTCAGAGTAGTCCGCAGAGCAGTGTTGAACTAGTAGAGTCTGATGTCTTCAAGTGGCATGAAGCTTGCTTCTGCGAGCCCTTTGCTGCGCTGCACTGACTCATGCAGGAATGGCGCAATGCCCCTACTCCCAGTTGCTGAAGTCGTTGCGTTTTCACTTTTTCAGCGGCAGACATTGGGGGGAAGCTTTGTTGTGAGGTCGTTGCGTTTGGGTGTGCCCCTGGGGGAAATGTTTTTTGTATTATCATTGTCAACGCCGTTTGCGTGGAGTCGACACATATAGATTTATTTACATCAGGCAACGTTAGCAAAATCCCATGTCGAACTCAAAACCCCTAAGCCCTGCAGCTAAAGCCTGAACTCTAAGCCTGAAACCCTCGGATGCGAAGTAAGCGCTCACTCAGTGGGTTGAAGGTTCGGGAAATGTGATTGAATGCACATCCGCCAGACGAGGCAGATTCAGATGAACGTGGGCCATTGTTGGCATTTGGGGCCCCGGGGTATCGTAGAGGTATCGTTGAGGTATCGTTAGGGGTATCGTTAGGGGCGCAGTCCTCCAACCAGATCTCACCAACCTTAAGCCACGAGGGAGCGGATGGCATATGGAAAGAATCTTTGCCGGGTGGCAAGTGTCCGGGTTTAACCCTAAACCCTGTACCTGCTTAAACCTAAAGCATACACCCTAAGGGCCTAAACCCCAAACACTGACCCTTAAACTAAACCCAACACCGCAGAAGAGGGTTCGGGAGAAGCCGTCGAAGAATCAGGGCTGAGTGCATGGGGAACTTCTGTATTGCGGGACGTTGTGGTGATTGGTTGTTTTAGATCTTTATTGGGAACTTTTTGTAGGCTTTGGGGGGCGTGTGGTTAGTTGGTCTGCAAGCGTGTGCCACTGGGAAAATGGGGTCTGTGTTGGGCATTTGTTTACGTTTCGGGGCATGCAGCGCGCAGTGGTCCGCGGACGTGTGCCCCTGCAGAAACAGGAAATGCAAGGACTTTGCAGGGACCCCCCTCGTTGCGGGTGTGCCACTCGGGGACTGTATAAGAAACACCAGATGCAAGGACTTAGTCGCTTAGGAGTAGTAGGAACTTGTGAAGATGTCCACATGTTAGCAACGCCGCCCTCAGGACAGCTTGATGAGCATTGAGTTTCCTAAACCCTAAACCCTAAACCCTAAACCCTAAACCCTAACCCTAATTATACCCTAAACCCTAAACCCTCCCACTTTTCCTAAACTTGGGCCCTAGTATGTCTCTTACCTTTTCCCCGTACACGCTTGTTAAAAAACCCTAAACCCTAAACCCTAAACCCTAAACCCTAAACCCTAAACCCGCCTCAGGACAGCTTGATGAGCATTGAGTTCAGAAGCCAAGTCAACGCCGCCTTCCAGGGGCCTCTTGGCCGAGCTTCAGGGATGGATTCCAAGTTCTGGGCTTTTCTAAATTAAGAAGAGTATACATATATATATATATGTATATATATATAGATAGATAGATATGTATAGAGTATCCCCCTAAGCCCAAAACCCTAAATGGCAGACTTGATGTGTAGTTGTAGGTGTAAAAAAGTATGAATCTATGTAGATATAGATATATATAGATATGTATAGATATATATATAGTATCCCAAAATCCTGTGGACTCTGTTTTGGCAAGGCTGGGGCTTTCCTCGACGCTGACGCGCGCACCTGAGATCCCACCACGCATGGGTTTAGGGTTTAGGGTTTAGGGTTTAGGGTTTAGGGTTTAGGGTTTAGGGTTTAGGGTTTAGGGTTTAGGGTTTAGGGTTTTTTGCTGGTGCCAAGCTATGTGTGGTGCAGGTTCGACTATCCCACCATCAGAGAGCTGACAGGGCACATTGTTGACAAGAGCAAGAACCAGTGAGCGTCATGTGTGGCTTTGACGACGCCTTTGCGGGAGCTCGCCGGCGATCCCGTTTGCGCAATGCGCGGCCCGATCTCTTCCCCAGGATTTAAGTTCTGCAGGCTCCTGGTACAGTCAGGGAGGCATGGGGGTTTCCGAAATTAGGGGTACTTTCGTGGGCTCCCGAATACGGGGATCCTACTATTTGGGGGATCTACATTTGGGGGTCCCCTATGTTCATAAACCCCCAAATAGGACCAAAAGCCTGAGCCGGAGCTTGCAGTGTCGAAGGATGTCCTAGGCTGCTCACAAAGCAGCTGCCGCTTGTGCTGGTTATGGTCGCTTGCGCAAAGAGTCCACAAATTTGCACCAGTCAACTGAAGCCTAAACCCCAAACCCCTGTCCGAGTCTGAGCGATGAAGCCCGAAACCCTAAACCGAAACCCTGCGTGCCGAGTGTGGGAGTGAGACCCTAAACCCAAAGCACCAAACTTGATGTGGGGCAGTTTGGCCGTTTGGTCAGATACATGTTCTGGCACGCGCCTGCCTTAGCTGGATGAAGAGTGAACGTACCTCCCGCCAATGAAGCATCAAGACTCGCCGGTCCGCAAGTGCTTCTAGGCAACAAGACGCGAGACGCATGTCGCAGAATGTGCTTAGTCTGGTACGTGCTGGGGTCGTGCACGTCCAATGCCTTACTTTTTAGCTCCCAGTAAGCTTCTGTGTTTGTGCAGCATGTCCTGCCCAGATATTCTTGCGCAAGAGCATGGGAAGGGCCGCAGCAAGCAAGCGAAATCCAGCATTTTGGACCTCCCCTCTCTTGTTTCATTCGTGTTGAAGTGGAGTTTGAAGAGTTTGCCACTCATGCGTATGAAGCACGGACAGGGGCGCTCCCTGTGCCCTGTTTCTTACAGCCAGCTGGCTGTTGGCGACTTGGATCCCTTCCAACCCATGTCTGTCTTGTCGTACGTTGGCTCCAATTTTAGCCAGTTGATAACCGGACGCCTGGCTCACATCGATACTTGGCTGCACATGGCGTCGGCATCTTCTGCAGCAGATGCGTGATTCTTTAGCGGGGTGGCTTTTTGGGGCCGCAGCGCTCGGTGGCTTGATGTTTCGTTGCGTTCGGAACAGCTACTGTAAACTCCGCCTCTCAGGACCTGTCAGCCGTTGAAGCCATGTGGAGCTCTTCTTGCAACGATTGGAGCGAAGAAGGATGTTGGCAGCCAGCGCCGTTTTTCGGAAACACGGGCAGTTTTTTTTCTCATGTAGCTGAGCAACCGCCACGAGGACCTTTGATGGTTCATCAGCCAAAGCTGATATTCCCCCCGCGCCGTGCTGAGCACCAAAAGCTAGAGACCGCTTTGAGCTGCAGGGAAAGCGCGGCATGCTGGCGCTATGTGGTTCCTGTGCCTCGCAACTTGCTTGGCTAATGCTTGCTGAGGCTGCAGCTTGGGCCTTCCAATGGGATGTTCCAGGGACTTGACATGAGACCCAGCTGCAATCCCGTTTCTGGACTTTCACACATGTTGGACGGGCTGTTGTGGGCTAACTCGTGTAACCATTGTAGTTGGCTCACTGCATCGTGAAGTCAGCGGTGTCACCCGAGACCCATGATGGATGCGTGGAAGCCTTCTGCACCTAGCCCGTGCGGACTTTGGCCTGCCACAGCCTCATCGCCGCACCTTCCGGCCGTTGGTAAGACCCATGTCCTCCACCTGAGGCCTACTTCAAGGAGCGGGACGACGACGCGGATACAACTGAATACACCGAAGTCTGGCTGCATTCGACTCGAGATTGCTCCGTGACTGGCACCTATCATGTCATGGCTCGCCAAGGCCACGCAGAAGAGCAGTGCTGGCAGCAGTTGCGGAGATGACGACTGGAGCAGCCGCTTTCTTGGGCGTGGTCGCGTGTCCTCACTCCCTTGCCTTACTGTCTTATCTGAGGCCATGTTCGTTCAAACCTGGCTGGCGAGATCATCCCAGGCTTGCCTATGGATGCCTGTGGTTTTGATGGTTTTTGGGTGAGATTTGGGGATCGAGGCGCAGTGGCCCTTGCAGTGCACCCGCTGCCAGGTGAGCGCTTTGGGGCAAGCGCCAGGGTCTAAGAGTGGACTAAAGCATGGACTCCGAGCAGATACTCGCCGTCCTTGTGCATGTGAGCCAGAGACACCGCGCCTGCTACTCAGGACGCAGATTGCGGCAGTGGTCTGGTGGACTCTCAGACGGCAAGATACCCTGAATTGGTACGGTACAAGCAAGTGAATCCTCCTATGCTTTGCCCAGGATGTCGCTACAGGTACAGTAGCAGTAGCACTTAGCTGTGCAAACCTTGATACGGCGCTCCAGGCCCGCAGCTGTGGCAAAACTTCATAGTTATCCGCGTTAGGTCCTATAGTTGCTACTTGCATCGTGTTTCCAATTGGGCCAAGCCCCAGCAAGGCTTCGCTCAGCACAAAGTCTAAGCAAAGACCAGAATCAAGGACCTTGATCCGGAAGTCGGCCGCCAACGCGGACAAGAGAGCCTTGGTAGAGATCTATTCCATGTTGGGTTTGTTAGTGAGACATGTTTGTCGAACCACGGCACGTTTGCACACTAGTGCATGTGCGAGAAGAGTCGGCTTGTGCTCAGGCTTCTGGCAATGTTGCACGATGGGCCGCTGTCGAAAGGATCGAATGCTTGCCACAGGGGCGATCCAGGAGCGTGGCACATCCGTAGCGTGCACTGTTTGGTGGATGTTCGTGCGCAGGAGATGAACACTTTGTGGCGCCAAGTTGTTAAATGCAGTTTGCCTCCTCTCCAGGAGGACCAACATCTGGCCATGGCAGCTATGGTCCTTCCGAGCAGCTCCTGTCTACAGCCATGCTTGGCCAACAGCTCTTGCCCCAGGCTTCATTAAATGACACGTGGAGGCAGTCTGCCTCGGCCCCAGGTCCAGGCAGTCTTTCTCCCGGCCGTGGGTGCCCTTGGGTACCGTTGCTGCCCAAGGCACATGTCGTGTGGGAGTCAGTGCAGCGTCGTGCTGTAGCACGATTTCTTAATGGTGCAATATCAGAATAAGAGTCGAATGTGGGTTTCGAATGCTGCAGGAAGATGATCTGAATGGTTCAAGTATTCTTGTCTTAGCAAGAACCTGAACTAACCCCCCCCCCCCCCCCAAGCACATTGCGTCATGCTGCTCGGGACGCGTGACAAAAGATCAGACGCCGAGGGGAGTACGTGTTTCGTCGACTCGGAGCCTGCGCTGATTCCATGTTGCATCCCGTCTTTTGGAGCCTGTGATCAGGTATTGGCTCATCTCAAGTGACCAACTGGGCCCTCTGAGGCAACACGGCGTTTTTCGAGCCGAGAATACCTGACGTCAACATTCATCTTACCTTACCATGGATTCAGTGCGGAGTGTCGTGGGCGAGGTCCGAAGTTTCAGCGGCCTCATACCTTATACCTTATACTTGTACTTTCCAGAGATGGATGCTACTTATGTCTTATCGGCTGGAAAGTAGCCTGTTTGCAGTCTTGATTTGCACGACCGCTCACTCTGTCACTCGCCCCACTGGATCAGACTGCTTGCCGCTGGTTTGGTCAACACATTTCAGCCCCTATGGCGAGCCTGACGCCACACACCTGGCTCTAGTCCGACTTCAAGCTAGTGGCATGGCTATCTGGTCCGAGGGGTTCGCTCACTGAGCGAACTTGTGGGTGCCCCCCTCCAAACCCCTACTCACTGCAGACCTTTTCCTACTTTCATACGCGACACCATGCCCTCTCATGACGTTTAGGGTCGTTTCACGTGGGCACGATGAGTCGTGCTCACTTCCGTCTGCAGCAGCTGGTTGGGACAGCCTCTGTTCCGCCCGCTGAGTGGACAGCCCATCAGGATCGGCATTTGCTGTCGGACAGCTGTGGTCAGGTGTGCACTGTGCTGTCAAGTTGAGCTCCATTAGGGTGCATTGTCCGCATAGTGCATGTCCCCTTCAGCCCTTCCGGCCAATCGTGTGCACGTCAGTCTGACCACCTGGACAGTGACAGTAATGCCGAAGATTTCGACTAACAGCAGGAAAACGGGACAGCAGGTTTCTTCAGCATGCGGTTGTGTTGACAAGAAAGACCAGAGTTCTGTAGTAGCTTGAGACGATCAGGGAGCTGTTTGGCTCAGCCTGGGTGGTAGCTGGCCGCTTGTGATTCCTGCACGATGCCGCAGCATCACCCAACGCCTGGTGAAGTGCAGCCGACACCGGACCATGAGCTGATAACTGCGCACACCACTTACAAGAAGGCCGCTGTGCGAACGTGCGCTGGGATATATACATATATGTATATATACATATATGTATATATGTATATATGTATATATGTATATATGTATATATGTATATATGTATATATGTATATATGTATATATGTATATATGTATATATGTATATATGTATATATGTATATATGTATATATGTATATATGTATACATGTATATAGGTATATAGGTATATAGGTATATAGGTATATAGGTATATAGGTATAAAGGGAATAGAAGGACCCTGGGTAGGTATACTCCTATTTTTTCCTACTCTATTCTTGGGGTTCCCTGTTTGGGGTTTCCACTAAAGTCCCTGAAAACCCTAAACCCTAAACCCTAAATTGTATGTTGAATATTTTTTTATCTGTTTTGCTCTAATGCTTTGAGTACACCCCGGAGGCGCCGAAGTGGTCCTTCCCCGGGAGGTTGTCAGGAGACAAGCCATCTGGTACTGAGCCAGAAGCCCAGATCTCGGCTTGACTGTGAGGGTTTCGGGGTTCGGGGTGATTTCTGATGTTAAAGCAGCACATGTGCAGGAAGTTCATGGACTCTGGAGGTAATTAAGGTGTGCGGTGCGTGGCGTTGCTGTCCCCAACCCCCCCCTCCCCCACCGGCATCCACCGGCCGAAACACTTCCTGTGGTCCCTTATTCTCGGGTCCAGATGCTCCACCCCGCAGGGTTGGTCACTACTCCGGTGACGACAAACACCGCGTCTAGTCTGCAGAAATTTTAGGACTCTGCTGCTGAGAGCGAGATGTCGTCTTTCGTGTGGACAGCACGACACTTCCAGGTTCGTGGTGTTCACACGAGATCAACTGCAGTCAGTCGCCTTTTATAGCCAGAATCTAATGCGACTGATAAGAGCTTTTGAGCCCCAACCTGGCGCCCGACAACCTTCTGCTGTGAAGGTGATATCAATGGCCGCTACAAACGCCACCGGCATGCAAATGAAGGTTTGCGACCATAAGGGGACCCCCAAGTCTAGACCCCAAATGGTAGGATTCCCTTATTATCAGGAGGACCCCAACAGGGCACCCCCCAAATAAGGGTACTCCCCCAAATAGTCGGATTCCCTGAAAACAAGGACCCCAATAGGGTAACCCCCCCCCCCCCCCCAATTTCGGAAACCCGGGTAAAGCAGGCTTGTTTTTCATTTGACACGGCCCTGGTTCTCCACGAATGTCCGTGTGAGCTAAGGCGACCCTTCCTGGAGCATGCGCTTTCCGAAGGATTTCAGGAGCTCGTCTCTCCCACCAGGCCAGTGCCTAGATAATCATAGATTGGATGGTCTCTGCAGTGGAGCAGTATGAATGCCGTGGGTTGCGGACGGAGAGAGCGTTGGCTCCGATACGGGTTCGAGCGTGCTGGGCCTGCAAAGAGTCATTGCCTTCGGCGAAGGTTCCCACCGCCTTGCGCAGAACATCATTCCAAGAGCGCAAATGTAGATCATACGGAAGCATTGGCTGGGCTTCACATGAGCAGTCGGTGGCACATGTCAGCCTGGGATGCCAAAGCCGATCTTCAGAAAGCCAACCTCTACCAAACCACAGAGAATCAAGGCAAAACTACAGGGCGGGCTCCCTAGCCTACTAATCGCTTAAGAACCCCAAGAAAATAAAATATATTCTTTTGGGGTTCTTAAGCAAGTAGTAGTAGTAGTAGTAGTAGTAGTAGTAGTAGTAGTAGTAGTAGTAGTAGTAGTAGTAGTAGTAGTAGTAGTAGTAGTAGTAGTAGTAGTAGTAGCAGCAGCAGCAGCAGCAGCAGCAGCAGCAGCTTGCTGAGCCAGGTCCCGGTCGGTACAATAATGGCGATGGAGCGTGGAGACCTCAGCTGGCTTGCCGGAAGCTGGGCCCGGCTTGGTGTTTAGGGTTTAGGGTTTAGGGTTTAGGGTTTAGGGTTTAGGGTTTAGGGTTTAGGTCTGGGGGTCATTCGGGTTGTTGCACCCACGGATGTCCTGTAAAGATAAATAGAATTATAATAAGAGCAAAGAATAATAACCAAGAACTATTAATAAGAAAACAAAATGAATCTGATGTAACTTCTAAATGTTTAGATTTCCAAAATACCAAATAATACGTACAAAAGGGCCTCATAAAATATTACTATTTTTCTAGCCCTTACAATTTACTATTAAATGCTGGGGAAAATAGTATATTAAATGTACTATAATTCTATGGACAAGTGAATGAACGGAGTGAATGACACACGCATACAATATTAAGGGAAGAGAAGCGAATTTACTATATTTTAATGCGTTCACTCATTCATTCGTTTCATATTAAATTTACTGTCACGTGTACGCAGCTGCTTGCAGCAGCGGGCGATCGCAGTCCTAGCGTTCCTCACTCTTCTCCACGTGCTTGGAGTGACCTGAGGTTGCGCTATAAGGCCCCATCTTGGGGCTTCGGATCCAGCTCGAAGGAGGCCAATATCGAGCTAAGCTTTCAGGGGTTCTGGACTTTTGCATGACAAAATCAAGACAGATGGCATTCATCGAGTTCTTGTTATACACATCTAGTCAGAGTCTCTAAGTCAGGGCCTGTGTCATGTAGCTGCGCGACGAGGCTGATATTAACGCGATGCCCAAAGCAAGAGGTTTCCTTGAGAAAGAGACCGGAGCTTCCAAAGAGCAAGCTGTGCCCGAACTAGCCAATGGCGCAGCCCTTGTCATAGGATTCGAAAGGAAGGGGTCAAACTTTCTTCGTTCTCACGTTGCCACATGTTGCCGAGGGTACATGACAATCAGGTTATGTTCATGACAGTTTGCTTAAGGATGCTTAAGGCATACTTCCTATGTCTGTCAAGATCGAGTGGACGGAGTGCGGTTGGCTGCCGTAAGGCCCTAAGGATCGCTTCCCCGCAGCCATCCACTCACTCAAGGTAGTGTGGAGAAAGATGGGCTGAAAGGGTGCAATGGGTGACCGGCTAGCGAGCTGGTAAAGACGCAGGCGTGTGCCTACTGCTCTTTGCCGTGACTGTTCAACTTTATATATATGTATACACATATATATATTTGTATACATATACATATACTTATATATATATATATATATGTGGATCGTAGTAATAGCAACAATAACAATGCATAGATCGTACGAGGCCCCTGCGTCCGCCTTGTATGCAACCAATCCATTTTCGCCGTCAGTGGTGGCCCCAGATGTTTGCTCTTTGCGATGAAAGCGGGCAGCTGGGGGAATGCCAGGGAAAGCCTTCATGCGCAGTGTTGATGTTTGGTCCGTACATGGTTGGTGAACCTGGAACCTGATCTACCCTACAAGGAATTCCAGGAAGACCTCCCAGGACGAGGATCAGAGTTCCGCAGACCCCTGTCACTGGAGTGCTGCGCCTGCCTGACTGCTTCAACCAGTCCTGCTTTGTAGTGTGCTTGCACCAACTGCAGGAGCACAAGACCGAGTCAGCATCTGCGGAGGATGCAGCACGAGTCATACAAAGTTGTTGGAGAAAGACCGCAGGCCAGAAGTGCAACCAAATCGAGCATGAGCAAGTGTGCAAGGCTCAGGGCCCTTGAGGGTTTGAGGGTTTGGGTGTCTTTAGCCAGGTACTGCAAAGAAGCAGGAGGATGGGGAATTTGGCCACAGTCCGAGAGGGTCTCGGGACACGGACAGGCGCGGGTCGCGGAGTCACCAACACATCTGGGTTCGTGTCATGGGGCTTTGGTGGCAGGCCTTTCTACACCCACACCCTCGGTCTGAACCTGAAACTGATGACCACGCATACTTTCTGCGCAGGGACGTGCAGGGTGAGCATGGGGTGAGTATGGCACGATACAGCATGCTCAGGTCTTACCTATGTATCATCGACGCAGAAGAGGATGGAAGAGGAGGGCAAAACAACTGCAGAGTGTCTTGGCATGCATCGTAATTCTGCTTCCTGTCATGTTCGAGACGTTCGAGAGACGACCGTCTGAGGAAAATCTTCGTGACGCTAAGCGATCCGGGTAGTTCTTCTGCTGCCCAGATTGTGTGGCGCGGCCTTGTGAAGCCTCTGGTTAGTATGCTTGTTGGGGCCATATGGGGGTTTTTGAAAATCGAGGTACGGTACCGCTTATATACCCCCAAATACTACGAACCCTTTCACAAGCACCCCCATAAGCGTACCCCCTATTTTCGGAACTCCTCATATGTTGCTCAGGCTAGAGCATCACAGTTGGGCCGCAGTGAACTGAGGTCAATTCTGATAGTCGCGTTCACGGTGACTTCCATTTGCGGCTTCGTGCTGGAAACGGACAGAACACTGTACGAGATGAACCTGGGCGAGCTTGTGACTGTTGAGGCTGCATTTGTGGTGACTCAGATTCGGACTACAATCCTGAGATTCATTACATGGAATCTACAGCTCAGGAACCCAGACCTCTTTCCACTTGTAGAGGTGATCTGCACAGTGGCATCCTGTCCAAACTCGGTTGCAGCCGTGCACGGGACACGATGCTATGTGAAAGCAGATGCCACTGAGAATGTGATAGGTGGTAACAACTGCAATACAACTGACAGCCATGCAACGTGCACACACGGCAAGCAGCCTTGTCTTGGCGCTGCTTATGTCAAGCTCAGCCCAGGTCTTTACAGAACTTTGGCAGCAAGCTAGTACGCGGGTGACAGGCACCATGCTGTCCAGGAATGCCAGTTCCGACCGGCGTTAGAGGTCGAGTGGTCCATGTTGACCTCAGCCGAGGTAGAATATTTAATGCTTGCACTGACCTGCCGCTTTGTCGGCGTTCCGATAGCTGGGGGCTCGGCCTTCCAGGGCCAGCACGAGGGTCTGCACTTCCGGGTACCGGGTATGTTGGGAATTCGGCGATGGCCATGCTTTTTCAGTGCTTTATTGGGTGCCGAGGTGAAATTCATCCTGGCACCCAGCAGCGTTGCAGATCTCGTGGCTCTTCTCCCTTTCTACGTGCCCGGCCCAGTGTGGCAGTTTCGCAGTTCCGCATGGCTTCCGTGCTTCCTTTCAGCAACGATGCAACCTTGAGGAACAAGAAGGAAACCCAAACTCTAAGCCCTACCGAACCCTTGCCCGCGTCTGCGAGCGTGAGACTCGAAGCTCTAGAAGCCCTAAACCCTAAACCCAGGTATCAAGTCTTCCAATTGTCTTCCAATTGTAGCACAAATCGACCCCGCGTCGAGGTGGAGGTCGGTCTGCGATCTGCCGGGTTCACCAACACTGCCGTGCTGAAGTCCTTCAAGGCGCGGTAGCCCGGGCTTGAAAGCGAATGTGGCCGCCGGCCGCAACATCCAAAACGAGCTCCTCTTCACCAGGACCACTGGAGTCACTGGAGCAAACAGAATGCTGGCTGCCTTCGCACAGGTGGTCCGACTAATTCGAGTTCTTCGTGTCTTCAAACTAGGCCATGGGCTCAGTGCCAGCAACAGGCTGGCGCATGTTGCGCCAAAAATTGGCTCTTTCTTTTCAACGAGGTCGCTATGCTGCCGGCTTGCAGATCATGTGGAAGGCCGGAGTCGGTCCGGAAAGCTGTGCAGGGGTGTGGGACAGGAGTCTCAGGCAAGAAGTAACATGAAGTAACTGTCCCCCCTGATGTCAAGAGGGCTTTTTAGATGGTGGGAGCAGATGGGTCTGTTTGTGTTAAGCTACATCATGGCGGGCAAAAAGGTGTGGCTGCTTTGGGCAGCTGGCTCTTAGAGCATGGAGTGAAGAACGTCGTCGTAAGCCGCAAGACCACTGAGTATCCACATGGTGGCACCCTGATATCTAATGCATCAGCACATGGCGTTTCCAGTTCCCAACTCACATCGGTTTCGAAATGTTTCATAGAGGGCTGCTCGCGCTTTGCTGACTTCCTCTCCCAGGCCGTAGTGGACTCAAGGCAGGCAATCTCTGTCTTGCTTTTCCTCTTGGGAGCCTCGGCGGCAGATGTTGTGGCTGTCTCGGTCCGACGATCTCGGCCGGGACATATGAACTCAAGATGAGGCATTGGCGTCGTGATGTTTTCCAGCACAATCTTCTACTTGGAGAGGCCATGCAGCTCCCAATTTATCCGTTTAGAGGAACTTGCGTGATGCGGTCTAGTTCTGAAGGCTGAGTTGTCCGATGCGCGATGGTTTTTCTGCCATAGAGCTGACGGAGTATCTGGCAGTGTCCCGTCTGCGCCTGGAAGTGTGCGGAAGGCTGTCTTCCTCCTTCGCCTTAGTCGAAGCTTTTGCAGCTTTGCCCATGTGCCAAGGAGTGTAATGACACTTATAACCGCGGCGTGTCCCCATCTCACGGCCTTTGCTGCACGGAGGACTTGTGCAGAGCCATGCGACATGTCGGGCTCGCAGCTTAAGCTAATCCCTCTGAGCCCTTTCTGCAGGACAACTCACCCGTGGACTTCCCCAGCATCGTCACATCATGTTGGTGGGCAGTTGTCACGCTGACCTCGCTAGGCCTGAGCGCACAGTGCTTCACCTTCATCTCCTTATGTTAGTGAAGATAGTATGGTGGCGGCGCCGTGCTCCGAAGGCTATGGAGACCTGTATCCGAAGACGATTCAGGGCAAATGTGTAGGCCGGCCGTTGCGCGCGGATGGGGCATCAGGCCTTGAAAAGCCCGAGTTTATAACGAAGCCTCGGAGGAATGATGGCAATGATCGCCGGTTTGCTGCTGATTGCGCTGCCCATTGCAATCATCAGCCAGAAGTTCCAGGACTCTTGGAGTTGTCATGATTAAACTCACGCGCATGGGCGGCTATGTAAAACGCCGTAGGGGGTTTCCGAAATGAGGGGTACCCTTATTGGGTCCTTAGTAAAAGGGAATCCTACTATCTGGGGCTATTTTCAGGTCCCCTATTTTGGGAAATGCCCACCTAGTTTTGGTCTTTGTGGGTGTGTAAGGACGCTTCAGGTTGCTCAGGCAGGGCGAAAAGCACTGCAGCGTCAGGCTAGCAGGTTCTTGCAGGTGCAACGCCTCTGTGCCATTGCTCTTGATGTTCCCAACACATCCCAAAGACTCCAATATCCCTGAATTAAGGAATATATACCTTAAATCATATTAGGGAGCCTACTATAAATTAAGGTATATTCCTTAATTAAGGGATATTGGAGTCTCTGGGATGTGCAAAATTTGTCAAAGGACATCTATGAGGCCAGCGACAAGGAAGATGCAAAGAATCGTGCGGCGCAGAGGCAGAGGGGAGCAACAACTCGTTTTGTCGAGGGGGGAGAGAGGGATTTCGACAGCTTCCTTCGAGCATGTCCTAGGCTTACCGGAGATGGCAGTTTAAGTGCCTAAACCCTAGACCTTAAACTTTAAACCCCAAACCCTAAATGTTTCCGCGGCCCAGGCCTAAGCCCTGGGGTCGTATTTCTGATTTTCCCCCTTACCAATCAACCCCGCTGTGCCGTGGCTAGTCGGGTGCCAAAAAATAATGTTTCCGCCTCGAAGGCTTTAGAGGAACAGGGGAAGGGATGGGGTGGGGGGGGTGCATGCTGCAGGATGAAGGGCGCCCCGCATGAGACCTGGACGCTGATCCCTGGATCCGATGCGACTCGGCGCAAGAGGGCGGGGAATGGACGAAGACGAGGGTTTAGGGTTTAGGGTTTAAGGTTTAGGGGAGCCTTCAATCCCTACAGCGAAGTGACATCTGTCTTCATCAGCGTCAGCACTGGTTGATTCAGGAATCCGTTGGCTGCTTTCATCACAGGAAAGACGACTACACTACTGTACAATGTATCCTCATGTTAGGAACTTGTCTGGGGCTTAGGGTTTACGGTTTAGTTTGACCCCAAGCCTGTTTTCCCTGGCCTGAAGGTCATACGAAGACTGAAGGCCCTGCCCATCAAGGAGTGTGAGGGTGTCAAAGCGTCATGCGGACTGAAATCCAAGCCCAGCCGGTATAGGGTTTAGGGTTTAGGGTTTAGGGTTTAGGGTTTAGGGTTTAGGGTTTAGGGTTGCTTAGGAGTCCAGTTGCAAAAGGGTTTAGGGTTGAGGGGCTATAGCCTGATGCAGGCGAGGACTCACGCAAGCCTGCTGCAAAAAGGGTTGAGGGGCTCTTCGTCTCTTTCTGTTTCGCCGTGAGGACGATCAAGCCCGAGATGCGACACAGCAGATGGTCAAATGCCTGGAGGACACAGCAGCATTTCACTTGTGGACGTTGTGTAGGGTTTAGGGTTTAGGGTTTAGGGTTTAGGGTTTAGGGTTTAGGGTTTAGGGTTTAGGGGTTTACCCAGGACCAAGGTACCTGGAGCTGGGGCCCGAACCCAGCCGATTTCACAAATCAGCCGCCCCTGCAGTGGCCCCATGCTCGTAGCAGGAGATGTGGGAGCGGCGCGAAGCTCTGGGAAGGGAGCGAAAGTATGCACTGACACAGTGCTTCGGCCCGGTCAGTCCAGGGTTTTTGGTGCGGAGCGCTTTTCGAAAGATCGAAGGTGGGATAAAGGCATGGCTTGGTTGGATCCCGATCGGATGGCATAGCAAAAACTACGCCGTCATGTCCTGTTGCAGACCGCTCTGCCTTGCTAGCAACACCGGCCACTTCGGGCCCGCCACTTCTCAACCCGGGAAAGGGAGTACTTCATACCACAGGGGTATCAGTTCGTCATGCAGCTGGATACCGCTGGCAGTTCCTCAGCTCGGCTTTGTGCGATCGAAAGATCCGAAGTGAATAAAGGGTAAAAGGTAAAAATAAACTACGGCCTCCTGCTAAGGACGAACCGTTTCCACAAGGCCTTTGACAAGTTCGAGACTCAGCAGAGCCGACCGAGAGCCATGCGCTTCGAGGGAAAGTGAGTGATTTCATCGAACGTCGTTTTGTGTTTGCCTGCTGTGAGGAGAACCCTGTCCAGTTGTGGCCACAATGCTAAACGAAATCGCAAGCGTTGAGTGCAGCAAGCACGCATCGATGAAGACATATGCCTTGTCGGTGGGGTGGCAAGATGTGGCAAGGTTGCTGATGGCCATGATGTCCGAAAATTCGCGCCTTGTCCGGGTTCAGGTGCAGCAGAAGACATGCTATGCCAAGCCCCAGAAGTCCTGACCCAATAGAAAAAAAGGCAAGCAGCAGGTCATATGCACAGTTCGCCAGTGTATGGAGCTGTTTCCTTTCTGTTGATCATGGTTTAGGGTTTGATTATGATATGGGAGTTTACGAAAGTAAGGGCCCCCCCAAGATAGACCCAAAATGGTAGGACTCTCTTCTGACAAGGGCCCCAAGAAGGTACCCCTAATCTCGTAGATACATGAGGGTGTAAGTGTAGGGTTTAGGGCGTTGGAGCCCGGCAAGGGCCTCAGAGTTGGAATGTTAACCTAAACCCTAAACCCTAAACCCTAAACCCTAAACCCTAAACCCGAAACCCGAAACCCTAAACCCTAAACCCTAAACCCTTATAGTTTGGCTATTGGCAGGCCAAGGGCTCTTTGTGCTTTGGGGGCCAAGTACTTGGAGGTTCATGGGCAGTAAAACGTAGGGTTGGAAGTATGGCAGCTACACTTGTAACCCTATTTGGAGTACTTTATCACTACCCATGAACCTTCAACTCTGCCCGCTTCTCTACTAAGGTAACCTATCCGGGGGTGTACCGAACAACTCGGTGCATGACAGCTGCCGCCCCTTTCTGACCCAGGCTGCGACATCCATATCAGGGTTTAGGGCTTAGGGTCAAGGTATTCGAAAGGTCAAAGTCAGATAATGGAATTGGAGTGCTGTATGGAGAGGATGTCGCAGCCAGCAGATTGGAGCATGAATTTGCGACGGAAGCACGAGGTTTGGCAAGGTGTCGCGGTCATCCTCCCAAGCCTTGGAAGCATTCCACCAGAGTTGGAATGTTTTGCATGGCTATGTTGACGGCTAGGATTAGGCTTTATGCAGCTACTCCAAAGGAGCATGCTTCACCAGACAGAGTGGAATTCGCATGCGTGACCATATGAATCATTTTCGCTGCATGCGGAGCATCTATGATCATCTACGCTTGCTGTTGAAGGCGAAGACAAGGGCCGCTCATGCAGAGCTAGAAGGTGCTAGAAGCTCACCGTGTGCAGCAGCAGACTCACCCGTGGTGACATGACATCGTTGAATTTTATGGATGCATGTGCGTAGAGGTTTCGCTCCGAAGTTTGTGGATTTGTGTCATCTGCCAGCTACTACAGTTCCAGAATGAAGAGTGTGCCCGCCTCGTGTGTTGGCATATTTGGGCAACGGAGGTTCGGCTGGCTGTGCAGAGACCTCTCTTGCTTATTGTCCGGCGGTCCGATGGTTTGGCTTGGGAGCAAAACGAAGCTTCGCAAAGCTGACCGGTCGTTCCGTGTTTCACCCGAGTGTAACATCAGTGCAGCTCCAGCGTAACTCCAGTGCAACCAGTGTCGCCCCCTCCTGTTCACCCCCCGGGTTCATCCCCCCGGTGGCAGAGGCCCAGCCGTTCACCACAATGACTAGTGCCGTCAGAGTCTACAGCTGGATTGTCTAGCCCCGTGCGGCTGTAGCAGAAGCAAGGGTGAAGGGCTGGACCTTGCACTTTGTGGGGCAGATTCGTGCTGAGTGGCCTCAAAATTTGGAGATGCCTTCAGCTTGAAAGCAGAAAACCTGCCAGCAGTGACATGGTGAGACACTTGAGCCTGCCTGGGCCTCGTCCGGGGCCAGAGAACAAACCCAGGCAGCGCTCATTGCTTTTCTCTTAAGGCACACAAGACCGGGCGGCCAGCCCCGTCGGACTTCGGTAGAACCGTAGAGCCTTGCATGGCCTTGCTATTTTGCTATTTGCAACAAGGGCATGTTTCTTTCTTGGGACCGTTGGTGGTGGAAGAAGACCTGGCAAGTCTTCACCGGGCTGGCTGCTGCTGTAAACATTCCGAGGTCAGCGACGGCGGCGAGCTTAGACCACCTCAAGAATGAGTAGACCGAGCTTAAAATGAGAAACTCCTGGGTTCAGATTGGGCCGGTTGCGGATATAGATGCGCATTTGGAGCAAGCTCCCTTTGAAAAGCATGTCTGGGCAGGCGGAGAAATGGATTCTGGATGGCTCCGTGGGGCCTGGGCCGGCGGCCTATGCACCCAACCATGGCGCCAGGGACCTGGTTCGCGGAGTCAGGGATGCATTGCAGATGTTAGGGTTGCAAGCGTTGCTTGGAGGTCGCAGAAGGGTATACGTTAGGGTTGTAAACTGGTGAGGGGCTGCTGGCGCAGTGTTGCGAACTAGTGCGGACGAGATAAACGGGCCTAGCTGACTATTGCACCAGTTCTTCGGGGCTTGTTTCTACCTTTGGTGATGCTGGCGTGATCTGTTCGGGTTTCAGCCTGCTTCCTCTAAGGTGGTTATGCGCGGTTCGCCAGCCTACTCAACGGCCTGCACTGGGTTCAGGGTGAAACACGGACAGTGATGCAGTGTGGTTGAGCAGCTCAAGAACACGGGAGCATCACGGGAGCCTTGATTTTGGGATTCCGTGTCGGCTTCTGGTGCCAGGCCGGACGTGACAAGAATAAGGGTCGCGGGATGGGGCCTGGTGCAGCGCTTGGCTTCACCCCAACTTCTCCCGACTGTACGGCAGAGTCAGTAGAGAATGTAGAGACGAGAGCAGAGGAGACCTACGACACTTTGCCGATCGGTGCCACGGTGTGAGCTAGGCACGCGGTCAGTTGTCAGCACGCAGGCCCTGGTCACTACGGGCCTCCACGAAGCACCCTCAGGGGCAAAGTCGGAAGGCACTGTCGGAGAGTCGAGAGACGGCGAGGGTGAGGCGACTTCTTCTTTTGTGAGATGTGGGGGTTTCCGAAATCAGGGGTACCTTATTGGGGTCCTTATGATAAAGGGGATCCTAAAATGGCCTAAACCCTAAACCCTAAACCGTTTGGCCCTAAGTCCGAAACCCTAAACCCTAAACCCTGAACCCTAAACCCTAAACCCTAAACCCTAAACCCTAAACCCTAAGGCCTTGTGCGAGTGTGAGAGTCGAAACCCTAAACCCTAAACCCTAAACCCTAAACCCTAAACCCCCCCATTTGTGGCATCGTTGAGGTGGGGCGATGCTCCGAACTTGCGGCCCAACAGCGCGCCATTTGATGATGGCAACGGTCGAAGCCCAGGCTTGCGCAGTGCTCAGCCTGTGTGCTTCTTGGCTTGTAGGGTTTAGAGGGTTGTTTAGGGTTTAGGGTTTAGGGTTAAAAGGGTTTAAAAGGGTTTAAAAGGGTTTAAAAGGGTTTAAAAGGGTTCAAAAGGGTTTAAAAGAGTTTAAAGGGTTTAAAGGGTTTAAAGGGTTTAGGGTTTAGGGTTGAGTCTTTAGGGTTGCTGGTTTGGGGTTTGGGGTTTAGAACTGAAACCCAGTGCTGTTTGCAGGCCCAAACTATATGCCTGGAGATGGTCCCCACGGACCTCGCTACAGCATGGGAGCTAGACGTGAGGCCGAACGTGGACCATGTCACCCATGACTACTGCATGTGGCGCCCTGCCCCAGGCTGCCAAGGTCATGCTGGGCAGGCTCCCAGGACCCAGAACACAGTGAGAAGCTGAACTCCAGGATACTTTCGAACCTGCACCTGCAGCTGCCGTGCTTGCTGCTTGCTGGCACCCCGGTGCACCGCAGCCACTGAGGTTTGGATATTGAGGAGGTGTTCTGAGTTACAAGTAGGACAGCCATCAGAGAGATCAGCTCCCGATGTGCTGTAATTCACTTGCACCAAAAAATGGGAATGGAAGCTGCTGACGGCACCAGTTTGGCGATGCGTCATGCGTAGCGGCGTACCGAGATGAAGCGGAGTCTACCAATTGCTTAAGCACCCCCCCCCCCAAAAAAAACAACAACTGTTCTTCCCTTAAAGGGTAATATAGGGATGATTCTGATTATCATTATTTTCATGAATATTTTTTGTTAAACAATTTTTTTGGGGGGTTCTTAAGCAAATGGTAGGAGTGTAGCGGGAGCCTGAAGATGGCCCCCGGGGCCAAAAATCGAGGTCCCGGGCTGTGCTCGCCCTGTTAGGCTCCCAGTTGAGGGCAAGGCTTCCAAAGCCAGTTGGTGGCTGTTCTAAGAAACTTGTGTACATAAAGTATATATATATATATATGTATATATGTGTATATATATATATATAACATGGACAATGGATATATGCACATTATGTATACACATATACACCTTTTAGCGGCTGATGCCATGGATCCCATCCAAGGGCCGAAGTTTCGGACAGCCCCCAATTGTTTTCTAGTGTTCTTGAGTCCTGCTAGCGGCTAGCGAAAGCGACGGACAGCCGCTCAGTGAAACTGAGCGCAGGCTGTCCAGTTTCATAAGCGACTGATTTGCTACACGATGAATTGCTCCGAGAAAAGACTACTTCCTAGGGTTTAGGGTTTAGGGTTTAGGGTTTAGGGTTACCTGGCGGCGGAGCGTGCCTTGGCAAGGATCATCCCGGCCCCTCGAATCGGCAGCAAAGTGTCAACCAGCAGCGGGCCATTCCATAGTCTGCAACTTTGTAGGACACGTCCGTCCCAGTATGCATCAGTATGCCCTGGCCAATTGCAGCTCTCTTGAACCGCTCCAAGCTCTTCATTTGCTTCGCAGAGATACATACACCAGTCACCTGAATGATCCCCAGCTACTATGCGCTTCTGACTGTCATGAGGGGAAGTCAAGGGATAGTCCTAAGCAACCAGTTTGTAGATGGTGGTGATGGATCCTTCTTCGCGATGTTCGATTTCGACGAGATCGAGGTTGGAGCATGCTGACGGGGATCAATGTGCTGAGCTTCAAACCACCCATCAGACTATGCAGCGTTGAAATACCATGTTTCCCATGTTCGAAACGTAAACCCTAAACCCTAAACCCTAAACCCCAAACCCCAAACCCTAAACGGCCGTCCGAAGCTTGGAGGAGAAGTTGCAGCAGCAAGCTGCTGCTGCCAACCCTGCTGAAGCCTCAAAGCGCATGGCGAATGGCTCGCTCCCGTGGGATCCATGGGCCCCCCCTGCAAGCGGCATGCTGATGCAACGTGCAAGCTTTGCAGCATGTCCGCTATGATTCTGCTTGTTGGCGCAGAAGTCCACGGGGAGAAGCCGAAGGTCCAGCGCGGTGTGCTCAGACTCTGGTAGCTTTGCTCAGGTGCACACCCCCTCCATTGATGGGGAGTGGGAAGACAATGAGGGCGCGGTGGCCTGCAGCTTGGCAACTGAACTGCAAATAGCGGGCAATCAGAAGAGCCTGCTGCCGCAGGTCATCATCAAAAACCAGCGCATGCGCGGTCCAGATGGAGTGGAGGTGGAGGCGGCTTTCATGACATCCTTGTTGAATTATTTTGACATATGGAGGTTTCCGAAAATAGGGGTACCCTCCTTGGGGTTCCTTTAAAAAGGATTATATATATATATATATATATATGCTTTATTTTGGGTAATACAAGGGGTACCCCTATTTCGGAAATCGCCATATGAGCGCCTTCGCCACGCGTGCCCCATGAGGTTTCTTTCCCACGTCCCGATGCTGTCGTCTTCTCCCCCAACTCTGGCTTGGCCCCAAGAACCTTAGGGTTTAGGAGGGTTTCGGGTTTAGGGTTTAGGGTTTAGGGTTTAGGGTTTAGGGTACATCCAAAGACCGTGCTCAAAAAGGGTTTAGGGATACAAGCAGATCAAGCAGCTGGCTTCGTCGCTCGTGCCTTTAGCTAGACTTGACCTGATAGAATTGATGGACTGATTGATGCCGCAAGCATCCGCAAGCATTCGCAAGCCTGCAGAAGTGTCACGAGTTCTTGTACACTTTTAGGTACCAACAGTTGTCTTCCTTCTCTTGTCTCTGAGCTCTTTTGCGCTGGACATAGCTGCCCAATGTCCCGCCCACTGTGCCTCGACATGGCTCGTGCGGTTCACCCCTACCTCGCCGGACACGCGCGCCCGCGCATCGCGTCGATGCTTCCTGCGCATGGTTCATGCAGATTGCAGATGTTTCACGTGGATACTTTGTGAACCTGCGGGGCACGTCTCCGCGTCAGCTCCTGACCCCCAAATCCCCGACCCTTAAATTCAGCTAGAGCGAGCGACTAAACTCAGCGCCCTTCTGCCGTGCAGTCAGGAAACGAAATCGAAAAAGCCGGTAGGAGTCGGAGTCAGGTGCCCCGACCTTTGAGGGCAAATTGACAGCTTCCGACAGGACCTCCTTTGCGCTTGGTGGGGGGGGGGGGGGATTTGCGGGGCCACAGGGGCTGCGTGGGATCTAGCAATCTAGCTGCAGCGGCGCAGGATCTCTTGGGATGATGGTGCCTCCTGGGCACGTTGCTGAGGGGATTTCGGGGGGGGAGGAGAATCCCAGAGATTTTTTGCGCAAGAGTTCGCACCTAAGGTCCGACGGCCCTTGTCAAAGAAGCAGGCAGGCCAGAATGGCAGCCTGGCTTCGCAATGGGGCACCTTGTGCTGCCACGGCAGCTGCCCAAACTGAAGGAGAAACCCTAGAGTCTAGAGACCCTGTAAGCCCTGTAAACCCTATAAACCCTAGAAACCCTATAAACCCTTATAAACCCTATAAACCCTATATAAACCCTGTAAACCCTACAAACCCCAAAAGCCGAGGCACAAAGGCAGCCAACAAAGCCGGAGCTCCGACTCCCAACCAGCCGGACCCCCAGAGTGCAAAAGGGGGGAGAGAACAAGCCCAAAGTCAGAAGTAAATATGCCACAGATGATAAATATACATACAAATGTAAATATAAAGAAATATAAATGTAGATGGATATATATCTATATATATATATATATGTGTATGTGTATATATATATACACACACACACACATATATATATATATATATTATGTACACACACATGTACTCTGTATTATACGTACCACATAACCGGATATACAATAGAAGTTTCAGCCATCACTTTGACTGACCTCCGAGAACAAAGACTTTGGACCAGAAGGAGAACCTGGCTGGGAAGGCCGGAGGGCTTAGGGTTTAGGATTGAGGGTTTGGCATGTGGGATTTAGGCTCGTAGGTTTGTGGGTGTAGTGGACGTATGAGGTCTGCCACGTTTCAGAGCCAGCTGACGTGCAGAGCCTGGGTTCAGAGGGTTTAGGGTTTAGGGTTTAGGGGTTAGGGTTTAGGGTTTAGGGTTTGTGCTTAAGGGTTTAGGGTTTAGGGCAGCCTTTCGGCATGGCCTCTGCGGGGCAAGGCGTCTTCAGCGAAGCCGACCGGCGTGAACGGCAAGATCCCGGGAGGCAGGGGAGGACGGATCAGTGAGCCAAGTCAGCCCTAAACCCTAAACCCTAAACCCTAAACCCTAAAATCCGAAACCCTAAACCCCCAAAAAAACTCCCGAATGGCCGGCCCTGTGGCCTTAGGGACCGCTCCTGGCACTCAACCGACACCAACGAGGCCATGGTGTTAAATTGACCAGTACGGCAATTGCGTAAAACAATCGGCAGAAAACCCCCGTCCTGGTTTTGCCAGGTCTGAGGCCAGCAGCAAGTCCACCGCCCGGGTCCCACGGGTGACGTGCCTCAGGGGTTCTGTGTAGCGGGCTTGTCGATGGGCCAGGGGAAGCTAGAGAAGCTAGTTGGCCACAAGGTCCTTCCTCAGGCAGAGCGTCCTGACGCTGCACACAACCCGCCTTCGGACCGCGGCACGCGGGAGCGTGCCAGTGACAAGAAGGCCAGGGAGATCGGTGCTTCTTTTCGTCCCGCATCACTCATGGCTGACATTGGCGGACCTCACCCTGTCCCGGTCCCGAAGAGACAGCATGATGCGCCTCAAGTCATCGCACGGAATCTGCTGATCAGCACAGCATAGGCCCTGCCTTCTGCAACTCCCAGGTCGCAAGCTTGCTACTTGTAGATCGGTGCACAGCCGCTACTCGAAGACTCAAGCACATAATTTCGACCTGCAAGGAGTGTCCTATCTTTTGCCGGAAAAATGCTTGAGTTTAACGCACAAGTTGTGAGCAGACCGGCGGCAGGTCCCCGCGAGCATCCCCACGGTCATCCCCACGGGTGTCTCTGGTGTCTCCAGCAGCGAAGCCTCCAGCCGTGACTCAGCCTGGAACTACGAGCGCTTCGAGGCAGCGTGTCTCGCAGAAACGATGCTTCGCATGACTTCGCTCACTTTTGGCTCACGGCCAGGTCATGAAGCCCATTGTCTTTGTCCGAGAGAGCCCAGGCCTGAATACACCGAAGGTGGCCCAGGCCCGGGCTCAATCCACGAGTCAACCAATGTCTCTGCGGTCCCGCAAGCAGGTGACAAGAGGCATCCACCCTAGTCTTGGCACAGTGCTTTGCAGTGCGATGCCACCTCAAACCACCACATGCTGTACCGCTCGCTTGTGGGGCCTGTGAGGCTGTGTGGTGTCTGGGAGGGTGCAGGATGCATGGCTTTGTCCAAGCCCTACTGTGTGTGTAGCCTGGCATGGGCTGGCACCATTGATGACTTGGCGCTGCGTGGCTGAGGCTTGGATTCCGACAGCCGCGCATCCGCAAATGCCAGGGCCATTGCTCAAACCATCAAACTGTCCAGAATCCTCACCCAGGGCTCAGTTTTACATGCAAGTTCGCCGCCGAAGCATATATACTGGGCAGCTTGTTGGGACTGTTCCTTCCGAGGTGCCTGAAACAGCCCGCGGTGCTTACATGCTGATCGATGGCAGAAGCCACGGGCCTCTTGACTGCCTTTCAACCATCCCTGCGTGCTCCCCTTCATCGAGGTGAGCGGAGGGCCGGACATGGCCCATGGCTGCTTCGCCAAGACATGATACATCCTAATGCTGTAGGGTAGGTGATGTCTGGCATAGTAGTATATTATCCTATAAAACATAAACAATCATATGATATTCTTATGTAAGCATACTATTCTCTCAGTTTTTTGAATATCTTATTATAAAAATAGATTACACTCTTATTACATGACTATCTTATAGGGGGGGAGGGGGGGGGGGCGAGGGCGGGGGGTGGCCCTAAACCCAAAACCGCCGCTCTTCAGAGAAAGCGCTGCAGAAAACCCTAAACCCAAAGAAGCACGAGCGTGAAGCCTGCTGCTGCAGAGAGTGCTTGCAGAAACCTAAACCTTGAAACCTAAACTGACCTAAACCCTAAGCCGAAGGCCCTAAACCCTGAACCCTCAACCCTAAACCCTAAACCTAAACCCCCAACAGAAGCCTCCTCTCCTCCCTTGGGCTCCGCCAAGTCTCGGCCTCCTCCTGGAGTCGCCCTGGGCCCAGTCCAAAGCAAGGTTTCCCGAAACCCAAAACCCTAAACCCTAGACCCTAGCCCTAAACCCTAAACACTAAACCCTGAACCCTAGCCCTAAACCCTAAGCCTGAACCATAGCCCTAAACCCAAAACCGTAAACAGCACCATTCACTGGTCAGGGGAAGAGGGCTTTCAAGGTTGGGAGTTGGGTTTGGAAGCGCACACGAGTGACATAGTTTAAATTAATCAATGTGAGCAGCACCACCCCCCTCCCCCGCAAGAAGCCACCGCCCTGCCCGAAATCAATACGGGGCGTGGAAAGCGAGTCATAGCTGTGTGCGTGGTGAGTTGCGTGGCGTCATGCTTGCGCTCGTTCCTAACCAGGTGTTGTGAGGATGGCCTCTGGCGAAGGTTAATTGGCTAGAGGTCAGGGCTGCCCCTGGAGCCCAGGTGGTTGACTTCTCTTGTTTTTCCCTCCCTCGATCTTCTTCCTCTTCCCTCTCTCCTCTCTCCGTCTCTTTCTCTCTCTCTCTCTCTCTATGAGTGATCTGTCTGCCTCTCAATGGTATGGAATGGTTCCATGCAGGCAGAAGTTCGCACTATTCTGAGGTGCCTTGCCCATGAGAAGTCTATGTGCATTTTTTTGGACCCCCTAGCCCTTCATGGGCAGCCAGTGCTCGTGCCACTAAGTCCTCTCACCCTAAACCCCTAAACCCAAACCCCAAATCGTAGTCGAATCTTCTGAGCGGCATAGATAGTCGTCAACCGTGTGGCGCGGTTCTGCCAGCTATGCGGGAGCGAGCAAAAACAAACGAACCGCACAGCTCTTGGGCCCTCAAACCCTTAACCCTATAAACCCTAAACCCTAAACGAGAGGTCAGCTAAGCGGGTGGCAAAAAAAAACCTAAACCCTAAACCCTAAACCCTAAACCCTAAACCCTAAACCCCAAACCCTAAACCCTAAACCCTAAACCCTAAACCCTAAACCCTAAACCCTAAACCCTAAACCCTAAACCCTAAACCCTAAACCCTAAACCCAACAAAGCGGCTTTTCCCTCCCAGGCGAGGCTGTCACGGCAGCTCCAAGGGCTCCTTTGCCCATCCCCTGGAGCCGCTCGGCAGCCTTGGCCCGGTATCGAAAATCATGTTTAGGGTTTAGGGTTTAGGGTTTGGGGTTTGGGGTTTGGGGTTTGGGGTTCAGGGTTTGGGGTTTAGGGTTTTAGGGTTTTAGGGTTTTAGGGTTTTAGGGTTTTAGGGTTTTAGGGTTTTAGGGTACCGTAAACAATAGAATCATGTAGGAATATGAGAAGCTGATAAGATAATAAGGTACATGAGATAAACTAAGATAAGATAAACATCTAACATCATCAAGGTTGAAGAGTACAACAGTATAGTAAGATAAGAGAGCAGTACAAGAGCATTGTGGCATAACAGTGTGTGGCGCATGAGTGGGGATAGACCTTGAGCTCTATAGGGGTCCCTCCCTTTTACCCCTTAATGCCCTAAACCCTGAACCCTAAACCCTGCTGAGGTTCACCGCTCTGACGAATCTCCACGTCAGAGCGAAGCCAGAGGCCCTTTGCGCTGCGGTGTTCGGCGATGTTCAGCTGTGGAAGCTGATGGAACCCGTGAGTTCAAATATGGGGGTTTCCGAAGTTAGGGTGGTACCTTCTTGGGGTTCCCTGTTACCAGGGAATCCTACCATTTGGGGACTACATTGTGGGTCAAACCCAAACCCTTAGGCTCGTACAGCCCCCAAATTGGAAAACAACTCCGTATGTAGCTCGGTTGCAAAAGCCGAGGCCAAGTCTCAGCTGCCCTTCGGCGGGGTGCGTGGCACGCCACCCATCTAGGGAGAAGGGCTTTGAGGGATGTTTGAAGTCAATTCGGCAGATTTCGCAGAATTTATTTGGGAGTCTAAGCTGTCCCTACTGCGAGGTGAGGAAGATCGTATACTTTACGCGTATCTGAAAGTTGGTCAATGGCACGACAAGCTGCGCCGAGGCTGAGGGCTCGCAAGTGCAGGGTTATCCAGGTGCCGGCAGCTTGGCCTCGGCGTGGAACACCATCCCATGCCACCAACCCTAAACCCTAAACCCTGAACCCTAAACCCTAAACCCTAAACCCTAAACCTTTGAGGCCGAGTCATGGCTGGAGCTGGTTGGAGGTGGGTTCTTGCCAATCGCAACGCTTGGGTCCCAGCCATCGTCGCTGCTGGCCACGTGGCCTGAAGATTCTGCAGTGCTCGGACAATAGTGATTGTAGTGTGCTCTTCTTGTTGCTGCGCTATGCTTTGCTCAGTCTCAGGCCCAGCGACAAAACAGGTGAGGTCTCGGCAAACTTGGAGAGCAAGGACCATCTCCTCCGCGAGTGTACACATGTAAAGATTACGTGCTGAACAGCACAATACATTGCCCATTGCCTATAGTCACCGAAATCACTACGTAACTGGAGTTCCCGTGGAGTTCAACAGTTCAACATGGTTGGAGCGTTGTTTCTATGGCTAACTTCGGTAACTTCAGATAGCGGTGATGAGCATTGCGGGTTCAGTGAGTGCTGTGCAATATCATGCATCGGAGCATGTATGCCGAGACATCGGGCTCACTCGAGTACCTGCAGCCTGCTTGCTTATTGTTGCCTGGTTCCGCTTGGCTGCACGCAGCCGCTGTAGCCAACCTCCATGTCCGCACATGGAAGCGATCAGCCACCAGTAGCTCTTGATAGCGTGCTGCAGATGTGTCATCGACCACCCTGCCAGGACGTCTTGACACTATTCTCGGGTGGGGCAGAGGGTGTCGACGCGGAGTTTGATGATGCCATGGCTCGATTTGCCCCCTCCGGGCAGTGCATTCATTGGTCGTATGCTGGGCATCGAGGGTTTGCGGCCAGGTCGGGTGGGCGAGTGGACGTGCCAAATAAGGTTTCGGCAGCTCTATGTGATCCACACCTGCGGGACGCCGCAAAACAACTCCACCAAAGCGTGCCCAGGAACTGGCATGTGTTGAACTTGTTCCGCCGCAACGTCTGTCAGGCACTGTGGGCCGAGGCAATGTTTGCAATCACTTGGGAGGATCTGGATGCTCGGTATCCTCTGCGAATTGGTGGTGGGACAAAGTGGGCTGCTCAAGTCTACGTGAACCGTTTTCAGCCACATGGTTCCGAGCCTGCCGGGTCCTGCCAGCTGTGGCTCTACGAAGTGAATACAGCCGTTTGGAAGAAGTGGGATTGTGGCTGTCAATGCTGGAATCTCGTTGAACAGCCGCCCTCGCTTTCCGCAGACATGAAGTTTGCTGGCATTGGCACGAAGACGCCCCCAGCGCATGCTGTTCAAGCAATACGTGACCTGTTCAGGGAAGTCTGCTGCGTCCAGTTGCAGGACTCAGCCCGCCAGGTGGCTGCAAACTCTGAAGTGCTTGGCGTACGGCAAAAGAGGGCAGACGATGGAGCAGCGCCTTCCAAACAAATGGTTCGCCGTTGGCGCCCGAAGCACAGAGAAGCCCGCGCTCCAGCAGAAGTAGAGCATGTGGAAACAGAGCCAGGCACTCAATCAGTATGAGATGCCGATCGATGCATGCCACAGCGCACTTGTACAGTGTAAAGCAAGCGCGGCTAGCAGCCGTCGCCAAAGATGGGCGCAAAAGTTCAAAAGGCTGCGCTCACTGTGCTCGGTACCACAGAACGCCGCAAGTCATCGGTTCAGTAGTTGGTTCCTGTCTGAAGAAGACAAGGTGGGGCAGATATTAGGCAGTACTTTGCATGCTTGCTTAAGACTTCGTGTTTCCTGTCGGGGCCTCTCCTAGTTCTGCACCTTCATGTTGCGGGTCGCTTGCACTCGCTGACGGACTTATGTACATACAGAGCTACTTATACTTGTATCATGAAATAGTAATGCGACGGGTTGCATGGCTCTGATCACCACCTCCTTGAGCCAACCCTAACAGACATGGGGCAGAAAGGACTTCTTGCAGCTGGAGAGCGCCAAAGCCTTGATGTTTGTGGGAGGGGGCAGGGGGACCTGGTATTACTAGTAGCAAACAAGCTTCAGGCGCTCCAGCCTATGGTGCCACAGACCTTTGCGGAGGCTATCCTTGCTAGGCAGGGAGGGGACCGTGGCACCGGGCTACTGCATCCAGCAAGGAAGCAAAGATGAGCAGGTGGGAGCCGCTGCCGACAGTGGCGGCAACAAGAGCGGAGTACAGTCGCAGACTTGGTGATTCGGCAGATTCCTGGTCCACGCTGGAAGACACTTTCTTCAAGGCCTCGAGTGGCAAGATGTGCAAGATTCAAAACGACATGGGCGCGTGTTTGCCTGAGCTCGTCTCGTTCAATTCGTACTTGCCCCCTAAAGCCCTATATAATGTATAGATTATATATAATATATGTATATTATATTAAATTAGATAGATATATATATATATATATTATATCTTATAGATCTTAGTCTGTTGGTACGTCTGTTCATGCTCGCCACGAGGTCACCTTCTCCCGGAAGTGCCAAGCACACGTTCGGGCTCTTCCTCCTTCCACAACGTGAGCGATCTCGAAATTTGTCGCACTGCCCAAAGAGTCCAATATTGCTTAATTAAGGAATATTCCTTAAATCATACAGGGATCCTTAATATGATTTAAGGTATATTCCTTAAGGGATATTGGGCTCTTTGGGTGTAGCCGGCATCCCCAAGCATGCCGCCACTCGCCATGGCATCGCGTGCCCAGGATTCAGCTTCGAGTCGTGGCTCGAGTCTTCGCCATGGGCTTAGCGCTCCGAATCGCGAGAAGTCGTGCAAGCACCCTCAAGCTGCTTCATATACTAGTAGAGTCGTATACTACTATAATAATCTTAGTAGAGTCATATACTACCATAATCTAACGCAGAGGCCCCGCTTCCTGGAGGGAATCCGGTGGCGAAGGGCAAGGAGGACCCAGCATCTCGGTCCTGGCAGGACTGCCATGCCTCGCAGGTGTGCGCTACCTAAACCCTAAACCCTAAACCCTAAACCCTAAACCCTAAACCCTAAATGATGGAGCGACCTTCCGGCAGCTGAAGTTAAGCTGATAGTCAAGCAGTCCTTGGTGCGACATTCGTGCACGCAGGATCATCGTCTTGTCGGTCGGTGGCTCTACGGCGCTGCGATCTCAGCGATTGGTTTGACGGCACCTTTTGCCGCGCATTGTTTGCCAAATCGATCCTGAAACTGCAGCTAAAGTATGCCAAGGCAATCCAAGGATTCAACCTAGTCGACTGGAAACACCGCTTCTAAAAGCCAGCCGTGCTTGTACTTGCCGGGCCTGGCATGGGGACAGCGTGGGCCAACGGCGCCGAGGCCAAGCCCTCTGAGTACCGAATCGGGCGCAGATCAGATGGCTTGCTGGTTTTCATGGGTCCAGGGCCCAGCAATGAGGATCCTATATTGCAGGCCTTGGCGAGTTGGAGTGGCCAGCGCTTGGCACGAGGTCCCCATGCCTCCGGGGCCACTGTGCCAAGCGCTCAGTCTTCGGCACTATGCCCACGATGACACAGAATGCTTTCAGCGGCCCCTTGCTTTCCTGGAGCCTCCGCCGCCTTTGCCCGAAGGATGGGCGTGCTAGAGCCCGAAGGACACTGGCTGCAAGCAGAGCTTGCCTCAGCCAGCAGCTGGGCTGCAGTTGATTGGGCTGCTAAGTTGCATCAATCCACAGCTGTGGCAGGATCTGGAGGTTTCTGAAATTCGGGGTACTTTGTTGGCGTCCTTATGATCAGGGTATTTGACTATTTGGGTTCCATACAAGGGCCCCTAATTTTTTCCTAAACCCCCATCTGGCGCCAGGTGGAGATGTAGTGGGACACATTCGCCTCTTCTACGACCAGGAGGCGACCTTTGCACACCAGCGGATTGCCAACTTTGGTGGTATTCAGCGACATCGAGGAAGCAACTTCAAGGCAAGCTACAATATCATCTTAATATACTATGGCATGTTCATCATAGTTGACTTAATTCTAATAGTATATTATTACAATACATGTTTATAGGTCCTGTCTTGTCCTTTGAGGTCCTGACAGCCCCCCTGAGGTTCTTTGATTTTGGTTGTGTCGTAGTAGTACAAGCAGTAGTAGCACAAGCAGTAGTAGTAGCAGCAGTAGGAGAAGAAGTAGTAGAAGAAGACCAAGGGCAGCTGACGAACAGCTTCCGCAAACGGATCCAAAATCCCCAGAGCCGAGCTCGCAAGACAGACCTGCGCTTGTGTTGCACAGTTCCAGGAGGATGCAGTCATCTCCAACTTCAAGAACATCCAGAACGTTGATTGGGGACGCTCGGACTCAACCAAGCGGCGCACATTGGGCCATCATTTGGGCACGTGGTCACAGGAAGGGACATTGCCGCCAAGAAGGCGCGACAAGAGCAGCTGCGTGGCCCACTGTCACGATGGAGAAAAAAGTCAATGCCTCGATGTTACCCAGGGCGGTGACGAGGAGATCCTGACCACTGTAGTTGGAAGGTCTTGCCGGCGAAGCTGTTCTGAGCAAGTGCTTCAATCGGAGTTCTTTTCAATTGCTGTGCTTGATGCATTCGAGCCAGGTGGCTGCAGGCACGGACGGCGGATGCCATCACAGACCGTGACGAGGAGGACATCAAGTTATCAAGCCACACCACGCGCGACATGCCTCGTCACGAGATACATCACAGAGCCTCTTGCGGGCCCAAGATCGGCCGTTGCGCTGCTCGCGGAAGCTTTTTGCGAAGGAGTTCTGCTACGACTCTCTGTGCAACAAGCGAGGTCCGTCTGTCTGTCTCTTTGGAAAGCTTCAGCTGAGAGAAGCCACTTGTTAGGCAAGTGCCAGCGATGTGCCTGTTCGCTACTCACAGTTCTATTGCATCCCACAGCTGCAAGAACAGTGTGCGATCGCCTCATGCACAAGGCCAGATCTTCGTTTTATCCGAGCACCTCATGAACCAAGAGTGCTTGGCCTGGCTTGATTTTCTAGCATCCTTTCCGCCCCAAAGCTCGCAAAAATGTGGTGTATGCATGAGTGGGCTGAAATAAAAATGACCCTCCGCTGTAGGTTCCCTGGCTACAGGGTTGCAAGGGACCCCGCAGGGGGCGCCTGTCACTCCATCTTTTCTTTTTTTGGCACCTGAGAACTCGCACAAGTGCTAGACGCGCCGTGTTTTCGGTTTTTGTCTGCTTCGCATTGGCGTGCCCTTGCGAAAGGTTTAAAATGTCGCCTAATATCTTGGGATGATCCCCGTTATACTTACAGTCCTTAATAGGGAGATAGGGAGTATAGTACTCCCCGATTAGAATCCCTAGTATAAGGGGGAACATCCCAACTAGTATCGTTGAATAAACCACGGTTTGTTTCCGGATTTTCCCGCAGGTGGTGGGTCCGTCGGTCCGGCCATGGCATCCCGCGATCCCCGGAACGCCCACTCCCGGAAAACTTCGCAAGGAATGCCCTGGAGCCACACCCCAGAAGAATCCGGTAGGAGTACCTAGTGCCAACCCCCCCGAGAATCCCGCAGGAAATGCCACAGAGTCTGCCTGGAATCTCGAACATCCCGCAAAGAATCTGAGTATCGCTGCCGCACCCGCATCCGAGAGTCCCTGGAGTGCCCACCTTCAGAGAACCACGCAAAGCATGGCATCCCTACCCGAAGAATTTTGCAGAGAACCCCAATAGTCCCCCAGAGCTGGCGTTTTGGGGTATGGATGCTCAAAGTAAATTTTGATAAATATTGTTTTCAACTAGTGTAGGCGGGGTCCCTTATAGTACAATCCAAATCGAAAGAACGCCACAACGTATGACTGAAGGGTGCAGAAACTCAACGACATAGGGGGCGCGTGTTCAAGCCAGTGGTCTGGAGGACCCCTAATATAGAGCCCCAAATAGTAGGATCCCCATATAATAAGGACCCCAAAAAGGTACCCCTCATATCGTAAACCCCCATTGGAGGGGGGGTAGTGACAGGAGGCCGAGGAGAGGAGGAGGAGGAGGAGGAGGAGGAGGAGGGGGAGGAGGAGGAGGAGGAGGAGGGTGTGGCGTCGCTGGGCGAGGCCGCTGGGCAGCGGCCTCGCTGCTGCACACTTAGGCTATAGACCTCGGCGCAACTATGTTGTTCGCAGATGTTTGGCAAAGATAGCTAGAGATGTTGTGCACCCGTCGGATTGCTGTTTTTGGCGCGCCGCTCGAAACTGGATCCCCCTCACTCTGTGGCGGCAGTGATGATGGTTTCCAAGGATGCTTTGCAAGCGATGTGGCTGTGCGGCCATTCATCATGCCGGGGGCCCGTGGGTTTATAAGACTTCTGCCTCGCAAGGCATCTTGCGCCGTGCAGGCCAAAGTGGGCAAGTACCGGATTCATGACCATGCCCAGAAGGGCGGCAAGGACTCGGAGGAAGCGCACGGCAGTGAGCGGCCCAAAGTGAGCTTCAGGCGGTGAGTTCATGGGCGGCAGGGAGCATCCGAGAGCCCCTCGCCTGCCATGAGGTGCACCCGCAAAGCCGGCGCAGAAGTCGCCTGAAACTCAGCCACAGCATTTAAGGGCCAGTGCTGTTTTGGGGGAATATGTGTCGTGTCCAAAGCACCAGCTCTTGAAAGCTTGTGCTGAGGGCGATGGATGAGATGCCAAGCCGACGGTGGAGCCTGGATGATGTTCCAGCCTTGGGGGGTTTCCGATATTGGGGGGTACCTTGTTGGGCTGATTATAAGGGCATCCTTCTATTTGGGGTCTATATTCGGGGTCCCTTATTTTCGTAAGCCCCCCCACTTAGACCTCCACAGCTGTAGCTCTGGACAGAAGGTCGGGTTTGAGTCTGGGGTGGAAGTTCGGCTAAGGCATCCTTCGGATCGCAACCATGTTCAAGATCAAAAGTTTAGGACCCATGTCATGCATTGTGCCATGATCCGTGGCGTGTTCATATGCATGTTCATGGTGAGGCGCCTCCGAGCGAGGAGATCGTTGAGTTCATCATCCGGTCCTTGCCTTAACAACAAGGGCTTCAGGCTCCGGCGCCCTTCGTTGCGCGGCATCCCAAGCTCAGAGAAAGGAGACTGACCCTCCACGCAAACTCATTCCCTGTAACGATGAGAAGGAGCGAGATGATCTCACTCTCTCTCTCTCTCTCTCTCTCTCTCTCTCTTCTTTCAATCCCTCCCTCCCTCTCCGTCTCCGTCTCCTTCTCTTTCTCTTTCCCTTTCCCTTTCTCTTTCCCTCCGCCCTCCCTCCCTCTCCCCGCTCCCCTCTCCGCTCGCTCGCTCGCTCGCTCTCTCTCTCTCTCTCTCTGTCTCTCCCTCTCTCTCTCTCTCACTTCCTCCCTCCCAGTCACGTTCCCAACTGCCTTTTGTAGCATCAGTACACATCAAATGTGTGTGTAGAGTTGTTTCGCCCCGCGAAGAAACGTTCGCAAGATCCATTGCTGCATCTGGTGGATTCCGAGCCAATCATGGATCCCGCATTCAGCACACTAGAAGTGGCAACCCGAGATCTAGATGATCCCCGAGGAATGCGCCTCCTAAACTTAAAACTGTAGAAGCTTACTGTGTTAATCTTTAGTACTAAACGCGCATGTATCATATGGTTCCTCTAACCGCAATAGAGCCACAAATGGCGCAGAGTTATCGTTGGTTCTGTTTTCCTTTTCTGTTGATTGCTTTAGCCTTGGTGGTGTGGATGGGTGGAATATGGGTTCCTGTGGGGAGTGAGATCCTGTTGGCGTTCAGGGTCGGTTGGTGTGGGATTGGCCCAGTACTTCCATCGAGAAAAGAGTTGAGGCAGTTGGAGCTCGCCAAGAACCTGTACGAGGTGCTCGGGGTGGCCCCCAGCTCATCAGCACTTGAGATTCGCCTGAAGCTCAGCTTGCGTCTAGAGTCTAGAGTCTAGAATCTAGGCCCCCTGCCCACCCTGCCCCCGAAAACCTTTTCGCCCGAAACCAGGATCAAGGGTCAATAGAACGGATTCAGGGACCCAAGTCTGACGTTGCGATGTGTCGTATTGAGGCCAGGCTTTTCGAGCGATCTCTCTGCGAGCCTACGCCTCAGATGCGGGCACAAGGTGACAGCGGGTTGTTGGGAAGTCTGCGGGCAGCACCCGCAGATCTGTCGGCCCTGGGAAAAGTTGGCATGCACCATGGGCAACCATGACTTTGCAGCGATACTCCTGCGCCGGCCGGGCACTGAGTGCGCAACGTCCAGGTCCACCCGGACAAGATCAATGCACAAGCGCAGACCGAAGATGAGTCCATGCCTCAAACTAGATGTTCCTCGGATGCCGGGGTCGTCACCTCAGCTCAGAAAAGTATAAGCTTCTTCTTGAGGCAGAGCCTCTCCGCACTTGCAGAAGATGCGTTCAAGCTGGCAGGAAACTGAGCAGTTTTCTTCAGGATCTTCAAAGAATTGTCTTTCCACGCTCCAAGGCTTCAGGGCTAAGGGCTCAGGGCAGGGATCAGGTGCTCGTGTTGGCACAAGAGCACCTGCAACGTCCGGTTTGGGGCCATCAGGGTGGGCCGCAGTGGGCTGCAGAGGCTTCTTCTGCTTACGAAGTGCTGAATGATGAGATCGAGCGACGATCATACGAGCACTCCTCAGATCTCCTCAGGTGTGCCAGCTGCCCTAAACCCTAAACCCTAAACCCTAAACCCTAAACCCTAAACCCCAAACCCCAAACCCTAAACCCTAAACCCTAAACCCTAAGCCCTAAACCCTAAACCCTTTCCTGCAGCGTCCCTTGGTCTCTCAGGACCGCCAGCTGTACTTGGACTGGGTGCGGACGGAGAAGCCAAAGGCAAAGCCGAAACCGAAGCCGAAGGCAAAGCAGCAGGCACAGACGCTGGGAGCTGAGTTGATTGCTTAGCCGTAGCATTTCCTTTGGCTAGCTATTGTTAGTCTTATTGCTGCGGCGGCAGCAAAAAAGTTGAGCGGACCTGCTCCTTCCATCATAATAACCTGCCGTGCCATACGTGTAGCATCTGTGTATCGGTTGGCCGGCAGGGTAGACCCCATTACATGCTTGAAGCGACAAGACACCGGCGTTTCCAATGTGCTGGCCTTTCAGCTTTTCCGAGGCCCACGGCCGTGTGCAAGAAGCAGCAGCTCCCAGACTCCCAGTTTCAGAGTGGCTTGAGGATGAACTTCGGCCAAACCCCTCCTTTTCAATTCTGGCTTGACTTGTCATCCTCAGAAGCGTTCTCTTGAACAAGAGGGATTGTGATGGACAGCTCAGCGGCTGGCAACAGAAGGCACATCAGAGTCCTCTGCAAAGGCCTGAGCCGGCAGCTCCCGCCAAGGGCCTTTGGGCCTCTGCCTCAGTCAAGGGACAATAAAAACAAGAATAAGAATAAGAAGAAGAAGAATAAGAAGAATAATAAGAATAATAAGAATAATAAGAACAATAAGAATAATAATAAGAAGAATAATCATAGTAATCGCACCAGTACTACTGGTAATAATAACGGGAGGCTTGGGGATCTTAACAGTGTGAGAGAGAGGAGTGGACTCCAAGTCTAAAAACAGGCCCATGGTGGTTGGGTTTAGGGTTTAGGGTTTAGGGTCTAGGGTCTAGGGTTTAGGGTTTAGGGTTCAGAGGTCCGCGATAAAAAAGGGTTTAGGGTTTACATTGCGTGGAAGAGCTTAGACTGTGGCGAAATACTGAGACCTTCGCATCAAGTGACTTGGGTACATGCCAAAAGTCTAAGAAGAGGATGAAGGACTCACACATGGCTGAGAAGGGCCGCGCATGCATGCAGAAGTTTGGGTTCTGCAAATTGGCAAATTGGTTTTTGTGGAGCTCCGTGCCAGAAGGCTCAAGCCTCCACTGAGGGCAGATGGGAGGAGGGAAAGGTTTAGCAGGGTTGCATGCGGTAGTGGTTTCCTGTGCTACTGCTACAGCAGTGATGACATGACTTAAGTGGCTTGCTACAGGGTCAGACTTCTGACTGGCGAGACCTCATGGCGCCCAAGCGTGCCCGAGCGTGCTTCGCCCTGCATATTTGCCTGATCGGCTTTAAAAGCAGCCTGGCGCTGGAGCCAGGCTTTCCCCAGCCCAAGCTTCTGCAGACTCAGTTGCTCACGCTGCCAGGACAGACATCTCAAGACAAGCTTCCACCCTGTGCCGCCACACCCGCATGCCCCGCTATGCCAGTGTTGACATCCTAAATAAAAACCCCCCGCAAACCCTTCGGCTCCTTCGGGCGCTTGCATGTTGTGGAGCACGAACTGAATGTGAAGCTAAACGAGCCAAGCAGGCGATAGGAGGAATGGGAATAACAACAGACGTGATAGCACACGAAAAGTACACAGAAGATGCACCCCAAAGTTGGAGGAGACCGACTGGCCTCCCTGCTGGGCACCACCTCCCTGGCCCGGAAAGCCCTCGAGCCGCTGCATGCAGGTCGCACGTGGGAGGCCTCTCATCGCTCTTCGGACATTTTTTCATTTTGAGGGGTGGCTCTGGAGGGCTGTTCGGGCTGTTCGGTGTCATGGACTGTCACAGCTTTTGTGGCCTTTGGGCATTGGAGGGGGTTGTGTAGTATGGCGACGAAACCTGGACTCCGATGGGACAACAGTGCCACGCCGGTGTTGATCGCTTAGCACCTGCGGCAACACCCGCAGCCTGCAGCAGCGAACCTAATGACTGTAGCTAAATCGTTTTTGCAGTAACACTTTGTGTCTCACTTGCGCCGTACATCGCATATTCGAATATGTTGCCCTTGCACAGGCGGTGCGCAATGGACGGGACCCCCTCCAAGCAGAAGGTTCCTCGAAGCGCCTGAGGCAAATGCTCGCTGAGCTGGCCTTGTCAATGGAGCCCATGGCCGCGCCTTGCATGGAGAGCACTGTCGTCGGTGAGGGCACCTGCAAGATGCTTGTGCGTCTTGCAGATGGCCTGTCGATCGAGTGCGTCCTTATCCGCATGGCGAAGCACTCGAGTCTCTGTGTTTCCAGCCAGGTGGGCTGCAAGCAAGCGTGCAGCTTCTGTGCAACGGGCAAGCTTGGCGAAATCCGTAATCTGACCACGCACGAAATTCTTGCACAAGTCTGGCTGGCCCAGCGGCAGGCGCGCACCCTCAATTGGCCGAGGGTCCGCAACCTTGTGTTTATGGGCATGGGTGAGCCTGCCAACAACCTGGACTCAGTAGCTGAAGCGCTGGAGCTTCTTACGGATGCTAGGAGCTTCAGCATGTCGGGCTGTTACATTACGGTGTCAACGGTCGCACCATCTCCGGCCAAGATCCTAAGTCTCTCGGAGCTTCCTTGCAAGCTGGCCTGGTCGGTGCATGCTGCGACCGACCCCGTGCGTCGCCAACTGGTACCAAGCAGCAAGCACTCTGTGACTGATCTGAGGGATGCCTTCCTGAAGTGCTTGCAGCTTCGCCCGGAGAAGTTCAGGCAACTCCTGTGTGAAGTGGTGCTGCTGGACGATATCAACACTGACCGCCGCCACGCGAAAGCACTTTCGGACTTGCTGTTTCCCTTCCAAAGGGACCAGATCCTTGTGAATCTGATCCCTTACAATGACATAGATGGACTTGCATCGCGTGGCGCGCGGGTGGATGCACAGACTTCAAAGATGAGGGCGCCATCCCTTGACACGGTACGTAGTTTTCAGCGCTCGCTCTGGCAGCGAGGGCTGTATTGCTCAGTTCGGCAGACGCGCGGTGAGTCCAAAGCTTCTGCCTGCGGGCAATTGGCTGCTGTGGCCGGGCTCGCAACACTGGTGAGCCAAAAGAATCCGACCGATGTGGTGGTTGCGGCCTTGTAGACTACCGGATGTTGTGATCCCCGCATAGACCCTTCGACGCCAGCCTTGTTTTTTTCTTTCCCGGGCCGTCTGTTCGGCGTTGCACCAGCTGAGGACACAGGAGATGAAGAAGACAAAGATCCAGGCCCCGAGTTCCACCCTAACCCTAAACCCCCAACCCCCAACCCCCAACCCCCAACCCCCAACCCCCAACCCCAAACCCCAAACCCCAAACCCCAAACCCCAAACCCCAAACCCCAAACCCCAAACCCCAAACCCCAAACCCCAAACCCCAACCCCAAACCCCAAACCCCAAACCCCAAACCCCAAACCCCAAACCCCAAACCCCAAACCCCAAACCCCAAACCCCAAACCCCAAACCCCAACCCCAAACCCCCAACCCCAAACCCCAAACCCCAAACCCCAAACCCCAAACCCCAAACCCCAAACCCCAAACCCTAAACCCTAAACCCTAAACCCTAAACCCTAAACCCTAAAGTTTAGGGCCTAAACCTTACATGGGTTGCAACTGTTCCCACTCTCCGGAAGCGACGTCACAAGAGGCGTCGTTCTGCATATTCTGTCTCTTCCTACCGTGAAGGCAGAAGGGTGGACGAATTCTTCAAGCCACACCCTTACACATGACCTACTCATGCTAGAGTCTTCCTGCCTCAAACACGATACCAGCAGGCGAGCGTGGTGTTTCCACATTCCTGGCTTCTTCAGGAATCCTACCATTGGCACTTTCATGAACTCGCCGTACTATGGCGAAGATGGCGTGCACCTGTCTTATGTTCCGAGGTTTCGTGCAGCGGTTGGCTGTCTTTCGTGTCACACGTGGATCAAGTGGCTACACGAGGTTCGGAAGCAGCGGGACGATCAAAGAGAATCCTGCTGGTGGATTCAGCTTTGAGCTGCCTGGTGGCGGCGGCATCCACATCGACAACGGATGCGGCCCCTTAGCGTCTCTTAGCAATTTGGCCTTCGGGAACACGGTCGACACGTGTAGGCAGTGACATGTAGTGAGCTCGAGAAGGGTCAAGGGTCAGGCATGTCATGGCGGCTGCTTGGTGTTTTGCAGCACTGCTTCAACAATATCATGCGTCATCCCTGTCTTCGCCTGCGGCCTGTGGCAAGGCTACCAACGACGTCACGGTCTGAGCTGTGCACACACCGCATGATCATTGAAGGCACTCAGCAGGAAATCGCCCGGATCAGTCAGCCACCAGCAAAATGTTAGCACATATTAGCTCTCAGCATGCGCAGTGTCCACCCCATCCACCCTCCGACGAAAGCTGTGCCCCCTACTGAGTCAAGCAGATGGAAGAAGACTTTGCGAAGACCGGCCACATCCCGCCAACGGCCTAAGGGGTATGAATGCCAAGCTAGTTTATGCTCTGCTGCGCTAGGGTGCTTAAGTGAGGCTGTACTTGCGATACGGTGCGAAGGTTTATTCAGCTAGCGCACATCGACAGGAGGGCATGTCATGGGACTGCAAGGCCACATCTCTGGCCACAGTCGCTCATTCCTCAGGCGGAAGGGTGTCGTTGTTGCAAAGAAAGGGAAGGTCAGCGGGGGTATATGAGGGGTATAGGTATGGGTAGTAGTGTGTGTCCATAGGTCGGGAGTTTGAGCGGCATCGGAGAACCTGCTGAAGCAAGCAATCCGGCCAGCCAGCAGCTCCCGCAAGCCGCTTGGGGCGGGGGGGGGGGAGGGGAGTAGTTGCTTGCTTTCGCCATCCGCCGCCTGCCCTTTTGGCCAGGAACACCTGTAGCAGTACAAGCTGCTACGTTAGGTGTAAATCTGTGCATCATTGCATCCATGCCTCATCAACAGCAACCCGCACTTGCTATCTTAGATAACTTCGTAAACTTCTAGGTCCTAGACCCCCAGAAAGTGTTCAGCCGCTGGGTTCTCGAAGCCAAACTGTTTCACCCAATCCCAGCAAAACGCAGCTGCCATGGCGTGGCTTGGACGCAGCAGCCGCCCTCCGCGAAAATCCGTGGGTGGCCACGAGAATTCCCTGCGAGATGCCATGAGGCAGGCTGTTAGGGCCATTGGCCCTAAACCCTAAACCCTAAACCCTAAACCCTAAACCCTAAACCCTAAACCCGTCAACCTGAGGTCTCGCGGCGGCATTACAATCAGGCCTCCTGCTGCCCCCACAGACGTCGAGGACCTCGGGCCGGTGTGATTGGGGATGGGAGCGGCTTTAGGGTTTAGGGTTGAGGGTTTAGGGTTTAGGGTTTAGGATAAAGGATAAAGAATGCAACTTGCTGGCGGCAGCTCCCTGTCAGGACAACGAGCCAGTGCCAGAGAAAAGCACGTTGGACTGGCTCAACCTCAACGCCTTCGCCCCGAAGGCCATCCAGGGAGCCATCGATCGAATTCGGCTCAGCACAGTGACGGGTGCTGGCGATGCAGAGGCGCGTAATCTTGCATTTGGAGCATGTTGAAGTTCCAGTTATGCTTGCGATGCTGAAGTGCACCCAGGTGCCAAAAGAGGCAGAAGGGGAGTTGCTAACATCCCCGCGTCGAATGGGCAATGACCAACCGACCAGTCGCTTGATAAAATTTAGCAAAGGCAGAAGACTTCTTGTGAGCGAGGCGCCATGCGGTTTGAGCTGTTTTTTGAGGTTCCACAGATGGTTATGTACGGCCAGCACGCAAGTCGCTTAGCTCGGCCCTCCGGGCTCGCGGTGGCATTACCCGTCCCTCTGTTGCCGAGACAGAGCCTGACGCACCTGCGCTGGACGAGCCTGACGAGCCTGCTGCAGCAACGGTGGATGAGGCGGATGAGGCGGAGTCGTTGGACAGCTCCGCTGCGGACGTTGAAGCTGCATCTGCGCAGCCCAGCGCCGACAGAACAGCCTCAGCTCCTTTGCCTTTGCCGGTTCTTCACGAGGAGGAGGAACCAGTGACATTATCGGTGCAGTCAACAGAGCGCCCAGAGAACTCGGCTGCCGAGAGCCCAGCGCACTCGGCTGCCGAGAGCCCGGCGCACTCGGCTGGCGCCGAGCACCCAGAGCACTCGGCTTCCGGGGACGCGGAGCAGACTGGCGAGGAGGCGGCCGACGCAGGGCCAGAAGAGGTTGAGGAAATCCCCGACAGGCAGGATGAGCCCGCTGAGTGTCCAGACCAGAGAAAGTTAGCAACATCATCTTTGTTCGGGCTAAGCAAACTTGACGGAGGCACTCCTTGTGCCAGTGTTGTCCAGCTAAGGCTGGAAGCGCCGTCTGAAGAACCTGAGCGAACTCAGGCAGACTCAGTTCAGGACACAGCCCAGGACTGCATCTTCCTTACACGGGTTTCGGAAAGATTCGTGACACCTGCAGATGGCTCTAAGTCTAATTGTTCCCTTGTTGGGGACGTTGAAGCCATGTACAAGCAGAGCAAGATCCCTCGCTGCCAGGACCCTGCTCCAAGATGTCCGAGTGGTCCGGACGACGCTTCCAAGGACTCCGAAGAGCCGAGGAAGCCCAAGGACCACCAGGCCTGCGGTTAAAAATTCGCGGCGTCATGGCGCCACTGTGACATGTGGATATGATGCATGGTTTCAGACCCAAGTTCCTGCAGTCCGAGCCGCACCACGCAGCGCGAAGCGCGCAGCGTGCAGCGTGCAGCGCGCAGCACGCAGCTTGCAGCATGCAGCACTGACTTGCCGATGAAATTGACAGCTCGCACATCCATTGCAAGGTGTTGCAGAAGTACATGTCAATGTGTTGCGACGCGCCTTTGGCATCAACCTCCGCGGTCCTGCAACGAACGCGCTGCATTCTGAGTGCTACATCCCTCAACTACCCTTTACACTGCAGAGCTCCCTCGAAGTAAGCCCTGAGCCATAAGCTAAGAAGCCTGTCATGAAGGACTCCACCTGGATACCGATGCCGACGCCGCTGATGGCGGCCACCGCCTCCGCACGCCGCGCGCCACCCGTCGTGGTGGCCCCGCAGCCCGAGGAGGCCCCGAAGCCCGAGGAGGCCATCCCTGTGCATTCCCTCATCCCTCTCTCCCTCTCTCCCTCTCTCGCTCTCTCCCTCTCTCTCTCTCTCTCCCTCTCTCTCTCTCTCTCTTTCATTGATTTTTGATATATTTTGTTTTCCTCTCTCTCTCTTTCTCTCTGTCTCTCTTCTCTTCTCTTCTGGGGGATCGTGTTTGTGAGCTGTGTTGACAAGTTGAACAAGACAGGGCCTTCAGTGATTCAAGTGAGGCCAACGAGGTGCTCTGCAGGCGTTACAAGGGCCACGTGAGGGAGCCGTGCGTTTGCGGCAGATCTTGTCTTAGGTCTTTAGGCGCGGAACCTCTGGGAATGTCCAGGCATCGCACGAGCCAGCAGGCAAACCCTTGCTGGCGCCAGAACCGCATCTGCGAGTCCAGACTCGAGATGTCGGAAAACTCAAGGACTCGATTGACCGATTACTGCCACACTTCTTTGGAACAGTGTTACCGTAGGATGGCTAAAGGACATCACCAACATGTGGGATGCGCATGCCTGTCATTTGGGCGGTGATGATTACGGGCACTTTCAAGTTCGCCAGGAGCTGCGGGAATTCTGGGGCAACAAGAGCTCCAAGGGTTTTGCAGGTCCTGGCCTCACGGGATCCAGGCTGGGACTTGCACCTTTTCCTGAATCGTGCCGTGTCCTTCTTGACCTGATGGGGGGCAAACATTTTTTCGGCAAGCTTCGGAGCAGATGCATGGGGGCGTGAGCAGGCTGTCGAAGAACGAAGCCCAGGCAACCTTGCAAAGGCTCCTAATCGCAGGCGCGGGGGTGGCACAACGCTGTACGAGCCCACGGTAAGCTCCAATACCTACGGCTTCAATTGTGGAAGTGAGTCGTCCCAAAGCATGTGCACCGAGGGCTTTGACGAACCTCGACTGGCTTGTCCGAGTTGTGAGAGTCGAAACCCGAAAGTCTAGCTGGGTATTTCCCAAAATAAAGGGTACCCCTTCTATACCCCAAATAGAATCGAGTCCCCTTAAAGGGACCTCCCAAGAAGGGACCCCCATATTCTCGGACACCCCCAGCTGGCTCAACAGTCAGCTCACCCCCTCGGAGGTGGAGATTTCGATGAGGTTCGTAAGCTACGGAAGATCATCGCCGAGCTGGAGTCAGCCTGAGTGCCATGCGTGCCCCTGGCTTCTCGATTTCTCGATCTTCAGGGTTCAGGGGGCTCCAGGATTCTGGGTTCTGCAAAAAGAACCCTAAACCCTGAAGTGCAGGGGACAAGCAGCTAAGGTGCTCTGCTGTTCCCCAAGCTCAACCATTCTTCATCGCAGCCATGTGTCGGCCCTTGGACGAGAACGGCTTGCTCATGTCAAAACAGCGCAAGCAGCGGCTTTTCCAAAGGTGGCCCTGTGTAGGCAAAAACTGAGCGTAGTAGACCTCGGCCTGTCTTTTGGTCGGTCAGCGCCCTAAACCCTAAACCCTAAACCCCAAACCCTAAACCCCAAGCCCTAAAAAAGCTGACCGAAGCATGCCATTACCACATCTCCGAAAGATCGTGCGTTTTCAAGGACACAGGCCGAGCTGCCATCTAGACATTCAAACAATGGTGCGAAGCGGTCAAATGACCCATCGAGTGGTTTTGTCTCCAATTCAATGCACGGGTGCAAGGCCATAACTTTCGCAACATGACATTCATGAGTGCTCGGAATCTCCGTGTCTTGGCACCGATAGCTTTTCCACCCCGGCACAATGGCGCGTGCGATTGCAGAAGAAGCTTGCGCAGCGGGTTTGACGGCCCATCCTTGCCGGAGCTTGGTGTGTCGCCATGTGCTGCTTTGCAGGGTAACACCTTCTCGCTCAACAACGGCCCTGCATGGGCCTGCTTCTCAGAGGGTGCTTGGAGGTTCAAGGTACTTCTTAACCAATTATAGCTGTAAGCCCCTTAAGAGCTCAAACATGGTTATAAGTACAGTTATGAGTACAGTCATAATTGGTTTATAAGTACCATGAACCTCCAAGTGGTCTTGACATGCCTTGACTCTGTCTTGATAGCATGGCCAGGCTGGGATGCAGGCACAGGCAAAGGCCAAAGCAGCCGCAGGCAACAGGCCCCAGCAACACTTTCCCTGACTTCTCCTTACCTGCACATGGAAGTTTCCGAAAATAGGGGTAGTTCCCAGAATATGGATTATAGTATTGTGGGTATCCCTTCTATTGTTACCTGCACATGGGGGTTTCCGAAAACAGGGGTACCCCTTTTTAGGGGGCTCCTATATTGAGGATTGTAGTATTTTGGGGTTTGTTAGGGATACCCCCCCCTATTTTGGGAAATGCCCACAGATGGCAGGCCAAATGGCTTTGAGCCGCCAGGAGGCAGGATGTGGAGCCAATCGGTTTAGGGTTTCTGGTTTAGGGTTTGCCACAGAGGATCGCAGTGAAAGTGTGCTTTCTTCGGAGACAGTGGTCTACCACTGTATCTGGTTTGGCAATTATTTGCTCGCCTATATATATATATATCTATGTATCCCCCCGCCTCCCCCGAACCCACCCCGGGACCACCCCAATTATCCGAAAACAAAACAACGTTTGCGCAAATGGTTTGCCTCTGGCAGCCTCTCCGGACATGACATTTTTGGACACACCTGACAAAACTCGACGGTCCCAACCAGGGTGCACAAGAAGGACTGCCCAAACCTGGCCTGGTTCTTCTTCTCATGAGCAATCAACCACAAGAGGGCTGATCAGGCAAAGACTCTTTTTATCTTACACCCGAAGAGCCCAATATCCCTTAATTAAGGACTACATACCTTAAAATCATATGAAGGGTTCCTATTTAATTTAAGGAATATTCCTTCATGAAGGGGTATTGGGCTCTTTGGGCACCGGGTTTCGTCAGGCCTGCCTGCGTTTCCGGGGGTTGCTGGCCCTGGCATGCCTAGACCTCAGCTGAGCAAGGTGCCGGAGACTCCGATACCCCTTACTTAAGCAGTAGTCCTGAAAAGTATACGAGGGTTCCTGATTATATGTGGTTTAGGGATGATCTTCCTTAATTGAGCAATATTCCCTAAAACTCTACGAGGGTTCCTTATATGGTTTAGGGGCTATTCCGTAAGAAAGGGGTGTTGGGGTCTCTGGGGTGCGTGCGGTACCGTTTCGGGGCTGCGTATGCCGTGTTGAAGTTGCAAGGCCATTTCGCCCCATGGGTACGGCAAGCTCGGGAGTCAGCCCAGTTCCCATGCCACCAGGTTGCAGAAAGTGTCGTAGCACCAAGAAGCCATATTATCACATCATTGTTCTATGGTTAATTACCATCGTTATCGGATTAAGTACCCTTGTTATGTGAGTAAGTACCCTTGTCATGGTAGTCATATTATTACCGTCAGCTGAGAAGTTCGCGCATTTGAGGTTTCAGCCTCCAGGCCGGGCCGAAGTAGTAGTTACTTCTTGGCGGCTGGCTGATGCTGGCTGCATATTGTCGCAGATTCGGGCGTCGGCATGGGCCATTGCGATGTCATGTGCTCTCGACGTGACATCACACTCTGTGTGATGTGGTTTCTGCTATGCTGTGTTTCTTGTGCAAGCAATTGAGACTATGCTGGCCGTAGTAAGTTGTACCCATTGATAGCGATCTCGTGCAATCCGGAAAGCTCGCGATGCCGCACTGCTGCAAGGTGCGAAGTGATGGAGATCGGACATCGGTCCTTCACATCAGAGTGTGAACTTTAAATGTAGGTAGCTCCTTTAGGTTAGAAAGCACACAGGCAACGCCTTTGAGCTCGTTTCCGCGAAAAAGCTGACGCATGAAGCTAAAGCCAGCCCATGACAGCATGAATGTACGGATTGGTAGACTTGCACGATGCGATGTTGCCGCTGTTGCCGAATCAGGGAAGGGGCGAATAGCTGAAAAGGATATGACAACCTAGCATGCCCACAGCCCGCCCACACCCCACCCAAGCCTCACAGAGCGGCAAAAGGTGCAACACCTCATGGGCTCGTGGATGGTAAGTCGGCAAAAGACAGGTTTTGGAAACGCGGCCTTAGCTTGCCAAGAGCACACAAGCACGCCAGACCAAGACGTCGAAAAAGCAAAGAGAGCTGCGGAAGCCTACCTGTAGCAATCTGTGCCAAGGAGCAGGGCTCAGCTTTTCAGTGCTTGCCTTATATCTATATGATGTGTATATGTTAGCCTATATGCACATTATATACATATATATGTATATATTGTCTCGGGCTGCCACCCCCCCCATGGTATCCCCCCCATCCTCCCTCGGATCCCTACCCCCCCCCGCCCTGTGGTGTAGGTGTGGTTGAGGTTTGGGGTTTAAGGTTCAAGGTTTAGGGCCTACCCCGCACCGTGCCCGTGGTGTGATTGGGGGGTTGGGTCAGGATTTGGGGGTTGAAGGTTTAAGAGATCCGCCGCCCGTGCAAGAATCCCTGCGCACCCCCCCCCCCCCCCCGCATAAGTTTAGGGCTTAAGGTTTAGCACCCCCTGCCTGTGCTGTGAATGGGGGGTTGGCGTTTGGGGCCCGGGAGCCCGAGACCATATTATATTATTATATATATATATACACACACACATATATATATATATATATATATATTAAATTGCTTAAATGAGTGCAAAAGAACAAAAAATATGTAGAGCACATACACACACACATATCTATATATATATATATATATAAGTACATACACACACATACGTATATACTATACTCGTGCTTCACAAACCAAAACCAAGGGTTCCTGCACCGAGGGTCGGGGCCATGGGCCCCTCCGGGCGCCGGCACGCCCTCGACGACAGCCGGATGCTGAGCAGCTTCTTTTGGGGGGGTGGGGGGGGTAGGGGGGGTGGGGGGGGGGGTTTAGGGTTTAGGGTTCAGGGTTTCAGGTGTCGCCGGCAACTTCCTCAGTCCGTGCTTAAAAAGGGTTCAGGGTTCGGGGTTCGGGGTCTTGGTGATCCGTTCTTCATGACGAGGAGAACGGCCAACCTCGTGGGGCAGTTCCCACCGTGCGAGGTCTGCAGAGGCTGGACATGTTGGGCGAGCCGCAAGTTGTTGTGTTTAGAAAGGTGGAGTTGGTTACTGTGGAGCTGTCCAATGTGATGAATGGTTCACTTTCCATTCTTGTGCAGGAAAGGGTCGGCAGACACGAATCTTGGGCACGCCGCGATGATCCAGCTGTAAGCCTAAAGACTCTTTCGCTGCAGATCTCCAGAGTGCTGACCTGCCTCATTTCTGTGTGAATTGTCCTTGCTGCCGATAGTTATTATCACTATTCAGTCCTGGCGCGGCCGAGAAGACCTCGACGAGCGAGGCCATCAGCACAGAGTAGTGTCAGTTTTTTCTATCGGACGCACACTTCCTGAAAAATGCATGTCACGAAAGCTAGCTCCTTTGGAGCTTGCGGGAGTTCTTGTTTACCAGTTTGTTCTTGGGTCAAACAGCACTCAGGGGCCTTAATCTCCGATATATCGGAGGTTTAAGCTGCCATGGGGGGGGGGGGGCCCCCCCCCCCCCCCTCTGGGGGTAACCACACAAGAAATCGGGGGGGCCCCATGTTCCCGATACCCGCCCCCCCTTAGGTCAGCATTGTTACTTATCATTTCAGGGCTGAGCAGCGCGGTCTTCACACCTGCGCCCTAGCTTTCGTTCGCCCTGCTCTCAAGTGTGCCATTAAGGGTTTTGTGATGGAAGGATGATTGGTGAGGTCACTGCTTGAAGAGCTAGCTAGGCGTTGAGTTTCATGGTCACTAATCACTCGGCACGGCGTGACGACTCCTTGTTCCTGAAATCACAGGAACCTCCTGGTACGCCTCTGGGTGGTACGACCGCGATGATAGCAGGCTGGCGGGCATTCCGGGCACGCAACTCAAAATGTCCCGCAGAGCCACTGGCATCCTGAGGTCGCGGAAGCGACCCAGTGGCTGGGGCGCAGTGCTGACCCCAGCACCTTGTACAGGTAGCACTGCGACACGCGTTTTGAGCATTGCTGATGTTGCTCAGCTCGCATTGCCTGACCGTCTGCGTCAACTCCTCTCACTTACAGAAAGCCTCTGGTAGCTTCATTCAGTCGCGGTGCGTGGTAGGAAGGACGCATGATGGGTGCTGATGTGTGATATTGCTAAGACCTCATGTACAGTCTTGCATAGCAAGCGCGGATTTAGATACTTATAATGGAGGAAGATGTGCACCACATGGCACACGGTGGTAGCGTGAGGATGATCGAGACTGGCGTGCAGACAGCCGCGCTCGACAGCGCCCAGCTCAGAGTTGCTGAGATCCAAGTGTTCAGGCTGCTGAAGTTGACTTTTTGGTGCAACTGATGCATCTCCGCAAGCATGCAGTACTGTCGCAGCAGGAGATAGTCAGAAGCATAGTCGTAGCCAGGTGTTTTGTTCCATTCATCTTCATCATGTGTCTGGGCTCTGAGCTCCTCCGCCATGTAGACACGTAGACCCAAAGCTTCTTCCGTCCGCGCGCTCGGCCCCTGTTCTCTGATCCTGCACTGGCACAGCGATGCGCCATCGTGCACATGATTGATCATGCTTCCCGAGATAGCCCTCTTGCTGAAGGCCACCATGGTGCTGCCCCAGCCGCCCCTCTATGTGGTCACCAAGCCGATTCGAGCTGCGACCTGCCTGAAACGACAGCGTGCGTGGACAAGTGAAGTGTTGACCCTTTCCGACACACACACACACACACACACACCTTGCGAAAGATGCTGGCCAGGAGAAGTGGAAAGACAGGAGGGTGATGCGAAAAGCCAAGAAGCTTGCCGCCAAGCAGGTTGGCAGATCAGCATTCTTCAACGCCTGCCCAGCAGAATAGAATGTGTTGCCCCAGGCTCCCTGATCCCAAGGCCTCCCCATATCAAAGGGAGGACAATGTGTATCTCTCTGCACTGCACAGTGCATTTCAAGTTTCGGCCGCCCCTGCGCATATGAGTGCCCATATTGCAGATCGAGCGGGATCGTCGGAAAGAGCAGGGCCTGGCGAGTGACGAGGATGACGAGGTTCCCTGCAGAAGCACCTAAGTTCTCTGTTCTTTGCATTGCATGACATGGTGCCGGCTTGTGCTTGTGCACTCCTGCAGGTTATCATGGACGACGGCAAGGCAAGGGTCTTCCAGAGTCGAGACCGGTGCCCAGCGTAACTTTTTTTTACCGCTTCTGTGCTGGCCTGGCCACATGCGGTATTCAGAAGCCGATTGATACTGCAAGAGCGAAGCAGAAAAGCTGGCAACTATTGGCAACTGCATGCTGCCGTGGATGGCTTGTTCGCGACACCCGGTGCAGGATTTCAAGCCTGAGCCGGTCGCCGAAGAGCCAGCAGAGACCAAGAAGAGCAAGAAGCGGAAAAAGAAGAAGAAGGGCGAGGCTTTCCCTTCTCGGTGCGCACATGGCCTCCCACTCAAAAGCCATAGAATATCCAGTCAAAGCCCTGTCAAGGCCCAGGAGAATGAGGCTGAGGAGGTTGAGGACAAGGCCGCCGAGACCCTGGAGCCTCCTGCCAAGAAGAGAGCCTAGCCTGCAAACGGCGGACTGTTCGATTTGGATGTGCCCCAGAGGTTTTCTTTGCATTCCAAGGAAAGAAGAAAAAGAAGAAAGCCAAGAGCCCGGCCGCAGAAGCTGCGCCCGATGAGGAGGAGGAGGACGACGATGCCGATGAAGACGAGGAAGGCGTCGATGTCGAGGAAGAGGAAGAGAAGAAGGATGAAGGTCCTCCAGCAGAAGAAGTGCAGCATCTTGGCTTGTCAATTAGTTAACTACATCTACCGATGCTGTGACATGCATGTGGCGCACGCCGCGCGAAGCACCCTTTCGTGTTCCCTTTTGCTGTTTTGGGCATGAGTCGACGCGCGATGCTGTGCGAATACCTAGCTGCGCCTCCCAGGGATGCGATTCATAGCTCTGGCTTCTTCAGCGACACCCGCTTCGACTCCTTGGAAATCTGCGAGCCGCTGAAGAAGGACTGGCCTGCCAGAGTCCGAACCGCAACCTTCTGATAATTCTGACCATGTCTTGAAGCATGAGCCCGATTCAACTAAAAGTGTTCGGACTGCCGCATCTTTGGACAGGCCCTCAAGGAGCATAACTTCGAACGGATGACCGAAATCCAGGCAAAGTCCATTCCCCACCTTTTGAAGGGGAAGGATGTACTTGCAGCGGCGAAAACAGGCAGCGGAAAGACGCTGGCCTTCTTGGTACCTGCTTGCGATCTGCTCTACAATGTCAAGTTCCTCCCAAGAAATGGCGCTGGTGTGATTGCAATCTCACCGACGCGGGAGCTGGCAAACCAGATCTATGATGTGCTGAGGAACATCTCCAAGTACATGTCTCAGTCAATCGCGGTGGTTATTGGAGGGATGAATCGTAAGCCAGAGGCTGAGAAGCTGGCAAAAGGTGTCAACATTCTGGTGGCCACTCCGGGACGTTTACTAGATCACATGCAGAACACCAAAGGTTTCGTGTTTCATAATCTGGTGAACTTGACCATCGACGAGGCAGATCGCATCTTGGAGGTAGGTTTTGAGGAGGAGATGAACCTCATTATCAAGATGCTGCCGAAGAAGCGGCAGACGTCCTTATTCTCGGCAACACAGACACGGAAAGTGGCAGACTTGGCCCGACTCTCCCTGAGCAAGCCAGTATTCGTAGAAGTCAAGACCCAAGACAACGTCTCCACCGTCGCGGGCCTGACGCAAGGCTACGTGGTCTGCCCAGCCCAAACACGGTTTCTGTTGCTGTTCACCTTCCTCAAGCGGAACAAAGACAAGAAAGTCATGGTCTTCATGTCCGCCTGCAACTCTGTCAAGCTCCTTAGCATGACACCGGTTAGCAATGTGCAGCTCTTCATTTCCTTGAGCACCTCCTTGCTGTGGTTGCAGTGTTGCTGGTGTTTTTTGCCCCCTGAGGTTCCATGACGAGTTGTTGAACTACATCGACCTTCCCGTGAGCTGCATTCACGGTCACAAGAAGCAGTCGGCAAGAAGTTCGACGCGCCCTTGCCAGCATGGAAGTTTTCGAGCTTCTGCAGCCCCGTTTCCAAGACTCAGAGGCATGCGAGTGACACGATACTTTATGGTTAAATCAACAGGCAAGGTGATAGTCGAGATGCAATCCACAGATGTTGCAGTTGCTCGGAGTTGCTCAGGTACTATCAATTTTGTGCTGCTGAGACGGGAATCTTGATTTGCACAGATGTCGCGGCGCGCGGCCTAGACATCCCGAAAGTGGACTGGATAGTACAGCTTCTCGGACAGCACATGGTGCATGATATAGGCAGCAGGCATCAGGAGGTGACCCGCTCCTGATTCTACGGACTGACTAGTATATGCTCCGTTGTGTAGTTGCAGCGTGTGCTTTGTAAGTGCATGTTATGTGTGGTGCAGTTGCACCCCTGAACGCTTCACCTGCTCGCAATGGCCCAGCACAGTCACGGAACATAAAGAACACCTTCAGAAAGGTGTGCCATCCAGTCAGTCTTCGAGCAACATGACGTGCCAGCGCATGCTAGCAATGCACGCCCTTTTTACCTTCGTGAAAACGAACGCCGCCTGTGAACACTCCATGACCCTCCTCACATCCTGCTGTTGATCTAGATTCTTACTTCTGATGAAGTGGAGGAATATTCGTTGACTGGAGTACTCCGAATTTGGATGAATTTGGGCTGGGATCTGATCACAAGCGTTCAGTAGCCCCGAGGAGCATTGCTAGAGGGGTGGCAGAAAACCCTAAACCCTAAAATGAACCCTGCCCCGTGCAGTCGCTAGACGGGTGGCAACACCCCAACTCTAGGCCAAGCCGTAGAAAAATTCTTTGGCCCAACCCTGAAAAAAAGTACCGTGCTGCGCGAACTGCAAGGTATGACCCGCCAGATGAGCCGAAGGAGCACCTAGGGCTGTGCTTAGTCGACTCGACCGAAGTTCGAGTTCGCCACGCTTCGCGGCATTGTTCAGGGGACATGCATGTGAGCAAGACCACCCCGAAAGCCCTGCTGCATTATTGCACAAAAAGCGAGCTGCAGATGAGGCCTTGTGAACATCTCATTAATTTCCACTTGCCATTAATATAATAACACCCCCCCCCCCCCGCCCTTGATTGATTCAATCTTTCCGGCAGGAGGCCGAAACATGGAATTTGAATTGCATAGGGGTTGGGGGTTTACACTGGCTGTAGTCTTGTTTGGGAAGTCTGTCTCCGGCCCCTTCTGGCAAGGGAACCCTGACACCAAATCCCGCTCCTCGAGAAGTTCTGGGACTTCTTCTGTTTTTACCCGGCGGGTTTGTAACTTGCCAAGTCATCATTAACCCTAAACCCGAAACCCTCCTAAAGCCTAAACCCTTAACCCTAAAACCCTAAACCCTAAATAAAGCCAGATCTGCCACTTCAAACTTGAGAAGTCTAAAGCGCCTGGCTTGCCGCAGTAGCGTCGAAGATCCGTACTCGGTATTTTGTTGGTACCTACAAGGCACACAGCACAGAGAACAGCCTTGGGAGTTTATATGGGAGTGTTCGATAGGGAATCCGACTATCTGTGGGTCCATCTTCGGGCCCCCTAAATTCGTAAACCCCCCCCCCCCCCCACTTTCTTCGTTACGCGTCCTTTCCGTGCTCATGGGAAGAGGAGTACATCCACCGAGTGGGACGAACTGCGCGCGGGGCCTCTGGCAAGGGTAAGGCCTTGCTATTTCTCATGCCGGAGGAGCCTGGGTTTAGGGTTTAGGGTTTAGGGTTTAGGGTTTAGGGTTTCGGCTTGGAAGGGTTTAGGTTACGATGTTCCCCTTCTACTAGCAGTCCTTTATGGGGATGGCACCCCCGACTCGAATCCCTGTTAAGGACTGTTAGGACAAGGGGGAACATCCCAAGGTTTAGGGCTTAGGGTTTAGGGTTTAGGGTTTAGGGCTTAGGGTTTAGGGTTTAGGGTTTAGGGTTTAGGGCTTAGGGCTTAGGGTTTAGGGTTTAGGGTTAAGGTTTAGGGCTTAGGGCTCCCGACCCCTGTTTGAGGAATAGCCTGGGGCTTGTTTTGGTGGAGGCTCTTGGGCTCAAGGCTTTGTTTAGGGTTTAGGGTTCAGGGTAAACCCTAAACCCTAAACCCGAAACCCTAAACCCTAAACCCTAAACCCTAAACCCTAAACCTTGAGTGGCAGGAGCTGGGCTTTCTGCATTACTTGCGGCGGGCTGGTGTTCCTGTGGCAGAGTATAGCTTCCCCTCGAGCAAGATCGTGGCTTGGCTCTGCCTTAAGTGACTTCAGCGTGGCTGTTTGCAGAAGTGTCACCCTAAACCCTATTCCTAAATGTCATTGACACATGGGCATGGCTTTACGACCTCACGACTCAGGCGAATATCCAGTCCCAATTGGAGTGTCTAGGTTGCATTCTCGACAGCCCACGGCGTGAGTGCAGGTTCAACAGCGTATCATACCGCATGATGGCGGCCTGCAGGCGCGTCATCGAAAAGAACTACCACTTGCACAGAAGTTCGAGGGACGCGTATCGGTCGTACATGCACGCATATGCGGCCCACAGCCACAAGGACTGCTACGACGTGCATAAGCTAGATCTTGCTCAGGTTGCAAAGGCCTTCGGCTTTGCACACCCTCCCAAAGTGGAGCTGAATCTTAAACACACAGCAAGGAAAAAGGCGACAGGCACAAAAGGCACCTTGAAGCAGCAGCTCTCGGCAAAGTCCTCTGGGCACCAATTCTCAGCGGACAACCCGTATGGGCAGCGGGATGCCAGCGACAAGAGGCAGTTCAGCCGATAAGCCGTGCTTTACGCCTTCACTCACGCAGGGTGGAATAGCGTTGGCAAGCCACTTTTGCATGACTTCTCCATCTTGACATGCCTTTCACCCTGCTAGCGTCAATGGATGTAGCTGGAGCAGAGCACTCAGCCTCCAAGGTCCTGTTGCACTCCCATGCAGCTCCCCTCAACCCCCAGAGGTGCTGGGCCTGTCAGGGCCTAATAGGATGTGCGACATGGGCGTGCAGCAGGAGAGCTACCCACGGATGGGTGGTTGCCAAAGGCACCATCTCGATTATTCAGGAAAAATGGTGCTCAAGTTCGGGCAGTACGCATCGGAGTTGCTGCATAGTTGTCCTAGTGCTTGCCTAAAAGCTGGACGCATACACAAATGCTGATGTCTTGCACTACAGTAGCGATGCGAGCCATCGAAGGCGCAAGACTTGGCCGGAGACCTACCGAAGAAGGGACGACAGCCGTTCGGGCCTCGTAGTTTTGGGCTCTTTGCCATGTTAACATCCCGTGACAGCTTTGGGCTTGCAAGTTCAGGGATGTGATGGGATGTGTCAGGTCCCAGCAAGCGGAGGGCCGGAGGAGGACTCCCGTCTGCAGTGGCTTTGACATAGCGCGACAAGCAGTGGCAGTGCGCAGACCAGTTCTCAAATCCCTGATGCGAAGACCTATAGTAACTATACAGTATATCCATACCATGGGCAGACAGCCGCTCAATTCAACCCTATAGGTGCAACCACGCAGCTGTGGCCACCTACCGACGAACGATTCTTGCCCGAAGAGTGCTGTACCGAGGAGAACGGCCACCTGCGCGGCATGCTCGCAGGCTCTTTCAAAATGCTTGTTTTCGCTGCGGCTCTGGTTTTCCAGAAACATGAAACAAGAAGCGTGGTCAAAGCTGGGCACAGCCCTTAGCCACGGTGAAGCCTTGACTACCGTATGCGGGCTGCTAGAATTTGACCCCCCCCCAGCCTATCCAAGGCCCGGCCCAGATGAATTGTGCAGTTATGGAAGGATCCTGCTTGCAGTTCAGGAGCTAGACATGTAGCCTCATCCAGGTCTGCTCGTTCCTGGCAAAGTGAGAGTGCCTCACTTCGCAGCCGCAGCCGCAGCAAATCCGGTCACAAGGACTGCCTGAGTTGAATTCGAGAGGCTTTGTGGTGGTTGTTGGACGCCCTCTCACTGCCAGGAGGGTTATGGCTATGGCTATGGGCACAGCCGCAACAAAGGTTCGCTTGGCCATGCTTAGACTCTATGATCTCACGCGCCGTATTTTCGGGTGCAAAGCACGGAATCCAGCATGGCGAGAGGAACCCCTGTGATCGAACCACCTGTAGCGACCCCAAGCATTCCCAACCTCCTGCAATGCAGAGAGTTAGTCACTCCATTGCTGCCAATCTGGCAAGGGCTCTTCCTCTTCTGCACCCCTCGCAGAGGGGGAGGGCGGTGGGGGGGGACGAAGAACCACCCTGCCCACCCCCGAAACCTGTGAATCTCACGACTGAACACTTTTTATATAAAGTTTTATGTAGACCTAATGATTTCAATTAAGCATTATTGATATAACGTTTTAGTTATATATATATATATATAGAATAAGAATCCTGCACGTGAGACCTCTTTGGCGGAGTTGTGTCCCTGCCTCTTCTGCAGGTTTGCGAGCCCCGGCGCCTCCGGTGGAGGTGCCGATTGCCACCAAGGCCTCATTCTTGCCTAGGGTTTGGGGTTTAGGGTTTCATACTCCTGATGCTTATACACAGTCCTAAGTTTCAGATCCCTGCAGTGATTGTGGGGTCTGCTTTGTATCGCACATGAAGCTGGCGAGTTGTCCGGAGCCCAGTATTCAAAAGGGTTTAGGGTTTAGGGTTTAGGGGCTGTGCACCTTTTTCAGCCAAGTGGGCAACAACTCCCTGGATGCCAGGCGGCCAACGGACAAAAGCGAGTTGTCCCCAGACCGAAGAAGAAGCTAAAAAAGTCAGGAGCGGGACGTGACCTGGGATTGGAGACAAAGGTGGACTGGTCACTAGGCTTTGCATCCAGAGCGAAGGTTTTGGCCCAGGCTTCTTCGTTTTAGACACATGTGCGAGACTCTGCGAGAATCGTCTATTACGAGTAGGCCCTGGACTCGTAGCTGAAATGCACCTCAACACCTGACTCCAGGATCTTGTCCTGTCATCATTGACAGCCTGCTACCGAGGTAGGGATGCGCGTGGCATGAGCTGACCTCGCTTCGCTTGGGGTAACGGGAGTCGTTCGTCTCATTCGCAGCTTGCGGTTTGCAACTCGACAGCTCGAGTTAGGCCCGCTTAAGTGCGGCACCAGGCTCATTCCTGGACACCACGCATACGTGAGCGTGCACCCATGTGCAACCCAAGCGCAATGCGAACGTCTGACGCATCTCGGCGTAGCCGAGGTCCGCCCGCAGGTCGCGAAGAGCACCTCGCAGAGTGTGACCCTCAGACACCCAAGGTGCCATGTACATCCTGCACACGAATGTTTACGGCGGGAAGCAGAGAGCCCAGGTCTTCCAACACCCCTCAGCTGAGGATTATCCCCTAATTTATACGAAGGATCATGATTATGAATTAGGGCATATTCCTTAATTGAGGACTTGAATATCCCCTAATGTACACTAAGGATCATGATGATGAATTAGGGTATCTTCAATTCCTTAATGAAGGGGTTTTGGAAGATCTGGGAGCACTAGAAGACATGTGCAACTGGCAGTCGATGTCATAGCTGCTCAATTTCGACCGCAATGTTGTGGAACGTGCGCACGGAAATTTGAGGGACGGCGAGCTTCCCAAGCTCCAATACGATCCTTACCAACTGCAGCTTGGCTGAATGGAGGGGGGTAGGGGGCGGGTAATTCTATAATCTGTGTCATGTAGTTTACGGTATACTGTATAGTACTTGTATCTATGTAAAGATAGAAGAATATATCTGTATCTAGACCTATACCTAGACTTTATATATCCATATCTGTTCACACACACACATATACATATATATACACATACATATATATATGTATATTGCCACGATCTTATTGTTATTGCATATAGTATTATGTATATGCTTCAATCCAAGTCGTGCCATCTCCAGCCTCAAACAATCCCAGTGCTCAACTCTGGGGCCCCGCTCTTTGGTTGTCTCTGTTTCGGTGTGACCCCTTCTTTAGGGTACCTTCTACAGGGCCCCAGAAGTGGCGAACTGACAGCATCCTCCCTTACCCATCATGCTTTGCAACCCTGATGTCTACGAAGGCTCGATCCGACAGATCCGATCCTGCCACCAAAGGCCCGCTGCTATCATGTGAGGTCCCCGTGCTTGGTAACCTTGGTATCGCCCCTGAGATTCCCTGCTGTGACAGTCGCGTGGCGCGAAACAATTGTGGAGCGTGTCATGAGGGTTGGGTTGTGAGAGCAGCTCCGAGAAGCGGTTTCGACCCAGGCATAAGCATGCCTTGGTCGGTCTGTCTCTTGCGGCGTAGGTTCGCGGCCCTCAGCACGACGCATTGACGTGCAGTATCAGCAGTGTAGGGCTTCCAAAGGCCTAGAATACTTGGCTAGTCGGAGGGTTTTCAGGAGGGTTATGGCGGGCCGGGTGGGGGGGGGGGGGCCGGGGACTCTTGAAGCGGAACAAGTACAGTGGACGGATGCCATTGGCTGCTCATGATCAGGGCACGAGCGGTGCACAATGGTTGTCCTTCGCGTGGTAAGAGTCCATATAAATGGCATCTGAGAGTTTTCGGCAGTGGAAGCATGGGCAAGAATTAGCAGTGAACGAAGGCACCTGTCATAATAGCATATATTACGAGATCTACAAACCAAGCCTCGTCGTCCTTTTGGTCAGGACGCAGGGCAGAAAGCGCAACAGGCAGATGGCAGCTTCGTCATGACAAACAGGTACATGACAAACCCCTAAATCTTCAAACTCTCTTTCCTTTAGGAGCCATTTCGCATTCGCAAGATGTAAGCAAACAGAGCACAGAGCCGCCCAATCACATTGCTCCATCAGTGCTAGAGCAAAGACGGCTTGGCCATGGACGACTTGGGCAGCTTCCAGCTCCAGCTGCAGGCGATTTCTTTTATATTGTACATTATCTAGACTGCTTCCGGGATTCTATTCACGAGGAGGGCAGCTGGACAGAAATTGGGTGGTCGCATCCCCTACTTCAGAAAACAACCACTGCCTGTTGTTTGGTTCATACTCCATCCCCCGAGCCCCCTGAATCCCCGAACCCCCCAGGCAATGCTCCCACCCTAAACCCTAAACCCTAAACCCTAAACCCTAAACCCTAAACCCTAAACCCTAAACCCCCCCCCAAAAAAGGGCACTGACTCTTGGAGAGGTCTTCGCCGCCTCAGTGGCTTGCCTTGGGGAACCTGGCACCTGGGCAACCCGTCGGCCCATCCTGGAGGTCTCTTTGGGCCGCCCGGCTTGCGGTTTAGGGTTTAGGGTTTAGGGTTTAGGGTTTAAGGGTTTAGGGTTTAGGGTGGATCCTACTTGGAGTTCGAAGTAGGGTTAGAAGTATTGCAGCTATGCCTATCGCCCTGTTTGGGGTGCTTATAACCTCCCATGAACCTCCAAGAAAGTGCGGTGTCAGTAGTGAGTAGTGTGCCGGTATGACGCACACAGATTTGAGAGGCTTCCGAGGTAAGCAGCGCCGGGTTTGTGGGGCATGGGGTGCGGGGGTGTACGCTTCTTGGCCTCTTCGGCCCCTTTCGGTTCGCATCATCTGTGTGTCATTCCCGGGAAGAGCTGGGCTAGCATGCAGAATCTCAGAAGAAGGTGTCGCCAAGAAGGTTATAAGTCCTGCGATCCTACGGTTAGGTCTCCCGATGCTGCCCACACCCAGTGATCCCAGTGCTCAGGAGACATCCACAAGGAGACGAGGCCCGCAACGTGGAACGATTCGGCAGGCAGCTCACGAGGATCCTGCTGGATACCAAGCGGCCAAGAGTGCCCCTGGCGCTTTGATGATGCCTTGACTTTCACGGCCTCCGTGGAAGAGCTGGATACACACTCGGCTCTGAGCTTTCGCCTTCGTGTCCAAAGTGACGTCGTGCTGGGTGTGGTCACAGTAAAGCTTCCCACAGAAGTGCTTGGCATGGCCACTGCTGATCTGCTTCGGCACGTGCTTCCCATATGCAATCCAACGCGACAAGGTGACGACCGATTTCGCTACCAGAGCCCAGTGCAGATGGTGACCCTAAAGGAGGTCAATGCATCGGAAGTCGGCTCTATTGCCGTACTCTTCGCTTTGGATGCAGATCCGAAGGAGTTGCTGGCGGCCGCGAGCATAACGGCTGCTGCAAAGCCCTTCTTGCGCAGACCGGAGACCATGCAGGCAACGTGGTGGCTGGATTGCTGCAGCTCGGAAGGACGGCGAGTGTGCTCAGAGCATTGTGAGGCTGAACAAGGACCGGATGGGCAGGATGGAGACACCTCTCTGAATTTGCCAACCCTTCTTCGGCGCCCTGAACCCCCATCATTGCCATCACCAGAACAGGCTCCAGATGGGTGGATCTGCCGCCGTGGGCCAGGAGGGCGAATGTTCTGGCACCATAAGGCTTTGGGCCCCGCGCCTTGGGAAGCTGTGCCCTCCGGATTGAAGAACAGCAGGGCGTTCTACAGGTCGATCATGGGGAAAGTGGCGGACCTTTCAGATCTACCGCAAAGCTCGGGTTCGATGGTCTGAGGCGTCTCAGGTCAACTTTCCCATATCCAACTTGTGAGTCCCTGGTAGTGCAACCTTGTCGTAGCCTGAAGCTTTCCACTTGTTGTTCTCACCCCCCGCAGCTTATGTGCTACGAGGGGCGTCGGCTTCGGATCTCTCTGCGGCACTCGTACCGACTCGCATCGACTCGCGAAAGAATCAGAAAAGGCCTCAGCTCTCCCCCTGCAAGACCCACTGGCTCCCCCCCCCCCCGCGCGCCATGCGTCTCGGAGCGGAGGTGCTGGTAACGGAGGAGCACAAGCCCGAGCAGAGGGGACTTCCGGAGGCCAGGGATGTACTGCTACATGGTCAGTTCTCTACATTATCGTCCCTTTTGTGGGTACAGAGGGGCCGCCATTTTGAGATGGTTTCCAGGTACCCTTCTTTTGGGGCTCCTAGAATAAGGATCATAGTACTTTGGGGGGTGCCCCTATGTTGGGAGATGCCCACATCTTGCTACTACAATACTGTCTACCACTTCTCCTTGAACCACTCTTCCACTATTTTCACTGGCCGCCGGACTATGCCGACGAAGCTGCGCACTTGCTTGCTACTATACCTACTGCTGTGCTCTCCGATAATACTAGGGCATTCACTGCTCTCCCTTTCGACTCGAGTGGGGCACGAAGGAGAGGCCACGCGTGCACAGCCATCCGGAAGCGGCTTGCTACTCAGTTGGCCGACAGAGACGCGACCAATCTGAGCATGCATCCTATTCCCAGCTATCGTATGTGCTACCACAAGAGCAGTCTAGGAGTCTAGGTACAAGATTGGAGAACAGTATAGAACAGCTGCATGTTATAGACCATGGATTTCATGGATTCCCAAATTTTCCCAACAGTTCCGTTCAATTCCGGGTTCTGTGAAGGGGAAGGATGACACTTGTAAATCGAAGCCTCATCTTGTCCTTAACCCTCATCACCCCTCATCCACAGCCTATAGACCCTTCCACGATTTGCACTTGATTTGCTGCTTCAGCTGATTCGACCAGTGCTCGCTCCTTCATGTGTTCTTGGCTGCTGCCACGCTTCGTGTCCGCACATGCGATCAGGTCTACTTCGAGCGGAGCCGCAGTCGAAGCTGTCGAAGCTTCTCCTGCTACAGCTCGTACAGCTACGACAGTCCAGACCCCGGCAGCGCCATGTCGACCTTCAGTTTTCAAAGAGATTCCGGATCTGCTGTCGTTGAACAGACAACCTTCCGAAGGGTCGTGGTCCATGTTTCTGTCAATGAAGACTGCATACCCACAATCATAATCATAATGATCATCATAATAAGAATCATAATAATAACCATAACAATCACAACAATAATAACTAGAATGACAATAATGACAATAATAAGAATAATAATCATAAAAATCAGAATAGTCATACCAATACTAACAATAACGATACCAGGCTACTACTCGTATGGGAGCCGGAGCTGGTCGCCGCGCCCCATTTTTCCAGACACGGGGCCGCCACCGTCCCTTGCCTCAAACGGAGAGGAAAGAGTTGCGTTGAGTTGCAGGGTTTAGGGTTTAGGGTTTAGGGTTTTAGGGTTTAGGGTTTAGGGTTTCGGGGCATCGTTTTCTATCGCAAGCTGGAGCTGTGGTTGGGTTGGAACTGTTCCATGCCAAGAGCACGCTGCGCCGAGGTCCAGGCGAAGTGAGTCGAGAGGTTGGAGTTGCCAAACTTGTTGCTGCCTGTTGAGTTTCTGTGCTGCAGCAACAATTGTACTAATATTTACTAAGAACAAAAAAAAGATCAATAGTACTAAGAACAATAAGAATCATAATCGCAATCATAGTAATAAAAGTAGTAGTAATGTAAATAATGATAACAACAACAATAATAATAATAGTATTAGTCTCGATGTGCTGTCCCGAGTCACCTGCGATGTGCGAGGACGGAATGCGCCCCCAACCGTGCGGGCCCTACAAACAGTAGGATTCCCTTATGATGAGGACCCCAATAAGGCATACCCCTAATTGCGGAAACCCCCCCCCATCTCCTGGCCGAGGAGGCAGCCCCTCCATTGGAAGCGCCCCCTGGCAGCTGGGTTCCGCGCGAGGAGGCCGCAACACGAACCAAGTTCATGTCGGAGAGCTGTGGGAATCACGGTTGCATGCTGCATCTGTTTCTGCATTGTGTGCTTTAGTGCGGACCCTAACATGGCTGTCAAGGCCTGTTCTCTCAGGTCTCTTCGTGCTCCGTGCTACTTGCTTGGTGCGGATGCCTTCATGTCACGTCCCTTCTATTGAAGGCACCTGATTCTAATTCTCTGCACGCCCTCTGAAAGGTGCAGAGGCAGTGGGGGATTCCAGGACTAAGAAACCCTGCCTGCTTCAAGCCTCCACCGTACACCTGCAGGGGTGTGTCGGAGGTCATGAACATCGGGACTCTTGACCCCTTTATCCAGGGCTGCTGAAGTCAAAACCACATGAAAAAACACATTGGAAATTATCGCCAACTTAATCTGCGCTGGCGCCCCACGAGCGTGGGTCCCCGCCAACACCGAACACCAGCGGCGATAGCAGCAGCAGCAGCAGCAGCAGCAGCAGCAGCAGCAGCAGCAGCAGCAGCAGCAGCAGCAGCAGCAGCAGCAGCAGCAGCAGCAGCAGCAGCAGCAGCAAAAGTCACGGCAGGCGCTGCCGAGCCACGGACCAGTCAACAAAATGCAGAGAAGCGACGGAATCTCTGTTTTGCGCCAAGCCGACAGAGAGCCCCAAAAGGGACACCCAGATACATCCGCTCACGCAAATGCACATGGACGACAGTTTTGAAGCTGAAGCTGCCATTCCTTGCTGCATTTGCGGCAGGCTGCGCCCTTGCAGGGTGCCACGTCGTCTCATAGCCCGGGCGCCAGATCATACCGGGACAAGATAGAATCACAGATCCATGTGGAAGTGCTTACGGATCTCCTGAACCTTGGAAAACTCGATGAAGATCCTACTGAACAAAGATGGCCGAGCCTGAGGTGCGGTTGCGGCCGGTCCACCTCCAGGCGCAGCCAGAAATTGCAGTCGCAACATGGCACTCTATGGCACGACAAAGCATGCGCCATCTATCAGCCGGCACAAGAGCACGATTTCGCGCGTGGCACGGGGCCGCTCTGCAAGAAGACATCTGCAGAGGCCAGGCGGCCGGAACCTCGCCATTCAGCGGTGCGCCGCCGGGAGGCGCGGATCTGCAGAGTTCAACTTGTCTTAGTCATCTTAGTCGTCCTCCCACGCGGACTGCAGGTCACCCGCCTGCGCAACAGCAGCCTCCTGCTTGGGACCACCTTGGCTGAGCACTTTGATTGTCTTCGCTTTCCTTCAACTTCGATCGTGCACACATAGCATCATGCTGTGGCATGTTTTGGAGGACTACCGGCAAGCACCGCCCGCGCAGTTTCCTCATCCAGCTCACTTACCAGCTGCCCGCCTGCAAGCGACGAAGCATTTAACAAAAACGCATCACAACATCGAGGTCCAGGACATAGGGGGATGTCTGACGAGAAAACATGCTTGAGCTTGTTTTCTTTTCATCAGGCCCACACGCAAGCTCCTCCACCTTACTACGGTCCCGAACTCAGATCTCAGAAGCTTCGGTGTGGTCGAGCCTTCAGAAAAGCTCTCGGACTGAGGCATGTATCCGCCAGCGCTGGCCTGAGCAGGATCTTGCAAACGGTATCAATTGCAACAGTAAGCTCTCTTGCACCTGAACGCCGGACATAGTTTAGTCGTAGCAGTCGCAGCAGCCTTGCCAAGGCACAGTTCCAGCAGCCCGCGGGCTACCCGCCACCTGGGTGAGACCTGTAGGGCAGAGGAATTGGAGAATTGGGTGGAAGTCATGTCCCCGAAACATGAGACATGTGCCTGTGCCTTTTGCCGTTTCCAGGGGTCGGTCTTGATTCGTCCCTCCAGCTGTAAGTTTAGTGCCCAAGACTAGGCGGCCCAAGGGCAACCCACGATCGTCCAGCTAAGAATAGAAACGGTATGATAGACACTCAAAGTGTTCAATGTGCATATTATCGAGGCGAGAGAATGTCCAGCAGCATCCAGCAGCATAGCGGCATATACATCGACACTAAGCAAGATGCCTTAGCTGCCTGCCTGTGGCATCCTCGCGTTCGAGGTATGTGCCCCCAAGCATCCGGAAATCCTGGCCTGACAGGATGAGTGAGAACCCTCGCAGCGCCTCTCCCCCGAAGGGCCGGCTGGGATCCCAAAGTGTCTTCGGAACGAAAGCCTCCCTCGTCGCCAACACCGTGCGTGCCCGGATTGGTGGCCGGATTGCTGCACTCCACATCCCGCAAAGTGAAGCCCAGAAGCTGGAGAGGGTGGCACGGGATGCGGCAGAGCAAAGAAAGCTCCGGGCCCCGCCCGAGGCTGGCTTGGTGTTGGAGTACGCTTACGGCTTCAACGGCCGAGGATGCCAAAACCTCTACGGCTTCGGCCAGTCGTACTGCTACAGCGTGGCGGCCTTGGGAGTGGTCTGGGACGAGGAGCACAAAGAGCAGAGGACATTTCAGGGGCACACGGCAGAGATCACGGCCATGGCATGCTGCAGTCAGTCACGGCGAATCGCTACGGGCCAGAAGATGGCGGCGGGGGAGACGACTGCAAGCATCCTGCTTTGGTCGGCGGAAGAACCGGTGCCAAGCATGAGGCAACAAATCCTTGGGCACAACTACGCCATATACTCCCTTGCGTTTTCAGCAGATGGGCGGTGGCTCTTCTCGGTAGCAGCTGAGGAGCGTGGCCGCAAGCCCTCGAAAAATGAGTTGAAGGCCAACACGTCACCTTTGTGCGCCTGGCGCATCGATGACGCGCCGGCCAAAGGCCCGGCTCGGCAAATTCGAGCCCCACAGGTGCGACTGCCAATAAAGGAGAAGGTGCACCTGGTGCCACACCCGACGGACAGCAGCTCGTGTTTCCAGTTCAAGTTCCTCTCTTTCTTTTTTTGTTATATATATATATATATCTCTCTCTCTCTCTCTCGCTCTCTCTCTCTCTCTCTCTTTCGGTTATTCTTTTGAGGTTTCCAGATCTAGCCCCCCCCCCCCCCCAAGTTCTGCAACATTCTGTAACCCTGTCTTGATTCTAAATGAACTTTGACTTTGTACTTTGTGCAATCATCCAAGGCAACCGCCTCATGGCCTACGGTGGCCGGAATGTTTACTTCGTCACCTGCAGCTGGGCAGCCAAAGATGCTGCTCAGAGCGCCAAGCTTCTCATACCGACGCCGCCACACGATTCTGCTGGCTGCCCTTTCTATGGCTTCAAGTCAGGCGCACGCGGGCAAAAATTCGCACAGGAAGTGTTGCAGAAGTCGTGGCGGGGTCCCAGGGAGGTAAGTTGTCGAGGTTTCATGGTCCCACTCATGTTGTCCAGGTTGCTTCTTCTCGGGATCACCTGACCTTGCCATTGTGGGAGCCGACGGAGGATGGGCGAACAATTGAAAGCCTTTAACTCGGCTCGAAGGCCTAATTGCACCCTGCAGACCCCAACCCCGTAATTGTCAAGCAGGTCTAGTATTGGGCTGGAGTTTGGCTTGGGCAAAGCTTTTCTTGTTTTTCAACTTGGGTATACGGCCAGTATCAGCATATCTTCCCAGTCATGCGAATCATTGCATGCAAGCCCTTCAGGAGTCTTCGTGATTGAAGCCTTCTCCAGTGATGGACCCGTTTGTTTGCGCGGACTCGCAATTGCTGCCTTCGAGGCCGACTTGCATTTTCGGTATCGAGAAGTACCGATACCTTATCTGAAGATTGGTTAGGACCAGTTACTGTAGGACCGCACGAAGTCGCACAAATCATGACCCAATGCGACATGCTTGGACAATTGGTGTAGCAGGAGCTTCCTTTGCCACAAGAAAAGGGGAAACAATGGGAAACCTTCAACTCGAGTCGAAGTAGAGGTGCGTTTCTTGGTGCCGCTTTCCTCTGGAGATGTCGCCTGCGGTGGCTCCGGAGATTCCATTCTGCTGCTGCGGTCGGATCTTTCCTCTTCAAAGTTGAAGGTGGCAGGTGGGGGTTTCCGAAATTGGGGGGTTACCTTATTGGGGTCCTAGAAATAAGGGAATCCTACTTTTTGGGAACTATATTGGGGGTCCCTTCTTTTCGTAAACCCCCCAGGTCTGGCACGGAACATCCTGGACTTTGCCACAGCCACTGTGATTGAGGCACCCACAGGCCCACAGATTCTGGCCGGAACCGTCAATGGGGCTCTCTGCCGAATCCGCATGAACACGGGCGCGGGCTACTGCTCCGCAGAGCTCTTGGAGCAGTCGCCTTCCGGAAGGGCTGAGGTGAAAGCATTGGCGGTGAATCCACGCAAGCCCAGCCAAGTTGCGGTTGCGGATGCTTCTGGTTTGGTCATGTTCTTTGACCTGGATGTGCAACGGCTCATGGATGTCGCCAGTCAGTTTCGGGCAGGTGTGACAGCAATGACATGGGATCCGAGTGGGTTGCTTCTGGCAGTGGGGCTCGAGAGCGGAGGCTTACGATGCATGCTCATAGGAGATCTTGAAGCTGGACGTATGTCGGAACTCGAGATGGGCAGCGCTGGCCTTTATGACGCTGCTGTGACTGCTTTATGCTTTTCACCTGGTGCTGGCGGTCTCCTGGCTGTTGGCTACAGGGACGGTCGAGTGCAAATTCTGCAGGTGCAGCGACCCTCCATAGGGGGCGGAAACGGTTCCACCTTCCACCTGGTCCCTTTCAAAGTCTTGCAGGGCAACGCCTCTGCTGTGCTGTCTCTGCAGTTCGCCAAGGACACTTGCAAACTTCACACCGCTGCCTTTGAAAACTGCAGTACACGATTCCATGGTAAAAGAACAGATTCGGCTTGCGAAGATCAGGCTCATGTCCCATGTTCTTGCCTGTAGCGCTCTTTCCTTCCAGGACGGCTCCGCTTTGGCGAGCAATGCTCGCCTCTGGATGCAAAGAGTTAGTCTTTCAACAGACGTTTTTTGATCCAGACATGATCTAACTCAGCCGGCCGTCGTGTGCGCTAGCTAGTCACGAGTCCATGCCGCCTCGCCGTAACTCAGGAGACAGTGCAGTTCTCTGCTGGGATGTGGAGACGGGCAAGTCAGTGCCCGCCAACTTTCCACCTGACGTGTGGTTTGGAAGTGGGCATGGGTTTCGGCTCTGTGGCTGAAACTGGGGAGGGGGGGATGTCTGGAACTGCACTTTTGGAGCCTGTGTGCCGCGGGTCTCGTAGTGGGATGTGGTGGCCGGTTTCTGAAGCGAAGGTTGACAGTGTCTTGGGCAATGTGGGGCGCGTGGAACAAGGACAGCTTCTTGCCTGAATGCGATATCGCGGCAGGCTTGTTTCGGATTAACATGGTTGCAACGTAGGTGCCAAGGGGCATAACATGTCACTCGTCAGGTGCTTTTGGCAGGTGCTTTCAAGCATTTTTCAGTGTGCGTGCTCAGGGAACCGGTCCGGCATAAATGCGGAGCGCAGATTCAAAAAAACAAGGCGCTCTACATGGTCATCGGATAGAGGGCCTCCCAGTCCTGCAGACTTCTTCCGCGGAGTGTGCGTTAGCCTCTCTGAGGCTACAAGTCCAGCACGGCAATCGTCGCTGAGTCGCATGGCGTCTCGAAACTCATGGCAGTGGGGGATGAAGATGGCCTTGTGAAGCTGCAAAGGCGTGCAAGGGAACATGGGAGACAAAATGGCTGGGGCACACATCTTGGCAGCTTCGTCGTGGTTTTCCCCTCCTTTTTCGGCAGGTTTCCGCTTTTCATCCCGGATGCTTCTGCCAAGGAGCCGCGTGCATGCCGGCATGCCGGTGTGTTGCAACATAGGACACGGACTGACGCTCACCGGTCACCGGCAATTGCAAGCTTGTTGCCGTACACCTCTGGGTAGGAGTACGCCGGCCATTGCTCTCGGATTGCTGGCTTGGCCTGGGCTGGGCCAGACCGGCTCGTCACTGCCGGTGCTGGATCGAACCTTGGATGCGCTGGGTACATGGCACCCCATGGTAGCCCAAAGCCTCCCTGAGGCCCAACGAGTGTGTGTGGCTTCACCGGAATCGCTTGGCACAGGGTGTTTGTTCGGTGGGGCACAACGGATGGGGGTGCATCAGGTGCATCCACTCACGCCCAGCGAGTTCTAAACTGAGGTGCGGTCTTCTGCAATGGCGCTTGGAAGCTAGCCAGCGTCGGAAAGAGACGGAGGAGGTGGAATCCGGGTGTCGTCGTTCTTCCGGCGGGTATCTCACTGGTGGCTCACGCGCGCAAATCAAAACCAAGAACGTGAGAGTCGAACCCTTGAAAGCTGACTTTCCCTACCCCAGCCAAAAAGACCGTTCGTTCCTGCCAAGAGCCCGCTCGGCGGGGAACACGAATTCAAGATAGGCATGGGACAAGTTGCGAAATTGCGATTTGACCCTCGCGGCGACGGCCGAGGCCAACGGCCCACTTGCGATATTTGTGACACCGAGGGCGTACGCGGAAAGACCAAACCCAAAAGTGCAAGCACTGTGTGGAAAATAGGCAAGTTCAAAGTCTCGGGCCCCGTGCATGTGAAGAACATGCGGAAGCAGATGCAAGCATGTATGTGGCTGAGCAGAACCGCGGCAACTGTACATCTTTCGAATGGAGTTGCCATCTGGCATCGTTTGTCCAGGTTGCAGCGGTGCAGCCGAAAACAGAGGCCCGGCCGATTGGTACTGCTGGAGAGTGGCGTAGAAACACTCGAAAAGATGGATGTGATTTCATGGCGTCAAGCATCGTGAGGCCAGAGCCTCACCTGTCTCTTGTCAGGAGACGAACAAAGAGACTGGGACAGCTGGAGCTGTTGGAACAGCATCGGTGCGCTCCACAAGGAGTGCTGGTGCTGGTCGACGGCCCACCGACCCTGGAACGCATGCAGTTGAGCGATCAGGGGGGTCTGGGTCACATGTCATCACCGCTACTGCCATCCTCATCTTCCTTCTCATCCTCGTTACAAGTATCCCCATCATCATAATCACCATCATCATCACCATCATCATCATCATCATCATCATCAGAATGTCCGCATCCTATTTTTGTTGGTCTCCTCACGAGCTGGTGCCTGTCAGAAGGACCTTGTGACTTCAACCAAATTCCTGATCCATGCGGTGCAAAGCAGCTTCGACGTCAGGCCTCCGGTACATCTCAGTCATCGACGGCACGAAGCAAGTCGCCGTCCTCAACAGGAGGCAGCCGATGCCACCAGTGATGTGCACAGAACATGGTCGGAAGTCTGTGGGAGCCCTCTGATGCTCATAGAATAGATTCCGAGATTTCCTCACGTTGCACGTGTCGCTTAAGCAGTGTGCAGTGTAGTAGGATCTGGGGCCAGAAAGAGCTTTGAAAATCAAACGTCACAAGCTCCGGGTCCGGGTCCTGAACTGATAGCCTTATATGAGTCGAAGCTGCCAACCTCTGGATCGATGCCGCTCTGGCAGGCACGGAAGCGGCACGTCCTTCTCGACCGACTTCGGTAAGCCAACGAAGCTTCTCCGGGATGTTGGACACTTCTTGCCTCGTGTAATCCATGGTAGTTAGGTACAACATAGTGAACACCTCCGATCTTTGAAGGAATGCTTCACAGACTGAGCCATCATTGCTGTCATTCTTCGCAACAGCAAAGGTTCGAGCCCAACCAGGGCAAATCGCCCGCGTGTGAACGACTCGATCACGAGTGTGGCTTCTTCGCGGCCTAACAGCCGAAGCCGCGCCAGCTCGAGGTTGCGGGGCAGCACAGGCAGGGTACCGCACGAGTGAATCGTGTCATCATTGCGCCCCATTTCTCTTGCGTCTTGAAACTCCAATTTGCAATTTTGGTATTGTTTGGTGTCGCTTAATGCCTGAGAACGGCCGAAGGCATGCTCTCCGCGGTTTGTGCAACTGCTGAAAGACCTTGAAAGACCATGGCAAAATCGCATGACTCTGCAGGCTTTGGCCAGGCCTTTCAAAGGTCACTTGCTACCAGTAGCTACCAATAGCTGCTAGCTAGAGTTCTTGGCTGAAGGTGCTGGCAATGCTGAACCGAAGCAGTTCACATTCAAAGCTGCTTGGGCACATGGTATATGAGGCAAAAGCATTGCAACTGCAGAGGGACTTCACAGAGTTTTTTTTTTGGGGGGGGGGGGGGGGGGTGAATGGCAGTTTTTTCCGATTTCAGGCCCAGCCAGATGCACAACCTGATGAAGAGCGTTTCAAGGACGCTGCAGTCCAAACCGACGCCCCGAATGTGGCGGCTCCCAGGAACATTGCTGCCTGGCAAGCGGGAAGTCCATTTCGTTTCGGGCTAGATCCAGGCAATAGGCCGGGTTTGGGCAGATTTTTAGAGGATGGCTCATGACCGTTTGTAGCATGACACACATGCACAGCATGTGGGAGCCTCCCAAACTGCCAAGCCTGCCATAAGGTGACCTTTGCACCTCCTGTCAACTACGCTCCCGGCCGATTCATTGCAATCAACCATGAGCCGTACGGCCGCCATCCTGCACCAAGAGCCAGTGAAGAGTTGCAAGATTGCCGCAAAACGAGCTTGAGAGTGCTGCGCTTCTGCAACTTCAGGTGCTTGGCAGGCCGGAGATGGCGAACAGCTCGGTGTCTCTGAGTGCTTGATGTCTGCACGCAATGTGAATGAGCTGGCGGCCAGGTGCAATCGCGCCCGGCATCGCCGATGCGATACGCATCACCGCCGAGGCATGCACCATTTGTTAACAGACACCCGCAATTCATTAAAGACCCCCGGAACCCCATGCAGCAAGATGAAGAACGTTGATTTGCGACATCGGAGGTTGGTTTCCATGCCGCCAGCGTATGGCCAGCCGCCGCACGCCTACGAGTTTGAATAGAAGCATCAGAAGACTGTTTAGAATACCGGTGTGCTGGAATACCGGTGTGCTGAGAGAGGACGCAAGAACCCCGGATCCGCTTTGCAAAAGGAACGTGTTGCGCTTTCAAGGCTTCCTTACATGTCTCCGCCGCCGGCCAAGCGCTCCCCATCCTATCCGATGGTGGCCATCTCTCCCCCAAACCTCCAAGAAGGCCTGGGTTGCGCTGATGTTGCGCCACAAGTCGGTGTCGGGGTTTGCCGACTTGCGGAATCTTGACAAGGACTGCCAGTAGGGAATCCAGCCGCTGCTCCTTGGCCGGGAGATGGAACTTCTGAATTTCCCTGGTTTCGAAAGAGGTGTGGCTTTGAGGGTTTCGTTGCACTTTGTGCCTGCCATGATGTCCAAACATGTCTATACCAGAGCTTGGGGAGCCAATTGCCGGCGTCAACGGAGAGCGTTGGGCATGGCGCCTCTCTTAACATCTCTTAACAGTGCACATGCGGGTTTAGCAGTCCGGGCTTTGGGGTAACTCGAAATGGCCGTTTGGAGTCCAAAGAAGTCAAACTCAGGTCCCATCGGTCATCAGGTATGTGTCTGCAGCTTCCGCGTTGCACCGTGGCATGGTACATGCACAGCAGATTCACCATGTGATGTGCGAATTCCACGGTGTTTGAGCCGATGCTTCAGCAAAGAATTATGGGCAGGCCACTGGGCCCATGACAGTCAGAAGGGATAAATGGGATTCTGTATGAGGCTCCGTGTGAGGTGAAGGTCTCCAGCAGCACAGGCAGTAGGAGGAGGTTCAGCAGGAAACAGGAAGGGAAAGGTACCAGTCAGCTACGGCTGGCATTAAAAAAAAATGAGATGCATTGAGATGCGTGGGCCCGGTCAGTTGCGAAACCCAAGCTCGACGTGCAGCCAAGGGCTCCTTCAAGTCCATCCGCTGCCACGCCCAACCCAGTTGTGAGGGCGCAGACACCTCCGCCAACACGCGTTTCCCCACGGCACTTGGCTGCACAGCGCACAGCCTTGCAGTTCACCCACATGCATACGGGGGTTTCCGGTACCCTTTTTGGGGTGTCTCTTAAGGGTATCCCTACTTTGGGAAATACCCATGTCTCGAAACAATTTCTGTCACAAGCTTTGCTGAGGATCTACCAGCCCACTCAGTCCGCCCTGGCCGGCTCGCCTGCGACAGAGCCCCTTACCAGACCTACTGCACGATTGGCGCTAACAACGCCTGCATCGACGATCTCGGCTCGGCACCTAGCATCCTCATAGAGAGACCGGTCGAGAGACCGGCATATCATTTATGTGCATGCCAGCAATTCCCAAGGCTTGCAACAGTGGGGAGGTATCCCAAGGCCAACTTTGCTGCGGTGGCCCATAGGTGTGTGTGCTGCTTTGGCTGAGTCGGCTGTTGATATGCCATTCTCAGAGCCACATCATCCCCGCAAGAATTCCCACGCATCGCACCCGAAGAACATCTACCAGCCGGAGCAACAGAGCCACCCCACCATGCGGTCTGGCGTTGCATGTAGATTCCTCTGCGACTTCGCCGCACGGCGATGGGTGCACTGTATCCGTATCATTTACAAACATATTGATATTATGGCTCCCAGCTCGTCGAAAGATTCGGGCAGGAGAAGGCGTTGCACCAAATTCGAAATTCATTCGACACCAGCACAATCTACGCCGCAACTACCTGCAAATGATACTTCCACGTCGCGGACGCGAAAAGCAAGGCTGAGGGCACTGGATGTGATTCATGCTGAGGTGCCCAGCCCGCAGTTTACAAAAGTGTTGGCCTTCATGATCTGTGCTGCTTGGAGGTACGGGCCGCCCCCGAGCTACGGACGTGACATAGGATACGGCAAAATGGAGGCTGTGTGCGAATGTGTGCAAAGGGCGTGTGTCATCTTTGTCTCACGGCACTTCCCTTAGTCTTATTCCCCTATATAACCCCTATTTTTGGTCTCGGGCCCGACAACCCCCCCCCCCCCCCCATGGTATCCAGCCCCCCCACCCCCCCCGCCCCCACCCCCCCCCCCTCCATAAGATGGACACTTAAAGGCTATGCTGCACGTGCGTGCCTTGTAAACAAATACTTTACAAAGGAAACACCCGCAGAATAGACGCAATGCACCCTTAGCATCAGCACACGGGCGCGGAGGGCGGGGAGGGCGGGGAGGGCGCGGAGGGCGCGGAGGGCGCGGAGGGCGCGGAGGGCGCGGAGGGCGCGGAGGGCGCGGAGGGCGCGGAGGGCGCGGAGGGTGCGGAGGGCGCGGAGCGCGCGGAGGAGGGCGCGCGGAGGGCGCGGAGGGCGGGGGAGGGCGCGGAGGGCGGAGCGCGCGGAGCGCGCAGAGCGCGCGGAAGGCGCGGAGCGCGCGGGGGCGCGGAGGGCGCGGAGGGCGCGGAGGGCGCGGAGGGCGCGGAGGGTGCGGAGGGCGCGGAGGGCGCGGAGGGCGCGGAGGGCGCGGAGGTCGCGGAGGGGCGGAGGGTGCGGAGGGCTTGCAATTGCGGAGGGCACAGAGGGGCATCCACGTGTCCCCACTCCCCTGCCCATCAACCGAATGTCACGAACCCCCTCCCTTTGACCGTGTCGTCCCCGCGGCCTCCCGTCAAGACTCCTCCAAGAAGCGATCCGATAGAACGCCTTCCGCATTGAAGCGGGAAACGAGAACCCAATTTCAGAATTTGGTTTCGGGAAGAATCCAAGAAAACAAAGAGCACGCGCAGAATAGACGTTAAGCGTCCAAGGCACCCCCCCCCTCCCCCTCCCCCCCAATGCAATCCCCCGCAATGGAACCCGCCCCTGGTATCTGCGGCCCCCCGGCCCCCCCCCCCCCAAACCCCAAGCCTCTCCCTAAACCTTTAACAAACTTAAACCTCCCAAACCGCAAACCTTCAACCCCAAACGCCAACCGTTCACAGCACAGGGGGGGCTAAACCTTAAACCCTAAACTTATGTAAACCCTAAACCTTAAACAGTAAACCTTAAACCTTAAACCCTAAACCCGAAAACCCTAACCCCCCAAGCACACCCACACCACAGCGCAGGGGTAGCACGGGTGGCCGGTCTCTTAAACCTTCAACCCCAAATTCTAACCCCAACCCCCAATCACACCACGGGCCTAAACCTCACCTAAACCCCGAACCCTAAACCCTAAACCTTAAAACACTAAACCCTGACCCCCAAACCACACACCACAGGGCAGGGCCCGGGGGTAGGCCTAAACCCTTAAACCCTAACCCCCCCAACCACACCCACACCAAGGGGGTGGGGAGGTGGGGGTCGGGATCCAAGGGAGGATGGGGGGGGGATACCATGGGGGTGGGGGGGTGGGGCGGGGGGAATGGCAGCCCGGGACCATATATGGTCCAGTGTATAGTCCCTATTTTCCTAAGTAGCCCCCAAATCACCCCTAAATAACCCCTAAGGTCCCTTATAATCACGCGCAATTATCGGCGCGCTCTTGCTCCAGGGCCGCCCACGCTCAGCCCGAAGAGATCGGCAAAGAGGCAGAAGAAGAGGACCCTTCAGTACCCTTCATGCCTGGGACCCCTAAACCCTTTGAGAACGCTTTCAGGGTTTTTTAACGTCAAAAACCCTAAATGCATCTTCATGCCTGGGACCCCTATAAACCCTTTGAGAACCCAGAACGTTAATCAATCTTACTTAATCTAGGCGCGTGAAGCCATTTCGTGTGCTGTGCCGCTGTGTTGCTGCAGGACCAGACAGTCACAGGCTGGGCCTGCCCAGAAGCAGTGGGACTGAATTGCTTTCGCCCACACGCGTTGAGTGCAGGGGCCGCAGTGGATCTCCTGGCCGTGGGCGAACCAAAAAGAAGAGCCTGGGACAGAACGGGTTCAGCACACAAGGGCCTCAGGGAGGTTGATTTTGTCCACACGCCTGTATTGCATTGTTTTTGTATTACATACTTACACAGTTCGTTGACTATATTCAAAAATATTAGTAAGCCATCCACTTCCTATATTATCATCACGTGCGCGCTGAGGAGGAGGCGGAACAGGAAGCCGCACCGCTGGCCAGTTCGGAGCGCCAGTCGTTCCCACGTGGGTCGGGAATGACAGAATGGGCAACAGAGTACTATAATAATAGAATAGTATAAGACTACAGTAGTGGAGGGAATATAGCAATGTAAAAATATAATAGTATAGTAATATAACAGAAATATATAACATAATAACTTAATAGCATAATAAGCACATACTCATATAATACGGTAGGAGTATATTAAAAGTGTACGGGAATCTTCCGTCATCCACTCCGCCTCTGTACTAGTGCTGTAGAGGGACCGGAAATATCTCTGCACCCTCACATGTGGCATGCCAGGAAGAGCCCACGACTCAGCACTACTGGGCACGGAGACGGCCGCACGCAGTTTAGGGTTTAGGGTTTAGGGTTTAGGGTTTTGTCGTGCTTCACTCCAATAGCCCGCAATTCTTCATTGCGCAGCAACGCACAGTGATAGAGGTCCAGGAGAGCCTCCACCGAAGTGGGGCGAGACTTGGGAGGAGACTTCTTGGGGGGTGGGAAGCCTGTTGCAACAGTGTTTAGGGTTTAGGGTTTAGGAGTATAGGGATTTACTTAAAGTCCCACCTTTTTGCAAGCTGATGGGAGGAGCCCCGGTCTAGCAACGGATTGAAGCTGATACCGGAGATTGCGCCCAAGGCAGCAGAACGCACTATAGTGTGGCTTCACAATTCATCAGCTGCCGTGGGGAGCGTTCACGTTTTCATTCGGTTATTTGTCAGTCTCTTCCATGGCGGCTGATCCTCAACGACGAGTCTCGGCGATGCTTTGCGGCTTTTATGCCCTCGCCAGTGCAGATCTCAGTGATTTTGGAGGCAGTTGCGCGTTGAGTCATGGTATCACTGTGTGGACAGGCAGGGCGGCTCTTCGTTTACCTAGGTTCCCCAGCAACGCCTGCAGTCCTTCTTCAAAACGATCCGGGACTGCCGCTGTCGATTCCTTGTGCTTAAGCCGCTTTTGCTCGACCCCTTCCCCCCCCCGGGGCTCGATAAGCAGAGCCCCCCCGTCACTTCACTCCGCGCCTTGCAGGACGGCACGAAGTGGCTGCAGCCAGAAGGGCCGCAGGGGCCGATGCCAAGGAAAACGGCTTGGATGGTGCCCTCCCCGCCGATGTGATCCATCAAAACATCACACCACACTGGCAGCGAAACTGGCTCTTCTTGCCAGGTCCGCCCTGGCTGCAAGTGCGGATATCGGTACGGAGGCTGCGAGCCTCGTTGTTACAGATGACCCGTCAAGCAATGTCCCCCGTTCTAAGAAACGTCTTTTTTTGATGAGAGCACCTTCGATTGCTTATTAATTTATGACGCGGCGCTCTTCTTGTGGGAAAATCAACTACCCCTGCAAACAAGAAAATTCAGCGTATCTCAGTTTCGTGAGAGCAAGCCTCGAAGAATACCAGAACTGCAAACCCAAAAGCACAGGCACACAGTAGTGAAATCAAGCCTTTCCCAGTTTCTGAATTTTGGCGCCGATCCTACATCTCTTAATTTGAGCGGGTCCACCCCGCCTTCAAATAAGAAATCCGCAATGTCTTAATTCTAATTAAGAAAGTGAGGGCTGGATTTCTTGTTTGAGAGCATGGGGAGGGTGGCAGAGCCGTCCAGATTGCGGAGCTGTTTCCGAGCATGGCTGTATATTGAAGCAGAGGCTCGGCTCATGGGCGTGTCTATTTCTTTGTCCCGTGTGAGGCGTGCTCGTGGAGCCTCAGGCCGCGCTGCGTGCTCGCTGACCCAAAGCCTTCAAGGGTTTTAAGTTTAGGGCTCAGGGGATGGGGGTTTAGGGTTCCAGGTTTAAAAAAAGGGGGGTTTAGTTTAGGGTTTAGGGGCATTACGGGGTCAGGGCTCCGCTCTCATCGTTTGCAGCGCAACATTACCTTGGATGCGTGCGCATGTTGGACAAAGGCTGCCCTTTGCCAAAGCGCAGGTCTTTCCTCCTTGGATGCACGACGTTCTGAGACGCTTGTTGGCATTTGTCCGTCACAGAAGTATTATGAGAGAAGTCGCAAGTTGCAGAGCGAGTTTCCATGAGAATGGCTTCCAAAAGCCCATGCTCCAGGAACGTACATGCCATACTGCGGACTGCGAGAAGAGGACTGGCCAAATCCTCAGATGTGGGGTCTCCCTGGCAGGAAAAATCAGTAGAATTACGAGTTGTTTGCAAAAAACTTCGTGTGTCCCCTCGAACGCTTGAGCCTTCATATCGAACGGAGAGGCTAAATCTCCGCAGTTCTCATCGGCAGGTCGACCTGAAACTGGGACTGGTAGGATGCTTGCGTCGCGATCACGGCTTGCCGAGCTGAGGCCCGACAGCTGCAATGTCAACCTCTACGAGGACGGCTCCAACTCTGTCGGCTGGCACTCTGATGACGAGGCGGGATGATGGTTTTACTCTTACAGCTTCTGGTTCGGATCATGGTATTCCTTGCCGAGCCGTGTTGCAAGGCGACTAGTGGTAGCTGTGTAATACCACACAGTTCGTGTGCGAGGCCTTGTTCCAAGGCTTGAGTCAAGATGCGCGAATCGTCTCGCTGCTGGCGGCTGAGAGCCCCAAGCGCGGCACACACCAGGATGCACCAAGGCACCTAAAACAGAACTTGAAGGGGCCAGGCTGGCGCAAGAGAGGTGCATGAAGGTGCCTGATGCTTTTAGTTGAATTCAGATTTCTTCCGATTCGAGGTCGCTTGGACAGCAGCGGAAGTTCGATCTCAAGAAGAATTGGCCCGAGGACAGGTGTCATTGTTTGGGATGTTCCCCCTGAAACCAACAGTCCTTAATAGGGATTTTCATGGGGGGGGGGGGGGGGGTCCTATAATACTATTAAGGACTGTTAGTGTAAGGGGGAACATCCAAAAGCATTATCGTTCTTCTTCACTTCCAACTTTCTGTGAGTTCTGTGCCCAAGCTGAGTATGCCGTGTATGCAAAAACTGAGGCGCTCAATGCACATACCAAAAGTGTATATATATATATATACATACATACATATGTGTTTGTGTATATTTATATATATGGAGAGTGTGTGTTTTTGAGGGACAGCCTGACTGGCGGACGCCCCCAACAGTGCTTTAACAGACCCGAGGAGTGCTGCTAAGGCCCAGCACGCCTAAGATAAACAGCATCGTTCCTGCTGCGCTGCCCAAGTGAGCCAGGCAGGTGAGAAGGTCCAGGAGCGTCTCCATCTCGGAAATGGCGGCTCGGCGACATGGGAGCTTAAGTTGAGAGTTTCATGGTCCAATGTGCAGAATTGGGTTGAGGCTCCAGGGCCAAGACAGATTGAGCGCGGTTGGCTGGTTCTCAAAAGCAGGCTGCGTGGGCTTTGATGCATGATGAAGGCCACATACCTGGGCACAAGCCCATAACTTGGTTCAGAAGTCGCAGTTGTACGTAGCAATAGCCAGGCAACCATGCATGGGCATGGTGGTACTACGAGCAACGGCACGCATGCTCCTGATGGCTGTTCTGCTCGATTTCCCAGTTGTGTCCTTGCTTGAAGGTAGTCTTTCAAGGACCATCTGTGGCTTTGTTTGTCATGCCGTTGCTTGGTGCGACGGGCTTTGTGCTTTGTGAGGTGTTTGTCCGTGTTGCGATCACGAAAAGTATTCCCTTCTGATCCCGAGAAAATTAGACTACAACAACCCCCCCCCCTCCCCCAAAAAAACAGGGGTGCCTACTCAAATTATTAAGGCCCCTAGACTCTAATCAGTAAGGCCCCTAGATTCTATTTATTAAGGCCCCTCGATTGTAGGTATCTTGGCTTTGGTTGGGGTTCGGTTTGGATCTCTGCCAAGGTGCTCTGGCCACCATGGAGGCACCCGCTTCACAAGTGGCAGACCATAGATTCACAGGGTTTACAGGGTTTAGGCTTTAGGGTTTAGGGTGTCGGGTTTATAGGGTTTATGGGGTTTAGGGTTTGTAGGGTTTATAGGGTTTAAGGTTTAGTGTTTCGGGTATGATGTGTGGAAAACGCCCGAAAGAGCAAATCAAAGCGCAAAGAAACATATCCTGACATGCAAGAAGAGCTCTGCTGGTTACTTGTCCCCATACATCTTATCCCAAATCGGACAGAAGGTAAGCCAGAAAGTACGGAATGCCGTTTCCACGCCGAGGGATTTGCAAAGGTTTACCATGAACATCCCATAGCCCTGAACCCCTCTAAACCCCCTAAGCTCCGACCTCGAGTCGACTTCGCGGGCTCTGCTGTGGGTTTTTAGTCTCCGGGCTGCTTGGATGCAGGGCATGCTGCAAAAGCACTACATGCACCGAGTACCTCGGGAAGCGGACGATCTTGGCCCGGGGCCTATGTCAGTGGTTTCAGACCCCTTGCTACAAGTGACGCAAAGATGACCAACAATGGGCCTTCTGGCCTCCGTGCTTCGCAAGATTTAGCGCAGAGTTTAGCGAAACCACTCCCCGTGTGGCACTTCACCTGCACTTCTGCCCTCCAGGACCCCGAATAAACCTCACCTGGCGCTGGATCAAGGAGCACTCGAAGGCAGGGAGACCACCTCAAGCCTTGGAGCCGATACTGAAGTTCACCTGCCCAAAGAGCCCAGTATGCCCATAATGAAGGAATGGGCCTTAAATCACATTAAGGATCCCTAAATGATTGAGTATTCCTTAATCAAGGGGTGTAAAGGGCGAACTGGACCTGGCTGGGCCCCTAACCCTAACCCGAAGCCCTGTGCTTCCACTCCCCATCCTGCTTCAACTCGTGGCCATTGTCAAGAATAACGGTCAATCATCCCGCAATGTTACCCTGCACTAGTATGCCTTGGCTGCTTGAAGGCGGGCAAAAAAACAGAGCCCTTGAACTCTCAAACTCGCCTGAAAGTTCCTGCGCATCCTCCGAGAGCATGGCAGCTGCCAGGTGTGTCCGAGGGCTACTGGGCCCTGAGGCCATCGGGCTTGCAGGCATTGTGCATTGGAGACATGCAGGAAGTAAAGACAACCTGCAAGAGAGAACAGGGGTTTTGGCTTAGGCTTAGGGCTTATAAGGAGTTTAGGGCTTATAAGGGCTTGGGGCTTAGGGCTTAAGGTTGTCCTACGACCTGCCCCAGGTCCAAGCGGCGCCTCGCAAGCCTTGCCATGCCTTGTGGCTGGCTTGGACCATCGGCCAAGTCCACACATCAGGCAATACTAGAGCTACAGCCAAATACCCACTGTTGGCGAAGCGCATCGTAGTGAAATGATTTAAGCGAGAGCCGGGGGCCCACCTTGAAGCGCGGTCTCCTCACTGCGCGGTGTGGCGCCGGCCGCGGCTCAGTGTTGAGGGCCAAGTTTGGGGTTTAGGATCCCTGTGTAGCGCTCGCCCCCAAGCCCAGTTGCAAAAACTTAGTAGCTGAATGAAGTGCACTTGACACTTTTTGGGGTACTATCATCCCCTTCAGAACTGGAAGTGTGCACCTTTTTTGGGGGGCCTATGAACTCAGCAGCTAAGAAAACGGTTCGTGTAGTGGTTAACATCGCTGCGTCAGCATGACACGCACCGAAGCGCCTTCCCAGAAGTTGGAGGTGGTCGCGTCGAACACATCAACTGCTGATTTAAACGGCTTGATGCCTACCTCGGCAATCGTTTTGGCCAGAGCCACCTCATCACCATCTTGTTTTGCTCATCCTTTGCCCTTTACTGTCTGTGTGGAAGGTGTATGCTGCGGTCGTTTGCGTTCAAGGTCAGGAGGAGGCTTCGGGGCACAATGTCTGCCTGGCCTTGATGTTTGCGCTTAATCGGTGCTCGGGCGACTTCTAGCGACATGCCAAGGTCGGGCAGGCTCCTGGCTAGTTTCCGCACTTGCAGCTGTGGCTGCCTCTTTAAAGTGCAGCTCCCTACTCGATTTTGACGGGTTTACCGACGACCGTCGGCGTAGGATGATGTAGGTTCGCGATTGTTTGACATAGATCCTTGCGGTCGACGAAAGAGCGACGGCAATTGTGCAAAAGGAGTGGCGAAAGCACCGAAGTCTTGTCTGATGCCTGTCAGCATCTGTCGGCATCTGTACACACTACAGGTTTTTTTGTTGGCAGAACTTTGCAGAATCCCGCCGCCGCCGCTTCTTCACGGTCCAGCCAACTTGTATGGAGGCGGCTGCGCGCGCCCTTCATGCTCTCATAGGCTCGAAGTCTCAGTGGCGATGGCAGAGGAGGAGGACACGCTGGTGGTCGGAGTCTCATCGCGTGCTTGCTAGCGATCAGGATCGCATGCCAGCCCAGGTCAAGGAAAACAAAGACCACCAAGTCCTAGACACCCTTGATGCAGAGGCTGGAGAGCTCATCTTTAATGCATGAGACAGGATGCTGCGGAAGCTGTGTGCAGGGCAGCTGCTTTGGCACGCGCACGCGTGGCGCGGTCACCGAGAAAGGCCTGTGGAACCTTGGATGGAATTTGGATTCAGTTTAGACAGTGCTGCGAAGGCTTCGCAGATATCAGGACGGCAGATGTTTTGTCGAACCCAGCTGAGGCACAGATATGTGCACGTGTGGGTGCTGAACCTTCCGGACAGCCTCTCGGTTGATTTGGTGGCATTACCCTAGAACGCGCACGTGCTGCGTCCGAGAGGGCAGGAGGAGCTCGCTGATGTTTTGACATATAGACATCCAGCAGCGAAGGTGCTGTCCTGATGCAGCTGCGGGCCCCGGTGAGCCGGCAGAGTTTGGCTGGTTGATGTTTGTTGTATTGCTCTGCGAGGTCTTGCCGTGAAAGATTTAGCTTGCCACAATCTTGCCACATGTAGATACTCGCGTGATTCTGCAAGTGTGCCAAGTGCCAGTTGCCAGGAGAAGAAGAGATTCGGGGGGATGTGGAATTGCTTCTCGGCATGCCAGATCCACTGAGTTTTTCTCACATGGGGGTTTTACGATATTAGGGTCCTTATGATACGGGCATCCTACTATTTGGGGGTCTATATCAGGGTCCCTGATGATCGTAGACCCCCTCATCAGCGCCCTGCTGAGGCACGTCAGGGTTCGTCATGTGGCGGGCTGAGGATGCTTGAGATACCTTGCAAATGGGCCATGTCAAATGGGAGCCTCTAGATCTCAGACTTGTCATGGGGTGTAAGACTGCATCCCTAAACTTGCAAGTTGCACTCACTGGGATGGGAGGGGTTCCGCTTGCTCTAGCAAAGGCAGTCGCACTGAGTCTGAAAGGTAAGTCTAAGACCAGACACTGCGACTTAACCTGAGCGAAATCGTGCATCTACCTGGCCGCGACGTTTGCGCTCACAAGCTTAAAAAACATGAAGATCACAAGATGGCATGCTCAATGGATCCCAGATCTGAGAGATGCAAAAAAAGTCGAAGATGGAAGGCAAACCGCTTAGAATCAAGGGGGGAAAGTAGGGAACAAAGCTGATGCATAGATTGAGTTCTGCCATTGAAACTCTGTGACACATACTTTGTTACATACACAAAACATACATATTAATCGTTTACATTCATCGATGTGGTTGTGTGTATATATATATACGCACATATCTGCTCTTGCAAATGCGTGTGTGCATGGGCGCAATCATCCCAAAGACGCCATGCTGCCGGTTGGAAAAGTGGGAAAAGTGGGAAAAGCGGAGCTCGTCGCGCCACAGGGCAGCCCGCTGGGGTCCAGTCCCTGTCCCAGCGACGACGAGCTGCAGCATGCGCCCTGCATCGGGCGGCAGGCCAGTGAGGCTGGATTGAGGAGCATGGCGAGCCTCGGCTGCTGCAGGGTGACCTTGGGCTGAGATGTGTTGAGCTTGCTGGGCAGATAGTAGGGGGTTCTAGCATCTGAGAGCCTCTGCGAAGTTCAGGAATCGGTTCCGCAGGAAGACCGTGCTGATGCAGTCGCTCAGATGTGATATCTGCCGCTCGTGTGCCCTTCAAATCTGCAAGATGCGTCCCCCGCAAACCTTGAGAAGCCCAAAGATAGGGTGTGAGAGTGATTGAGAAGACGAGTTGAAGCGCTCTCTAAAGGCCGTCCAGTTTGGACTCTTTGATGCAGAACGGCGCTGAGAAGATGCTGCGACGGCTTTGCCCCGACATGTCGCAGGCAGGGCTGAAGTAGTGAGGGCTTGGGGCGTTATTTTTCATTGCGACCGTTTATTGATTCATTGCTGCTCAACTTGCTGTGCTTGGCATGCATGGACAGCATGGAGGTCAGCCTCCGACGCCTGCGACAGGACTGCTTGTTTTGTGGCCACGAGTAGTCTTTACCCTAAACCCCAAACCCTAATCCCTAATCCCTAAACCCTAAACCCTGCGTGTTGTCAGCCCTCAGCATGAATATCGTTGGACAGTCCAGGAGAAAGTATGTCGGGAGGAGGACCTAGCCGCCCTTGACAAGGACGCAGCGAGATCAGTGACACAAGCGTGAGACCAGCAAACTCGGATGCACGCAATGACAGCACAACGAGGTAATAATTGGCACAACCATGGCTCCAAGTCTTGCTTTCAAGCATGCTTTAGACCTCTCGCTGCGCCCTGTGCGAGCAAAACATAGGACATCTGAGCAGTGTAGGCATGTTGTAGGCATTCTTTTTTGCTTGCCTTAAAAGCGAATCTGACGAGGAAGACTTGCAACAGCTCGGTTTATCAATGGTTCAGCGTGCCCGTGTGTTGGCCTGGTCTCGTGCCAAGTGTTATGGACTACAACGGCAGGATACACAAGATGAGGAAGACTCCGAGATCCGGTCACCTAAGTTCGAATTCGAGCGCGAGCAGTCTGCTTCAGAAGCAGAGAACTCCTTCCGCCTCGATACCGTCGAGTCGGACGGGGACTTCTGGTGCGACTTGTTATACAAGTGGAGCTCGGATGAGCCCAGTGTTGACTGCCAATGCATTCTCGATGCCACTCAGCTTGTTGGACCTAGCCTGAACAACCGCCACGACGACGTCCGAGAGGATCTGTTGGAGTCGCTTTTCGATTTAAGCCCTGAGCGCATATTCGAGGTCTTTGAAGCTCATAGTTCCAGAACGCATCTCTTAGCGACTGGCAAGCAGCTGGCGAAAGCCTTGCAGGCATATGGGCTGCCAGAGCCGGCGATGCCGATACGGCAAAAGATATTGGCGGCAGTTTCCCGCAACCCCAGCGAAGGGCTCCAGCTGCAAGAGTTCGAGGCAATCGTGTCCCGTACGGTCCTGGCTCGTTTGGTGACAGGCTTGGAGCAGCACCCGCGGGCGATCGAGTGCCTGAAGGTGACCGACTACAGCGTGCGCAGCATCGAGCCAGAAAAGCCGCAACCATTGTCAGAGGACAAATGCAGGCAGTTTTTCTTTGGACACAGGCCTACGGTCTCGAATGGTATACAGTCTGCGGTGCGATGGGTGCACGTCACAGGACTGGAGCTGTCAGTGGTTCTTGCCCTAGCAGTGAAGTACAGTTTGCATCCGCTAGCTGTTGAGGATACTATTCAGCAGAACCCTTGTAAGATTGACCGATATGGAGATCACTACTTTGGCACCATCGAGCGCATATCACTGACGCATCAACGCAAAGAGCATGGGCCAGTTGAGGTCATGGGACATCACGTATCCTTTTTTTGCGCAGGCGCGCCCAACATGGACACTGTCATCACTGTTTGTCAAGAGGATCAGTCTTTTGAAAAGGAGTGGCCTCACGCCGGCACGACCTCGGTCTCCACCACACTGCAAAGGCCCGAGCTGAAGCTCAAGAAGATCGAGAAGCGTTTGCGCCAGCCGATGTCGCGCCTGCGTGAGCGGCGTGCGAATTTCTTCGTGCACGCTGTCCTTGATATTTGTGCAGACGAGATCAGCGACGTGGTACGTGCGTTTGGAAATCGGCTGCAAGTTCTGGAGCAGGATGCAACCGAAGCGAACAGGGTCGACTCGGCTGGCCAAGAGGCAGCAACAATCCGCACACAATTGGCGTTAGTCGATCGTCGTGGCAAGAGTCTGCAGCGCGTGGTGCGCCGATTGCTCGCCGATGAGGACTTCTCTGAAGGCCCCACGTTGTGTTCCTGGGAACATTGTACAGTTCCGTTCAGTTCCACAGGTGTCGTGCAGGTTCAGAGATCTCCGAATCATACTAGGCAGCTTCACGTGTTGCGGGCAGTTGCAGGCATGTTCAGCTACCTCAGTGACGTCGTGGACCACTTAGAAGAAGCTCGTGATGATTCTGGGCGCCTGGCCGAAAAGTGCATCGGCATCTCGGCCAGCCTGCTCATCCTTGCCATATGCATGCCGAAGCGTCAGTACTTCGCACAGTTGACAGCGCGAGCTTCATCTAAGGCCTGCAGCAAATGCATGACCGGCTGGCCGAACAAGAGCAGGACAAGCTCCTTCGGGATCAGGAGATGCTTCGCGCCAAGCAAGCAGACCGCCTGAACAACATCCTCTTCGTGCGCAACCTAGTTGGCACAGGATCAGCCTCGGAGTGCAGACGCAGGTATTATACTCGATTGTATTCTGTGTTCTATTGTAGTATATGTCATATTGTGTATATATATATATGTATATTTTGATTTGAGTATATTATGTACATATAAAGTCTTCCTGAGGTTCTCACTCTGGTGACAACCATTTTCTGCCCAGCACAATTCCTGTGTGGTGTCTACGGCATGAACTTTGTGGATGAAGCTGGGCGCCCAGCAATTCCCGAGCTGCTGTGGACAAATGGCTACCTTTACTTTTGGCTGCTTATTATTGGCTACCTGAGCCTTGGCTGAAAAGGATGATGCTTTTGAGAAAGGAGAGCAAGCATGTATACCGAAGCGTCCGTGGGCACAGTTCGTTGCTGCTGAGTTTTGTGCAGCAAGGATTGTGGCTTTCGTGTCTGCGGCGTATCTGTATCGACTCTTGCTGCATTCGTGCTTGAGGGCTCATGCTGCGGTACAGTCAAGAGTGGGAGCTGAGAGCCATCTGACACATCCATTGACCGGCCTTGTCAAACCATCAGCATGTGAAGGTGCCCAAAGCCCTGCACCACTTAAAGGACTCGGAGTCATTCGAAACAGTTGCCTCCGTTAGAAGCTGGCGAGTGCGAGGTGGGGGTAAGGGACCCCTAAGATAACCCCCCCAAATAGTAGGATCCCCTTCTAATAGGGTACCCCTAATATCGTAAACTCCCAGGCTTCTTCAAGTCGCTGGACGTCAAGGTGTCCGCCGGTGCCCGTTTCGCAGATGCCGAACCAGAGACACGCCATCATGCTGGAGGATTCCGGAGAAGGAGGCTTGGGCACAGGGCTCAACAACCTCAAATTCAAACATAAGATAAGAAGATATTATGGTACAATCAGATAATGACATAGTATAAAGAATCATACATCCCCAGCTATTGCTGATGTATTGGCACCTGCGACAGCACCTGGTAGCTCGCGAGGCAGTATTATTCGCTCAGCTCCAGCAGCCTCCTGGAAGCTGGTGCCGACCCAGAAGGCTTCCAAGCTTCAATCTGAAAAGGTTTCGGGAGTAGCATGTCCTGTGCTCAAGGAAGTTGATTCAAGGCTTAGGTATACTCTTGAGGCTTGAGGTTCTTAGAAAAGACAGTGGAACAACTTGCTAGCCAAGTGCAAGTCTTTGTGCCCAATCTGCAGGTCATCCTCACCCTCTTTGAGTGCGCTGTGTGCTTCTGAGCTTGCAACAACCTTGCCCCAGCTCAGGAGTGTCTTCGAGCTTTGTAAATACATTCTCTGTTAGATAATGCCCAGCATGCTAGGCGCCGGTGTGCAGGAATGCACCAGGCTGCCGAGGCACTGCTTCAGCTAATGTTCTGCGACCGGCTGCGGGGAGACGGTCTTCAATGGGAGCCGCTGAGGGCTAAGACTTGTAGCTAGCGAAGAAGGGTTGGCGATGGAAGGGGATTCTTGTTCTTTTGCGCTATTCAGCCTCACTCGGAGTAGATCTGTTCCGGGCGCCCTCAGCGTAATTGTTTTCACTTTGGGGCGACGAGATGCGACCTGCTCCACAAAAAAGGCCGCGAGCACCCACTTGGCCCAGGGATGCAAACAGCTCTTTGTTGATGAGCTAATGTTCTCATGAACATTAGCAAGATATTGTTCGGTAGCATGAGGATAAATGTTGCGCGTGAATACTATTGTTAATTCATATTATCAAGAATATCAAAAAATAATTGAAAATACTAATTCCTAATACTGAAAATAATTTTCACATATTAACATTCTTAATCATTCTTTTATACAAGCATTTCTCTTAAGCTTTACACGGGGTTGCCCAAGTACGGGCGGAAGTGCTTGGCCGAGGTCTGGGATGCCCTCCTTGGAAGCTTGTGCCCTGGCAAGGAGCACCAAGAATCCACCCCCTTATTCCTTCCACCTTTTTTTGCAATTCCGAGAATATGGGTATTTCCAAAGAAGGGAGGGGGGGGGTGGGGGACCCTTGAAAATCCCCAAAATAGGATAATCCTTATTCTGGGAGCTCTTCCTTCCATCGGTCTGATGGCGCTGTATGCGCTGACGCATGCCCGTTTCAGGCAGTTGCATAGCACGGGTTTGAAAAAGAGTTTGCGAATTCCCTATGTATGACCATGTTTTGGGACTTCTTGTGGGTATCCGATTTGGGGGAGAGAGTAGCTGCAGGCTCAGGTGACGAGGCAAGGGGCCTGTCATGGTCAAGGCTCAATGACGGAAGGCCTTCAAATCTGAGGCAAGAAGCATCTGGATGCCGAGTCCGGGATGAAGTTTGAGGATCACAAGTACGAGTTTGTGTTCAGCCCCTCGCATTTGCAATATTGGCCCAGCTCTTGTATGCCACCGGCCATGAACTCTGCATACAGCAGTGGACATACCCGGCCCCCAAGGCTGCAAAGAAATTTCTGAGTTCAAGGGTGAAACGCTGCGGCAGTGGCACCTCGGAAGGGCAAGTTTAGGGTTTAGGGCTTAGGGCTTAGGGTTTAAGGTTTAGGGCTTAGGGCTTAGGGTTTAGGGTGCTGTGTGCTCTTTGGGGGGCCAATGAAGATCCTGTGGTCATGAGCCCATATGGGGGTTTCCGAAAAACGGGGGGGGGGGGGGGGCCTTCTTGGGGGTTTAAAGGGACTCTATTCTCTGTGGGGTATAAAAGGGGTACCCCTAGTTTGGGAAATGCCCATATGGCCCTTGTACTGGGTCCATGTCCATGTTTGCAACTCCTGCGTTACCTGCGTTCGGCCTTAACCTCGAAGCCTGGGTTTGAAGCTGCACAACTGGTGCTCCAAGGATCGATGTCTACGTCGTGTCGCTGCGCCATGGCCGCAACGTAAAAAAAAGAAACAAAATCTGAAAGCGTCCGGGCTAGCGGCTGGTATTCGGGGTGTGATTCATTCTGAGAGCCAGACAGACTCCGGTGTTTTGCTGAGTTTAGGGTTTTGGGGTGCGGTGTGTGTTCTGGTACCTGGCTTGAACATGTGGACATACATGCTACCGTGCGGCGCATGCGAGGGTTCTCCAGCAGTTTGTTATGCTTCTTCAATCTTCTCCGTTCGTTACGATTCTTACATATTTGCACATTGGCCCCTGCAGTCCTTGAATCTTTTTTTCTGACGTTCAGCACATAGTGCATCTCTTCCACAATGCGAACTGCTGTGACAGGAAGAAGCCCCCGGAGCTGCGCAAGATCTTCTATGCGGCGCGCTTAGCGCCCGAAGGCATGCAAGGGCAGATAAAGTCTTCGCACGCCCGCCTCGGCCACTTGAGCTCACAAGCGCCACCTCGATTCTTTTTTGCGCTCTTGACCCACAGCAAAGGCTTGTAGAACTGAGTGGAATCTGGACTGGACGCCTAGTCTTCAGACTGTCAGTCTGCCGAAAGCGCTCCACGATGGCGAACGGCAGTTCAGGGCAGAATTCACAGACCTGCAAACTGCTGGTAGCGGAAGGGCTCAGCCTCAGCCCTACCAGCTGGCCGTTACTATCAAAAACGCCGTTGCCACCCCACGCAATGCGCCATCATCTCACGCCAAAACTACGCCTTACAACCGTGGAAGTTTGCGAGGAGGGCTTCTGATCCCCTGATCCCAGTCTCTATATCCAAGGCACGAGGTTTCGAGACATTTCCTGAGCTTTCGAAAGCGCTTCTGCATGCTTCTACATCATCTCCTGCCAGGGAGATTCAATAGAGATCTGGCATTCGGGCATGAGTCGGCCAGAAGTTGCCCTAAACCCTAAACCCGTGCGGTGGCCAAACAAAAATCCTAAATAGTAAACCCTTTGTTGATATTCCCGCCCCTCTCTCAAACGCGAAGCACGCCGACCGTATCCCCGACTTGTCCCTGCAGAGTGGCCCTCTGGGCTCAGCTAGGCGGGTGGCAAAACTAAACCCTGAACCCTAAACCCTAAACCCTGCAGTATAGCCCCCTTTATTGCTGGTTGGTTGCCCAGGACATCAAGGAAGCCTCAGAGCTGAAGTACATAGGCACGGTATCGTTTGCTCATTCTGACGTGGGAGGAGTTGCGGTGCTTCATCGCCATGCTGAACCCTCCACACTGCGTCAGAGCTTAGGGGCCTTCTGGCTTGCAGGTGTCGGGGAGCTGGAGCAGGCCTACCAAACTCAGCCCGGCTCTCAAGGACTTCCCCAAGCAGCGCCGTAGGGACCTACCGGATATGGGGGTTTACGAAAATAGGGGGCCCCCAATATAGATGACCAAAAAAAGTAGGATCCCCTCAGAATTAAGGACCTCAATAAGGTACCCCCCCAATTCGGAAATCCCCCCACAATGCCGCGCCTGCAGTCGTTAAGAGACCATGCGAGTCGCCTGGGGGGGGGTAGCGGTGAGGGTGGAAGCCCCAAGGGATCCGAGCTTCGTTCTCGTGGCAGCGCCGGAGTACTCGCCCGGGCCTCAGGAAGTTGCAAAGGAAGGACTTGGCGGTTTCTGAAAATGGGGGTACCCCTTTTTGGGGGTCCCTTTAAGTAAGGGTTAGAAAAGGGGGTACCCCCATTTGGGGAAATGCCCATCTTGGTGTAATTCCGGTTGTTCGCAGTCAGGAGCGTCGCTTGCCACGCCTGAGACACACGTTTTATGGAGGGAGAGATGCACTTGCTCGGCTGTGCAAGGCGGAGACTCTTCCACTTCCTGCACAAACAGATTCGCACCTACCTGGAAATGTTGCCCAAAGTGGACTCCGATGAGGATGGTACTGTAGCTGGCCTTTTTGGCAGCCCTCTCCGATGAAACCTATGCTTCCAGTGTGGATAGTTAGTCCCGATGATGTGCTGGTTCAATCTGGTTCGCAGTGCAGTGGCGATCCGTTGCTCAGATATCAGAGGCAGCGCGGCGTAATGTGGATACATACTGCCATCCCTGTCAGGAGCGGCACAACAAGAAAAGTCAGCAACTGCTGGACAGGATTGGAGACATCTCCATGTTGGACAGGGCGCAGGACCTGAATGCAACCTGTCCGAGTCGTTGGGTTGAGGGGCGTCGACGGGCTTGGAGCTCCAAAGCCCCCTTCGAGACAGCTCTGAAGCCTTCGACACTAGGTAATTGTGGATCCATGCAGAAGAATCGAAGCCTACAATGAGCTCCTTGGTCTGGTTGAGATGGCGTCAAAGGACCGGTGTCAATCCTTGAACTGACTAGCAGGAGTAGTTTAAGAGTGTGTGAATGGCCTAAGGAGCGTATGGCATCGTGCTGTGCACGTAACTTGGTCGAAGATGACCGTGGCCAGTTTTCCTCCTGTGTGCTGCAGAGCGTCCTGCGTTTGCACAGTCATTTTTTGACGCGTCCTCTTGACAAGGGATGGCATCCTATCCTGTACTCCCATCTTATGTTGTTCTGAGTTGCGTAAACACCCTTAGGACCACTCAGTCCTGCACACACGCGCGTAGAAGGAAGCCGGACTTCCTTAAGCAAAGTGCGTGAGCGGGTGTGTGGGGGGCCAAAGACAGTCAGGTCTGGGTCTTCGACATAGAGGGTGGCCGCTTTCTCATCCAGCTTCTCGGCAAGCAGCGGACAATTACAGGCTATGGCAGGCCATGTGAGGCTACATGAGCTTATCACATGCCGCTACTTTTCACACTGCTTTCGAAGGTGGCAAGCAACCACCCCCATATATCCGAATTGTAAGGCAACGCTCGCCGAAGAAGCGACACTTTGGTGGCAAGTGGAACTGTTCCACAGGCCACATCAAGATGGGACCCCCGATTGCACAAAGCTTCGGTGCGGAAGGATCGTTCAGGAAGGGAGGGTTCGGGTTGTGCTGCTGCTAGTCACTCGTTTGTGCAGTCATGGCGTGCCAGTAGAATATGTGTGTATATTAATGAACAATATTCGCATTAAGAACAATACTGTATTGTGTATAAAATACTTTCCGGTGCATAGTAGCGGCATGCAGCGCACCAATTGGTTCGCCCTTTTTCAGGTGATCCCGCTCTTCCGACGGCCATGAAATCTGCCCCTGATCTGCACAGACCCAACCTGGACCTAGACCCCAAGTACCCTTTAAGATACTCGGGAAGAGCCAGCCCCTGTTGGGATGCACTTGGGCCCTTGTGAAGAGGTACTTAGGGGGGGGGGACAACTAGCCCTACTAGAGCCCCGTCTGCAGCCAGGTGAAGGATGATGTTGGCATCCAGGATGTTGAAGAGGTAGACTTCGAATATTTGTTCCAGGCAGCGCCCTGCAGCCGAGCATATCCCCGACTATCTCGAAACTCGGGTTACCGGCGCAGCCGTTGGTCGCGGGTACCGTAGCTGCTGCTACCTGCGCCCCACTTATTTGAACAGGAGTTGTCAAAGCAACACATCAGGAGCGGTTTCTGTGCGGCTTGCTGAGGGAGGGGTTGTTCCGAGTGGCTTGTGGTGCCAGATGTTTCGATGACCCGCAGAGAGAGGCTTGCAGCAGACGGCTATTTCAGCCCTTCAGCTCCCTTCAGTTCCTGTAGCTACTGAGCGATTCTGGGCGGCAAGTGTACTTCAAAGTCCGGCTACCATGGCGTGACTTGGTGCCGCTGCCTTCAACTGGGCTCTCTGGTGGCCTAGCGGCCCCAGCCTGTGAGCCGCAAGCAGGACTGACAGACGCTTGGTTCGGTGCATGCTTGCGCTGTCTGCATTGCAGGGTTTTCAGAGCGTTGCACTGTAGCAGTAGCAGATGCCCGTGCCGCAAATGCAGCCCTTGAGTGCGCGCTGTTCGCTCGGCCCAGGCATGAACGAGGCACGCGCGATGCTCGATGCCCTCATGGGTCCTCAACGAGATGTAGGTTCCTTGGGCAGACTTGCAGACTGTGTTCGTATACCTAATTACTTGTAGCGCCGATCGTCAGGGAGTTTCTCTCTGAAAGGGCCAGGGCGGCCATGCATGTGGAAGCCGGCCGATGCTTGCCAGGCAAAAAAGGCAAACAGCTGTCAGATGACTGGAAAGACAAGACTGTCATGGGCCTAGACGCTTGGGGACGCGTAGGGGTCTCAGGCAGCCCACGCAATTCGCTGTGAGTTCTATCCGACTGTGGCCCTCCAAGGTTTGCAAAAGCTTTTTGGTTGGTTTGTGCCCCTACGACAAGGCTCCCATCTGAGATGGCACAGCCCCCTCTCTCACCTCAGCAATTCCTCATGCTGTGCTGGGCTAAAGTTTCTTTTTTCTCAATGTTTTCTTTTGCCATTTCTTGGTTTAGGCTTAGTCTGCAGGGTGCCGTCGCAATCAATGCTCTAGGATATTCGGGCCTTCGGTAGGTGTTGTTCCACCGGCGGGTGGGTGAGTCATGTTGTAGTAGTGGCCAGACCCCACTGCCACGCTTGACAGCACGAGCCTATGGATGTAAGGCCGTGCTTGGTGGAATCCAGAAACGCGATTTGAGGATGTGCTCGAAGATACACTCCGACATCATTCGGGCATCTGGTCTCATTAGTAGCAGCATCATCCTACGGATGTCAAGGCACGCACTTGTGTCTCACATGTACCGTAAGGACCGATTTGTTCAGCACGCAGATGGTGCAGAGCAGAGCGAGACGCGAATGGAATATGCCGCCTGGGCATTAAGAAGACGGTTTCTGCCAGCCGTCAGAAGTTTCTGAGCATGCCAGTTCCAGTACCCTAAACCCTAAACCCTAAACCCTAAACCCTACATCCCTGCCCGCGGTTCGGCCAGCTATGCGGGAGCGAAAGAAACCCCTAAACTCCAAACCCATGGGATGTCGGGCACGCACAGGAGGACGAGTGCTTCAATCAATGCGAGGAAGTGTTGGCAGAGCCCTGGGTGCAATCACAACCCAAAGAGCCCAATACTCCTTAAGGAATATGCCTGAAGTCATGTGATTAAGGATTCCCATATTATTTAAGGTATATTCCCTAACTAAGGGGTATGGGCACTCTGGGAAGTAGCTCAAACCAGGCATCCTTTCACACTGCTTTTCAGATCCATCTTGCGCCATCCAGGTGGCACAACTTCTTTGCAAAACTGACTGTAAACAACCTACTCGTATGTGGTCATTTCTCTAAAGCGTGGTCCTTTTTGGGGGACGTCCTTAGTAGGAGGTGCCCCCTAATAAACGGGTCCCCAAAAAGGGACCATAACTTTCAGAAGCGTCCCATGTGACCATGGGGTACTACGAACCCTAAACCCTAAACCCTAAACCCTAAACCCTAAACCCTAAACCCTAAACCCTAAACCCTAAACCCTAAACCCTAAACTACGGGCCCTGCCCAGGAGTTCGAGACCTTCAGCCGCAAAGAGTTGGAGCGCCTCAAGGACGACCCGAGGCGACGGGTGCTGTCAGAGGAGGTGGCCGAGAAGCTCAAAGCAATGAGGGAAGAGGCCGAGGGTCGCCTTCAGGGTTCAGAGGGTGTAGGGTTTAGGGTTTAGGGTTTAGGGGTGGTTTCCCCAGTCGAGGAGGTTGGGATCTAAGGGATCTAAGGGTAATCCAGGCGAACTGCGAAGCCTGTTGCAAAGGGGTGGTTTCCATTCGACAGGGGAATGACCAGAAAAAGGGCGGAAATGAGTTTTTCAATGTTGACAATGAGCAATGCCTACTAGCCCTTTTCTATACGGCCTTTATTTGGGGCTTCATGGGTCCAGTATGCTTGTGATTGCCCACGAAAACTTCGTATATTATACATCTCGATAGCTGGACTTGCTGGCACACACGCTCTGTGTCGCTTTCAATTTTACGGGCTTCAGCGCCACCACCAGCTGGATATGCGAGTGCACGTCCTCAGGCAGCATTCAAGACAAAGCGATCAGAAGATCTGGATGTGCGCTACCTGGAATGCGAAGCCTAAGTTGTGAGCATTCGTGGGCGACTGGGTTGTTGACGAACTGTTTTCCAAGCCACAGCTGCAGGCAATGGCGTTGACTACTGGGGGCTACAACAACATGTCGACACTCAGCCAGGAAATTGAATTGTTTCAAACATGAAAAGCAAGGGCTATGTTCACTGGGGCTGATCAAAGGCCGCGTGACTGCGTCTGTGCAGTCCTGATGATGTTGTGACGGGTATCGGCGTTCGTTGAACGTACGACTGATGGCTCGCCTGCTATACATACCGTCCTGGCTCCGCACCCTTTTGCTATTGCTTGACCCCCCCCCCCCCCCGTGGCTTTCCTTAGCCGAGATCAACACTTCGTCGGCAAGCTCGCGAGCTTAGTGCAGAAGCTGACTCGCTGCAAAAGCTTGAGATGCACTTTAGATGCAGAAGAAGACTGCTAAAACACGGCTTTTTGAGCTGCACTGTGTGAGGTTGTCGCGTCTACTGCTTCCCTGAGGCGGAAGTCGGCGGAGAAGCTGCAGCCGCAAGCGTGTGAGGTTTGTGGCATGGGGTACCTGGACGAGGAGGAGTACAAAGCACATTTGACTTTTCGCGTGCATGAAGGTGCCAAGAGTTTCCTTTCACGGCACATTGCACACACCGCTTGTCAAAACACTTGATTGCATCTCCCGGCAGGCTACCAGCAAGTTCGTGACAAGTATGAGGAACTCGAGAAGAAGCGTGCACAAAGGGCCCGTAAATCCAAGGCGCGGTTGATAGATGGGCGCTCGGTGGGAATCAAAGCCGCTCTTGTGTGGTCACAGGCTCGGGCGAAAAGCCAGCCGCAGCCAAGTACAAGCCAAGAACCTCCAAAACGAGACGCTCGCCTTACCGTAGCATTAGGGACCAGTTCGCACTTGCAGTTCTTCCAGCAGCAGAAGCTTCCCGTGGAAGCTGCTTCAATCTTGGAACATGGCAGCCACCACAGCTTTGCCAGTTCATCTGCCATTTCAGTCAGCAAGGCTGCCCATGCCGCTAATGGCGAGAAATCGGCCAGCTTGCCTCGACTTGGCAAATGTTTGCGCGTTTGTCATGTTTCAGAAATTTGAGTACCACCCCGTTGTCCCACCGAGAATTCACTACAGAAGCCAGTAGAACCTGCTGACTCAGCCCAGGTGCGCGGAGAGGAGCGCGATCTCGGGCAAGCTGCCAGCCGCGAGAGACAGGCTCGAGGGACTCTTGGGGAGTGGGCAGGTGCGACCTTCAGGGTTGGGCGAAGTCGGATTTCATGTTAGGAGTGTGCAGATGAGCCATCAACCCAGAATTACTCCCCCGCAGCTGCCCAATCGAGTGTTCTCCTTCCAAGAAAACGAGGATCATTGGTGCCTTCCTTTGAGGAAGCCATGGGGTGGTCAACAAGAAAATTATTTACACATCATGATTCTGTGGACGTCCCCCTGTCATACAAAGACTGCTTCGGCACACCAGCAGCTCATTTTCCGTGGTACATTTGCTCTTCACTTCTGGAAAACATCGGGCTCTTCCGCATATGTCCATGGACTCTGTAAACTGCAATCTTTTTTGACGGAGGAAGAGGAATACGGCACTGGAATTACTACTTACTTAAGTTCTCGGGGAGGCACTGCATTGAAAACTTCGCTCTGACGTGAGGGTCTTGCATAGATTGCTGTTTGAAGTAGAAGCTCACACTCGGGAGTAGGCGGCAGTGCTCCCCTGGCCTATCACGTTGTTGCACCCGTGCCCATCGGAATCCTAGTTTTTACTTTGGACTTGATGACAGGTATGATATGGGTCTGTGTATGGATTTTTGAAGTCCGCTTGGTGGGTGTTTCGATTTTCTTTTGCCAATGTGGACCCATGTGGACCCCGCTGTGTGAAGCAGCTGAGTGGCAAAAGCAGCAACAGCCTCGCCGGGTTTGGCCGAGCTGTCAGCGAGTCAACTTATAAGCAAACACGACTGCAGGAGAGGAGAACCTCCCGTGGCAAGATCCGGACCGAGGAAGATTCTTAGCTGAACCCCGAGCTGGCGCTGGCAGCCTTCAAGCTAAGCTATGTTTGTAAGGGTGGACAGAAGTGATTGAAGTTGGCACGACTTAGGGCTTGTAAGCTTGGGATGTTTTGGCACGTGGGGTTTGAGGCGAAGCATTCCATTTTTCCGCGGCTTCCTTTTCTGTAGCTAAGGCAGGACAGGTTCGAAAGAGAAGGAGAATATCTTCCAGCCGACATGTCCGCAGCGAGAGCAGCTTGCCGCAATATGGGATTATCATCGGATTCGGTGAAGAGTCATGGGACACATGCTAATACCTAGCGTGCCTGACCTCCAGCATTGTTGAAGACATGTCGACATTCTGTGTTGAGGAGAGCAGAGAAGACGAGCCACTGGGCCGCACCCCGTGTCCATGCACAACTACCGATGTGTTTATAGTTTTCTGTCTGTCATGCCCCTTCTCTGCGTGTTGGTGTGTCAGCGTGCGCGTTCTCCGTGTGTGTCTCCGTTTGTTTGTTTGTCTGTCTGTGTGTGTGTGAGTGTCTCCTCCGATTCCAAGAGTTTCAAGATGTTGCTGAGGGGAGGCAGGACGCCACCCGTCATTTCAGAGTGGCTGCCCAACGAAGGCTTTGATGTGACACTGATATAAGGACTTGCAATTTAATTCCAGCAGCGACTCAGTGACACCAGTGAGGGCAGTGCCCCACAGCAACTCCTCGACAATGACGTACACGTATACTTCTATGTAAATATATATATATATATATGAGGCAGGAACCTTTGTGTATAATGTGATGATTCGTCCTTTTGTTGGGGGGGGGGGGAGTGGGGTTTGAATAGTTTGAATAGTTTGGGGGGTCACGCCTGGGGCCCTAAACTATTCAAACTATTCAAACCCTGGTGGTTTGAATAGTTTGAATAGTTTGAATAGTTTTGGGGGGTCCCTGGGAGGAGAGGAGGGGGGGGGTTTGAATAGTTTGAATAGTTTGGGGGTCCGAACTGGGGCCCTAAACTATTCAAACTATTCAAACCCTGGGGGGGGGTCCGGCCTGGGGCCCTAAACTTAATCAAACTATTCAAACTATTCAAACTATTCAAACTATTCAAACTATTCAAACTATTCAAACTATTCAAACTATTCAAACTATTCAAACTATTCAAACTATTCAAACCCTGGGGGTTTGAATAGTTTGAATAGTTTGAATAGTTTGGAGGGTCCGGCCTGGGCCCCTAAACTATCCAAACTATTCAAACTATTCAAACCCTGGGGGTTTGAATAGTTTGAATAGTTTGAATAGTTTTCCAATAGTTTTGGGGGGTCCCTGGGAGGAGAGGAGGGGGGGGGTTTGAATAGTTTGAATAGTTTGGGGTCCGAACTGGGGCCCTAACTATCCAACTATTCAAACTATTCAAACCCTCGGGTTTGAATAGTTTGAATAGTTTGAATAGTTTGAATAGTTTGAATAGTTTTGGGGGGTCCCTGGGAGGAGAGGAGGGGGGGGGGTTTGAATAGTTTGAATAGTTTGGGGGTCCGGCCTGGGGCCCTAAACTATTCAAACTATTAGTTTGAATAGTTTGAATAGTTTGAATAGTTTGAATAGTTTGAATAGTTTGAATAGTTTGAATAGTTTGAATAGTTTGAATAGTTTGAATAGTTTTGGGGGGTCAAACCCGGGGGTTTGAATAGTTTGAATAGTTTGAATAGTTTTCCGGCCTGAATCAAAGTTTGAATAGTTTGAATAGTTTGAATAGTTTTGGGGGGTCCCTAGTTTTCCAACTGGGGCTATTCAAACCCGGGGTTTGAATAGTTTGAATAGTTTGAATAGTTTGAATAGTTTGAATAGTTTGAATAGTTTGAATAGTTTGAATAGTTTGAATAGTTTTGGGGGGTCCCTGGGAGGAGAAGGGGGGGGGGTTAGAATAGTTTGAATAGTTTAGGGGGGTCCCTGGGAGGAGAGGGGAGGGGTTTGAACAGTTTGAATAGTTTGAATAGTTTGGGGGCCCGGCCTGGGGCCCCAAACTATTCAAACTATTCAAACTATTCAAACTATTCAATCTATTCTATTAACCTTCCCAATCACCCGAAGAACCGGGGGGTGGTGCAGGTGCTGGAGGCAAGGAACAAGGATTTGGAGGTGGAGACCTGCTCAACACTCTGGTGGCAGGGATGGCACAGCTCCAGCAGGCACAGATGGCGATGCTCAATCGGAAGGATGAGACCCCAGAGCAAGTCAAGCCGGGAGTAACGACCCTGGCGGTTTTGGGACCTCCAGGAACGCCGGAAAGCGCTGTGGCGGTTCAGGACTGGGTGGAACTGATTGACAGTCCTATGTCAGACATCAGCGACACCAGTGCGGTGTGGTGGAAGGCGGTGAAGACGAGGGCCCAGGACATGTATCAACAGTGGGTCAATAGCACTCCGTACGACCGCCTTCTCCTCAAGGATCCTTCTCCTGGGGACTTGGAGCTCGGGAAGTATTCCCGGGTAAATATGAGGGCAGCTGGAATGATTCTGAGTGCTCTTCCTGATGAGATTCAACGAGAGATGGTTTCAAGGCAGTGTGCAAAGAGCACTTTGGGGATCATCTATCGTGTCTTCACCTGTATGCCCCGGGTGGCGAGAAGGAGAAGACCCACATCCTTCGTTCATTGTCGGAGCCGGCAAAGTGCAGTGATCCTGATTCCGCTGCGAAGTCGTTGAGGCAGTGGGAAAAGTGGGTTACAAGAGCCAAAGAGCTGTCATTGGTGTGCCCTGATCCAGTCGTGCTCACCCGAGGCTTGGGTTTGATCGTGGGTGAGGTGTTGTCCAAGTTTCCGGAGTCGGAGTTCAGAACGAACCTCATGCGCAACAAGCTCCAGGTTGACACAAATCCGAACCTGGAAACCACAAGGCACTACCATCAACATCTTCGAGCTGAGATGGAGTTGCTCTCTATGGCAGGCGCTAAGCAGACACCGACCCCGGCGAAGGCAGCCCCACAGCAGAGCGATACCAAGCTGAAGCCTTTCCGACCTGAAGAGTCAAAGGGAAAGGGTAAAGGAAAGGGCAAGGGCAAGCAAGACGGGTCTGAGCAAAAGGAGGGCGACCAGCGATTGTGCCAGTGGTTTGCAAAGGTTCCAGAAGGGTGTCGCTTTGGACGAAATTGTCGCTTCAAACACACTTTCGAAGGAACTACGAAGAGGGACAAATGCCTTGAATGTGGAGGTGAAGGTCACTTCGCTGCAGCATGTCCTACGAAGCAAAGCCCATCCCCGAAGGCAAAGTCTGACCCTAGTGCAAGGCCGAAAGGTTCTCCTTCGAAGCCTACGACTACAGCTAAAGCTGAAGTTCTTCCTCAAGATGGGATCCAATCCACCTCGACGCCTCAGGAACCCGAGCCTCAGCCAACTTCACCTTCCTCGACATTGACCTCTACTGTGTCGGGATCAGGATCTAGAGAAATGCATGCTGCGGTGTCGGAGGCAGCCCAGGCGTTGAGATCGTTGGTGGGACAAGGGAATTCGCCAGAGGGTCGAACAACACTGGAAGGTCTACAGCGACAGCTTGATGAGTTGAGGTTGAGGGCTTTGAGGGTGACCGATGATTTCGACTTCGGGAAGCTGAAATCCTTTATGGACAAGCGAGTGTTCCAGGAAGCCCTGAAGCCCCCCAACGTGCTCATCGACTCTGGTGCCACGAACATCATGAGACAGCCTAAGGGTGAAGAGGAGTGGAGTTCAGCTTCAAAGGTCAACGTGGTCTTGGCGAACAACGAGAGTGCCCAGCTCTACCAGAACAGTGCAGGATCGATCTTGGCCTCGTCGTTGGATATACAGTCCCTCCTTCCGATGGGCGACTTAGTGAAGATTGGGTGTGAAGTTCATTGGGGAAAAAAGGGGCTGAGGATGAGACACCCAACTCTTGGGGTGTTAAAGACAACCTTGAGGTCGGGATGCCCGGAACTCAACTTGGCTCAGGCACAAAACCTTTTCGATCAGATTGAGGCGGAGAGGATTCGTGAGCTGGAAAAGGGTGCTAGGGAGCTGGAGGTGAAGTTGGACCATTTGATGGCGAAGGAAAACGAGAATTGGTCTACGTCCTTTGAGCGCTTTGTCAAGACC